ATATTCTATTTTATATTTTAGAACTCTTTATAAAAAGATAAAAGTATAGTAATTTCTTTTCTAAAAAAATAAGATATTTCCGTAATTATTATTTATTAAGATATCTTACTTTATACTATATTTATCGAAATACCTAGTTCTACCCGTTTTTAAATTTATAAGAAAATATATAAAAGGGTTTACTTAAAAGTAGGGTATATAAGTAAATTTTATAAAAACTAGGTATTTTAGTAATTTACTAATTTTTAGAATAAAGTCGTAGTAATAGTTCTTTTTTCTTAAAGATATTAGGTATTTTAATAAATAATTTTACTAATACTCTAGTTTTTATTTAAGAAGTTTTCATAAAGAAATAAAATTATAATAATTTTTCTTAAAAGAACTAGATATTTTAGTATATAAAATATACTTAACTATTCTTTTTTATTTTATCTATTTATATATCTAGCTATTTTAGTAATAGTATAAGTGTTTTAAGACTTATCTTTAAAAACTAGGTATTTTAGTAATCTATTAAGTCTTACTAAGCTTCTTAATATAATAAGATTAGTAGTCTATAAATAGAGAGAATAGCTATAAAGACGATACGCTAGCTAGACGAAGCCTTAACGAGTTAAAGAGTAACGTTAGTAAAAGCGTATATATTAAACTAAGACGCTATTAAGGGATTTAACTCGTAACCGTACGGTATCGATAACACTATAGATATAGTGGCCACGACTTATAATTCTACTAAATCACTCTAGACTGTGGCAACGACTTAAAACTGATCGATTGACTCTAATAGAACCGACTTTCCTCCGTATGACTGCACCACGAAAGCCGACTGGCGTTAACGTCGGCAACTCAAGACAGAGTAGGGAATGTCCAATCCACCCAGTCCGCGGTGTTGACATCCTGATTGCTCTTCTCAATGCCGGCTGTGCTAGAGGAGCCTTTTAGCATGTACTTGTCGATGTACGCCGATAGCTCGGGCTGTTGTGACGATGGGAATGAGCAGTGATTGTGCCCACCGACAAGAGAAAAGCCCATGGCATCGGGAGCACCGGCCGCATTGTAGATGAGACGGCCAACCTTCATACACCCTGTGGTACTAACTGGACCGAGCCAGTCGATGTCATTTTCAATGACGAGCAGGCCGCGAGGGGCAACCAAGGCGGCGAGCATGTGGTGGTCCTCAGGGAGGGATGGAATGCGGTTGCTGTACTGCTCGAACGTCTCCGAGAACCAGACATTCTCGCCGACAATCTCTGACGCGGTCTGAATGTTCTTGCCGGCGGCCTGCTGCTGGTCTGAGATGCGCCAGCAAGCCGCTCCGCCGGCGCCGGACTCCTGAGGGATTGTCAAGGCGACACGACTGTCCAGGGCACCTGCAACAAAAGCGCCCTTGCCATTTCGGGAGCAGCCCGTTACTCCAATCCTGGTGACATCGATCTTTGCACCGCTGTTGGCCTCCAAAGCGTCAATGATGCGACTGACTCCCCAGGCCCAGGCCGTCATGGCACCCGCACTGTGGCTGCTTCCGTACAAGTCGTAGAACTTGCCTTGACCCCGGCTTCCCGTGCTTTGCTGGACAGCAACGTCGTCGTTGTTGAAAGTGATGGTGGCCACTCCAGCAGGAATGGGGATGCTAGGGTAGCCATATGCAATGATGGCAGGGTATGGGGCGGTGCCTGAGGACGGGTACGCGATGGAGACCGAGATGGAGATCGACTTTCCACTGTCTTGCGCTGTGATGGTCAAGGTGTTGGAGGACAAGGTTGAAGTGACAGAAGCTGGCTTCGGTGGCTTCACTCCCAACTCAAATTCCTGGAATAGCTGGCTAATCTCCTGCTGGCGGCAGGCCCACTGACTTTGAGTCGTGACTTTGGTGCCATTAACGAAGGTGAATGGGTCAGGAAGTTTGGCGTACTGCTGCGGCGAATACCCGGCTGGGAGTGTGCTACATGATGCCCCTTGGCGAGGCAAGATCGATGACACGGCGCCGGATATGAGAAGAGCCAGCGGCAGGATGAATGACATGATGGACATGGTTGATATGAGAGGTCTCTGTGGGGGGTTGATGAGTGTACTGCAGCTTGATGGTCGGCCTTTACCATGGCTTTTATACGAAGCGTCCAAGTGTTGACACCATTGCCCATGGTCGTCTCTACAGAGCGGGAAGCGGCCCGTTGGTATTAGCCTGACTGAAATCCAGAGGCATGCATCCGCCGGCACGAAATTGCCGTGTGATCCTTAAGTTGTACTTGGCTCCAAACAAACAGCGTTTGATAGCCCGAGAGAACGGTGTGGAGCTTGTGGGATGGAACCAAGTAAACAGCCGTGTAACTGGCTATTCAACACGTGCGCGTGGCGAACAATTTGCCGCACTTTCGATTTTTGCCTAATGTCGTCGTTGTGTTTGACGGATGCCAAACGAAGGAGTTCGATTTGCGATGCTGTGCTATAGGCTTCGGATTAAGGCTGTGATTTCGTTTCTGGCTGATCCTGAGATAGTAACAACGAGTGGGGTGCGTGACCGAAAGTCATTCGACAATCTCCTCAAACGGTCACAACATTGCGGGGACTTCCAATTTCGGCACCCTGGTTCCGGGTGTTTCGCGTGGATCCGGTCCATGTTGTGTCTGCAATGAATACAAGCGCAATTAGGCTCATGACCTGTCCGTATGCAGAAGCTTCCAGTTTGATCTGGAAGAGCCCAGAAGGAGTCGAGGCCTAATAAAAATCAGTGATCATTTACGTGCACAAGCCAGGTACAGAATCTGTCTTTGTTCGGGATCTTGCCGACACACATTTGAATCCTCGGACCTGTGCCGAGGCTAGTGAAAGTGGGGGAACAACTGTAAAGTCGCTCATATTTATTTTTTTGTCCCGACGTAAAATGTAATTGCCATACATCAACATCCTCTTCGTCTTCGCCTGTCGCTCACTCCTACAAGCGCTGCGACAATGACTCTCATACACATCGGTAAAATACCTTGGCCAGTACCACTACTCGTTGCTGATGACCTTGGGTTCAGTATTGTTCAAGTTCAAGCCTGAAGTGACAGCAGAACACAAGGCTATTTTCGTTCGGGAGCTCAAGAAGTTGAAGAACCTCCCTTCCGTCAAGGACAAGCGACTCGTTGTCGGTGGCCCGTCCGTTACGAGCCCTATCGAAAGAAGCAAAGGCTTCGAGTTCGCGCTCGTCAGCTATCATGATGACCTGGCTGCTTTAGAAGAGTACCAGGCAAGTAAAGAGCATCATTGGTAAGTCCACAATCTGCCTAAGAGGGTGATACTTATCAAAGTAAGGGTGACGTCTACCTACATGTTTCCATTCAAGGAAGACCTTTGTCGATTCGATTTCGAAGTTGCTTCCGAGGACGAACACATGGGTGAGCACTTCACCTCTGCATTCATCGGGAAGGAATAAAGCAAGGAATGCCAGAGACGGGACATGGTACACACATCTTAACGAATGGGTAGAAGAATTGAAGCTGCGTTGACTAAGGGAATACCTCCAAGTGCGGCGAGGTTTTAATCTAGAGGGCTAGTAGTCGGGCCGTTCGGCAGAGGGTGGCATGACTGTAACAGTGGCCTCTTTTCCTAGCAACTATTGCTTAATTATGAAGGACGGGGATTCGGAAAAGAGACTATCGGCGTGGTGTCGCAGCTCTCGGGGAGATGAGCAGAGTTTGACGCCGTGACTACCCCGTCCGCTGATGGGCGTCGCAACGAGTGGCCAGGGAAAGACTTTGGGTCCGCATGTCAATGTTATATCAGCGTCGTCACGCTCATCAACGACGGTGCTTTTAGGAACGCTAAAGCCGCATTGCAGGACCAGCATGCAGTTCACAAGGCCCTTGTCGTCGTAAGCGTCTACAAAAAGTGGCGGTTGGCCGGCGACGCGAAGGTGAGGGTTAAAGCAGATGATGGCTGCAGAGGATGGTCTTTGCAACGAATGGTATTCGTCCATAGGCACGTCGCTCCAGCTTCCACAGCGGCCAAGATGCCCTGCTCGTGATCGGAGAAAACTCAGTCACGTATACAATGTCTGCTCCCGACTCCCCGAGTCACCGTACCCTGCCGCCGATCAGTGACGTTCAGACGGAGAGGAACTTCTCTCAGAAGCGCACCGCCCGGTTTTTTCGGCTTACGTACCCCGTCGATGATAGGCGGGATTAAAGCCTGGTAGAGAACGGCAACTCGAGCTCGGGAGGCCGCCGAGGCAAACGCACGGGAGCACATCAGCGGGGACCGCATGGTGCTGGTGTTGGTGCGGATGCCGAGGAGAGTGACAGAAAGCTGCCTCAAGTCATCCCAAAGTGATGGCCGAGCGAGCGGGTTGCAGCTGACAGGCTGGTCCGCCAATATATATGTCTATCCCGCATTGCCCGCACCGTACGTTTCAAACCACTCTAGATCAAACCATGCGCTCATGTCGCCCAGCTCATCGGCAAATGCATCGGTTGAATCAAATGAGCCATCGAAGTTGTACTCTGTCCAATCAGTGTCGACCGGTCGGGATTGTTCTGGTCCAACTGCAGACTCAGGAGCTACTGGCTCTTGGCGTCTTTTCCACGACTCCGACGTTGCTTCCGCCAACCGGTCAAACTTAGCTCGCGCGTTCTTTGCAACAGACCATGTCTTTCCCAATGCCTCGAGTGTCTCCGAACACCGCTTGGCATGCTCGCCGAACGTGTCTCGCGCTCGTGCACGAATGGCAGGACTGATCCACAGACAGTAAAGCATGGTAATGGCCGAGACAAAGATGCTATGTCCTGTGAGCCATGAATTCATCATCTGACCGAACCGATGCAGCTCGTGGTAAATCCTTATCGTTTCAGTGGCGCTGTCGAAACAGATGTCCAGTGCCTCGGGCTTAGGCCGGGGGAATACTGGGCTGGGACGGTACAGCAGCATGATGCATTGGTGATATTTGAGCTCAATGGACGGCATCGAACGGTATGACACGGCACGGGCAATGCCGCCCGCTCTCCGCGACAATGTCTGCCGAGCGTGCTCCAAGAGAGCCTTGCAAGACGCATGAACGGCCCTCTGCCACCTCTCGAAGTCAGTTGGCCAAGGGAATCGCTTGGGAGACTGTGCGACGCGATGGATCATCAACTTGACCTCCGCCACGATGCGGTCGAATCGAAGTGACATGTTTGCTGCATAGAAGCCATCGTGTGGAGGCTGCTCGCGGCGTATGCGCTTCGGCTGGTGCTCACGGGCATCGTGCTCATCGACGAGGTGTAGAACTTGGGAAGCACTCTCGATGGCATCGAGATCGACCTCGTCTGACCCCTGCTGCCCCGGAAACTCTATGTCAATTGCCTCATCCCTGAGAGTGAGCGGGCGACCCAAGATGGTGCAGAGGGTGCGGTCGAGCGAGTAGGCTGACCAAAATACACCGCTTCTTGTGTCGTGGGCAGCAACGGTGGCGCCGAACCTGAGGTGCGGCCTGCCAGCATCCCTTTCTAGAGGCAGGTCAGCATTGCAGTGTGATGGATGGATTGGGAAGCTCACCGATAGGCTGTTTCCTCTGCAAGCCCAAGTCTAAGCAACTGGCGAGGATGGCGTGGGTCAGAAACCAGGCATTCAAGCTTCCAGGAAAGCAGAAGCTGCTGAGGACGAGCAGAAGCAGGACTTGAACGGCCTGAATGGACTCATGCAGCGGTATGTCGGCTAGAAAGCCGATGGAGGCGGCGAGATAGGTGGCCGAGGCAAAGTCGGCCCCGAGCTGTGACTCCAAGGCACGGGAGCCGATGGCAATGATGAGGAAAAGCATGCACATGTCTGAATCGGTGGCGGGCGAAGGATGGGCGAGACATTTTTCGACAAGGTCGTCGACAAGTGCGTCATCCAGGAAGGGATACAGGTGCTGGAACTGGTCAAAGTAGGCAGCAACGAAGCGGTGGATCTCGGGAAGCGAAGGCAAATGCGAGGCAGAAGAGACATGGGAAAGGTGCGATTGCGGCAGGTCGGTGGCGAAGCGGGTCGACAGTCCCTGGGCGTGGGGCGCCGAGGCGAATATCAAGCGAGCGAAGGCCACGCCGGACGAAGGCCCGAGATACTTTGGAGAGCTGGCGGCTTGCAGCGAGAGCAGGCCAACCTCATGGGCGAGCGGCTGCTCGGGACCGATGCGAGGGGTGGCTGGCCGGGTATGAGCTTGGGTAGCACTGGCGTCGTCTGCCGGCGCTGGACGGGCCTGGCTCGCGAGTCGAGCCTCAAGCTCACGGATGCGGGCCTCGAGCTCGTGGATGTACCTGGGTGGGATTAGTTATATAGCCTGCTCGGGGCGGCGCGAAGCGGGCGGCGCACTTCTTCTCGGAGCCGGCGCTCTCCTCGCAGGGCACACGAGCCTTGAGGCAGTTGGAGCAGGCGGGCAGCAGGCCATCGCACCTGACCTTGCGGTGCCTGCATCGGACACAGGCGATGGCCTTCTTGGGCGGTTCGGGCGGCATGAGAGCGATGGAGCGGAGCGGGAGCGAAGCGATGGAAGCAATCAATCAATTTCTGGAGCGAACGGGCTGGAGGCAGGCTGCGGCCTCGGCCCGACGCCGACCCAACGCCCGATCGACTCGCAAACGGTATCAATATTCTACAAGAAACAACTACATAAACTCGACAGAAGCACCGAGAATAAGGTCGGCTGCCTTCTCGGCCACGCCGTACACGGTGCCCATGGTGTGAGCTGCCGGAACAAGAGGCATGACGCTGCCATCGACAACACGCAGCTTCTCGACACCGTACACCTTGAGCTGGCCGTCGACGCATGCCCCCTCCTCCTGCTTACCCATGTGGCAGGAGCCGACGGGGTGGAAGACGGTGGTTGCGCTGTTGCGGACCGCCGTCTCGATGGCTGCATCGGTCGTGACATTGGACCCGGGCACAAGCTCGACCGCGCCCAGAGGGCCGAAGGCAGTCGTGTTGAAAAGCACACGCGCGAACTTGACAGCCTCGACCAACACCGCCACGTCCAGCGGGTTCTTCAGAAACGCCGAGTCTGCCAGCGGAGCGTCAAAGGGGTCAGTCGATTGGATCTTGACCGTTCCGCGAGAGAAAGGGTGCATGAGTGCAACGAGGACAGTTCCATCAGACGGGATCGCCTCGATGGTGGCCGCGTCAGAGGCCACAAGCGTCTCGGCAAGCTGCTCATGCTGGGAAGCGTATCCAGTGACAAACGACGTTGGCGTGTCTGCGTCGAGGTAGTCGCTCGGACTTTGAGCAAGAGCCTGCTCGTGCAGGGACGAGCCGGCCGTCGTGTAGTTCTCGGTGGGCAGGAAAAACAAAATGTCACCCGTAGCGGTCGAGTATGGGCCCGTTTTCTCGCTGTCGTACTGAGCACGCGCCTCGGTGGCGAACGTTGTGTTGGACTGCAGATTGGCCGACTGCAGAGCCAGATCGATATTGTGCACGACGGGAACCATGACGTGATCGTGGAGATTGTATCCGACGGGGAGGTCCACGACTGGCGTGATGCCGAATTGGCCGAGCAGAGAAGCAGGGCCGATTCCCGACAGCTGCAGGAGTTGGGGTGTGTGGAGAGCGCCCGCAGCAAGTATGGCTTCCTTGCTGACTGCAACCGTCTGGCGAGCTGCAGCGGCCGAAGCAGCAAATTCGACGCCAGTGACGGTCGTGCCGTCCAACACCAGCTTGGTGACATGAGTGTTGGGGAGAAGATGGAAGTTGTTGCGTTCAGCGGCGGTATCCCAGTAGCCTTTGCGAGCAGAGCTTCTTGCGGCAGTGGTGGGGTCCTGAGCATGCGTCGTCCAATATGCGCCGAGAGCCTCGCCGTTCATGCCATCCACGGGGATGTTGATGTCAAGTTCCTTTGCGCCCGCTGCGTAGTAGTCTGGGTAACATGTCAATCAAAACCGCTACTGGCACAGGCTCCATGCATTCACTTACCGGTGGATGGCCAGAACCAGGGAGAGTATGATGCGTGGACACGGCCATCGGTGCCATGGGCTGATTCATCATAGGTAATCTTGTACTGCTCGGCGACGTCCGCGTTTGGCGGACAGAAGATCTCGCTCTGATCAAGATTCAGTATATGCTCGTGATTTTTTTTTTCTTCCAGAAATTCGACCGTACCTTCTTGAAAAACGGAAGTAAACCAGTCCAGCTCCATCCTTCGTTTCCCAGGGCCTCCCATATATCGTAGTCGTGGGCAGAGCCACGGTGCAGAAGCATACGGTTGAGCAGTGTCGATCCGCCAACAGCCTTTCCTTGGGGAATGGAAAGCACGCGGTCGTTTACGTCGGCAGTCGAGACGTAGGAAATGTTCCAGTCATACTTGGTTCCTACTGCTCCGCCTGCAAGGCCAGGAATCTCGATGAAATCCTCTGCTTGGTCGCTAAAAATGGAAGGTCAGCACAGTATATCTCCAGGGCGCCGATACCATGCCTACAAATCTCCAGCTTCGATCACGAGGACCGAGGTGTCTGTATGATTGTTAGTACGGCAGACTGAAGTAGGCAGCCCAGAGGCACAAACCTGAACTCTCGGATAGACGGTTTGCGACGGTCAGACCCGAAGCACCACCACCGATGACAACATAGTCGTAAGAAGAGAGTAGGCCGCTTGAGTTCTTGATGATGCGCGGCTTGATAGTCGAGGGATATGCAAGGGCTGGGGAGAGGAAAACGACCAAAGCGGCAGCTGATAGAGTCAAAGGCATCGTAGTGGAGTAAGGGAGCGACGACTTTTGGGGGATGGAGACAATGGAAAGACGCACGCAGATGTATTTATACACCTGCCTCATTCATCATGCCAAAGAAGCCGTTTTACCTAGGGCCAGTAGCTGGCTGGTTGCCGATCTCAATCCCGTGCTTTGGTACGAGTGCCAGCTTCCTTGGCGCCGTCCTAACTGATTTCGAAGAAGTGGGAGCGCCTTGTGTCGTATCCCGCAACTTCATGTCTGAGCTCGGTAGTTTGCTGTGTTCGGCATTGTGCCCTGTTTCACCCTCCCGTTTCGCCATGGCCTTTAGCCGCCGAGGCTGAGAAAGCTAGTCCGAGGAGTCCGGTAGCGATGACGGTGGCTGTGAAACGCCACCTCCAGGCCATCCATGTGCAGGCGTACTGCGGAGACTACACAGTAGAACATGGATAGACAACGTTCGACCGATCGGCGAGCGTTTGGTGTCAAGGCGTCGGCCGGCTCAAGGCGTGAAGCGCTTCGACCAGAGAGTCATGCAGACCAAGAAAGGAAATGATTGTTGGCCAAGTGTCAGGCCCAGCCTCTGGTGACACAGCGGTAGTGAATCACCATCTACCCGACTTCTACTTTGTGCTGTTGTCATAGGCAGGGTGCTGGTTAGCAGGCGTTCGGCAATGCAAACAAACAGTCGGCACATCAAGCCACCACTCGAGCACGGACCATGCCCCTGCAGCTAGTGGAGGCCTGAATGATTCGTGATTGCTGGGCTGCAGGTGACCTTGATCGCTTGAGCAGACTTTGTATGATATCATCACCGAAGCTCTGATGGCAGAGACGATTAGGGAAGATGTTGTTACAGGCTAAGACTTGACGTGAGATCGATCGCGAAGATAGAGTACTTACCCCGGATCGTCAAGCAAAACGGCGGCGTCGTGTCTGCGCTCGCGGCTTGATTGCCAAAGGCTCATCCCGCTTGTATAGTAATTATGCTTCGACTAACCCACAAGTCTAGATGTCGACCCTGTCGTTTCTGGTAGCTGAGACATCTGGAAGTGAACGGTTACGTGCCAATCATGAGGTGATGGAGGAGGGGCATCGGGACTAAACACCGGCCGAGCCAGGATTGAGCACTTGGGGTTTGAACGCAACAATATCAAGTCCTGGGGCTGAGAGCGCAACTGGTAACGTCTGCGCTTCAGTGAACCGGCAGCATAGGGGCTGTGTCTAACGGCGGGGGTGGGTGGGGAAACATGAGCCCACGGGGGATTCCGTGGAGATTCAAGGACCAGCAGCTGTCAGAGGATCCAGCACAGCGGCACTGGGCGTGTCAAGCATCCTGGCCTGGTGTTTTCGACTCAAAGCCATTCAGCCTCCCCGCAATAGCGTAAGCACACCTTGACCAAGGCGAATCAGCGGGCTGGCAGGGGCCGATGGGATAAGGAAAGAGATGGCATATTTGCCGGCTCAATCAGCCGATGCGGTGCATCCGGCTCAGCCGGGTACAAGGATGTCATGAGATTTCCTGGAGACGATATGCGAAATTGTTGCATCCGGGCCGAGAGACAAGGGAACTGCGGTGAGAATCGGTGGGTATAGGAGGGTGGCTCATAGAGACGGAGCTGAGGCAGCACCACAGTCCCGTAAGCTCAGTCTGGCCTGCAACCGGAGACGTGATGGTGGCCGGAGTCGCTGGCCTGTTTTCCTCAAGGGGGGCAGGACTACGAGTCGTGAAAGCGGAGGATGACGGACTGGGAGTGAAGAGAAGAGGCGGTTGCGGTGCACGGGCGCGCGACATGAGCCGCTGTGTTCACTGTGTTGCATGTCGTTAGGGAAGGCCGGGCGGGCTGTGCGGCAGAAACGACAAGAGCGGGCGGCGGGGCGGAGGAAGAGGCTAGCCTTGGCACTCCGTACTAGCGCGTCGGGCGCTCGGACGCGCGGACGTGAGGTCGGGGCAACTTTTTTTTTGGCCTCTCGAGCATCCTCCTCCAAATCGCATATCCACCATGGGCCCCCACCGCAAGAGACTGCGCCTTTCTGAGGACGGCACCGCTGTCGCCCCCTCTCCCGCCGACGGCCCTCCTTCTGAGCCTGCCATTGCCGCCGCTGGCGCCCGCGTCCCCCCCGCCGACAACAGCACTGCTTTCAAACATCGCCGCCAGCTCTTCGTGCGCGGCCTGGCCACCACCGTTACCACTGATGAATTGACCGACCACTTCTCGCAATCTTTCCCCATCAAGCACGCCGTCGCCGTGCTCGACAAGGAATCCAAACACTGCAAAGGCTATGGCTTCGTCACCTTTGCTGACGCTGAGGATGCTGCCCGTGCTCGTGACGAGTTCAACGGCTCCCAGCTGCAAGGCCGGACCATCAACGTCGACATCGCCGAGCCTCGCCACCGCGATTCCGAGCATGGTATCAGCCAGCCTGCCAAGGCTTCCGTCGACGCTAAGAAGAGAAAAGAGGAGCAGATGCAGCCCAGCCAGTCCAAGCTGATCATTCGCAACCTGCCCTGGAGTGTCAAGACCGAGGATCAGCTCACCAAGCTCTTTCTCAGCTACGGCAAGGTCAAGACAGCCTCGCTGCCCAAGAAGTCCAACGGTATGCTGGCCGGTTACGGCTTCGTCACATTGAGAGGAAGGAAGAACGCCGAGAAAGCCCTGGAGGCTGTCAACGGCAAGGAAATCGATGGTCGTACCCTGGCCGTTGACTGGTCTGTCAACAAGGAGACTTGGCAAAAGGTCCAAGACCAAGCCGCCGACGACGAAGAAGGCGCCAAGTCGCCGCCCGCCGCTGACGAGGACGAAGAAGATGAGGATGACGATGAAGATGATGACGACGAAGAAGAAGAAGGAGGAGAGGCTGAGGACGGCGAGGAGGACGGCGACGACGACGAGGACGACGACGACGAAAGGTACATTGACGAGACGGAACATGAAGCTCCGCGAACCACAAACTTCTACAGCACGACCACCCTGTTCATACGCAATCTTCCATTTACATGCACCGACGAGGATCTCGAGGAACATTTTGAGCAGTTTGGCGGCGTTCGTTACGCCAGGATAGTTATGGATCGTGTCACCGAAAAGCCAAAAGGTACTGGGTTTGTGTGTTTCTTCAAAGACGACGATGCCCTGGCCTGCTTGAAAAACGCACCCAGACAGCAGAACCCGCAGAACCTCAAGGATAGGTCCGCTCCAATCGCTGCACACTCAGTGCTGCAAAACACCGACGCCGACCCGACCGGACAATACACCATGGACGGTCGCGTTCTGAACATCACCAAGGCAGTGGACCGGAACGAAGCTGAGAAGCTCACCGCTGAGGGTGTCGCACATCGCTACAAGAGAGACAACGACAAACGCAGACTCTTCCTGCTGTCCGAGGGAACCATTGCGTCGAATTCGCCTCTCTACAGTCTTCTTTCTCCTGCCGAAGTCCAGCTCCGCGAGGCAAGCCTGAAGCAGCGGAAGAGTTTGATCGAAAGCAACCCTTCACTCCACATGAGCTTGGCCCGCCTTTCTATTCGCAACATCCCCCGCACCGTTTCTTCGAAGGACCTTAAGCAGCTTGCCCGTCAGGCTATTGTCGGTTTCGCCAAGGACATGAAGGCAGGGAAACGCTCGCCCTTATCGCAGGAAGAGCTCCGACGTGAGGACGATGAAATGCGCCAAGCTGACAAGGAGAGGAAGAAGAAGGGCAAGGGTGTGGTGAGGCAGGCCAAGATTGTGTTCGAGAACAAGGACGGAAGCAAAGTCACCGAGAACAGTGGCGCTGGACGCAGCAGAGGCTACGGTTTCATCGAGTACTACACGCACCGTCATGCTTTGATGGGTCTCCGATGGCTCAACGGCCACGCCATCGATTACCAGGCACTGGAGACCCAGAAAAGCAAGAAGGTGTCGCCTGAGGACATCAAGGACAGGAAGAAGCGCCTGATTGTTGAGTTCGCCATCGAAAATGCACAGGTTGTCCAGAGGAGAAGGGAACTGGAGGCTAAGATGCTTGAAAGGTCCCAGAAGAAGGCCGCTGACGACGGGAGCGGCTCTGAGGACGATGGCGGGGGGAAAGAAAAGACGAAGGGCCGTAAGGGTGGAAAGGGCGTGGGGAAACGTAAGAGAGGGCACGATGATGAGGGCTCGTCGAGTAAGAAGAACGATAAATCGGCGCCGAAGGACGAGAAGCTTGCCAAACAGCAAAGGATTATCGCGAGGAAGCGACAGATGCGCCGTGCCCGCGACAAGGGTACTAAACGCTGAAGCTGGAGTGTCGTGAACATTGTAGTCAGACGCACAATATCCTTGTAGTCGGCGTTGGCGGGGGGCATCGCGAAAGGAACAAAAGTAGCATTGTTTTTTTTTCTTCCCAATGAAATCGACTAAATGATCCTCGGCTCCCGTCGAGTAGGTCCTAAACTCGTGCGGAAGAAGCCATGACAAGCCAAGTCCAGCCCCTTGTTTCCCGCTCAACACCGTTGAGTTTGTACTTTGTACCCCTTCAGGCCGTCATCCAGTTTGGCGGACTTTGCCAGATGCTTCTTGGAGGCCCGCGATGTACATAACCTGCTGTGTCAGTGTATAGCGAACAGCGGAATATCGCATTTTATGATATCAGGTACGATCCTTGGCTTTGTTAAGGGCTGAAATGCTGGTAAAGGATCGGACGGCCCGGTCCATGGTGCCGCACGCACGATCCACCAAGTAGTGGTTGCCACATATGCACGACGCTGAAAGCGATGCTTCATTCATGTCGCGGCTGCAACAACCCGCTTGGATCAGCACAGAAGGCCAGAGCCAAGCGCTGAAGGTATTCCTCGCCCCAGCGTGGTGCCACACCGGGCGGAATCACGCTCCGTTGCCGCCCAGACGAAAGTGATCCTTATGCGATCCGTATCATCTTAGAAGCAACGACCGCCTTTGATCCCTGTAGTTGTTGCTGAGTCCCATTGATTTTGTGTGATGACAGCCTACCATCAGATGTGACGGCATTACAGCCAACCAGCTGAGAACCAGGCAACTTCTCCGTTCGAGACCTGGGCGTACGGAAGTCTTTTGCACTCTCTACCAATACCCGTGCAAGGATTTGGCGGGAAGAAGCACCGGACCTGCACTGCCACTCTGAGAGCACTGGTTCTCCTCGGCTGTATTCGATTCCGTGACTTTACTCACTCTATGGAAGCTAAGACCGGATTTATGAGCGGTCGGGAGAACTTGCTTCATTTTGCAATGCGGCGGATGAGTGGGTGGAGCTCCTTAGGGTCGTCCAGGGTGGCCCGCTGTATGACCGCCTCAGAAAAGGGAGGAGGATATGGACCTTGGCGTATATAAGGAGCCGCAACTTGCTGCCGTGAGTGCCATCCAAAACAAACGGTGGCCGTAGTCTTTCAGTCTTTGTTCAGGAAAAAGCTCGCGATTCTCCTTTTCTCTCTCTTTTGAACATCGATCCGACGCGTGGCTGCACAATCTTCACGCTCTTATCCTTTGACACTTCGACATCAGTCGTCAGCCGGACCCAGACACAAACACTTGCACACATCGAAGCCTCGTACGTATATAACCATGTTATCCCCGTCCGCCACGTTCACTCCCGTCTGACATACGCCACTGCCGCCGCCACCGACACACAGTCGTTGCTAGATCAGTTACTTCTGTATTTCTGACCAATCAAGAAGAGCTTAGGCTTTATTCGCCTTCCGATCATCCAACCATTTTGACCCTCTACTATACTCGGCTCTCACCGCTTCTTCGACCGGCCATCTGTCCAGTCACCATGTGCCAATACGAAGCGATTCACTACCACTGCAGCCACGTGGGTCGACGGCTGATCAAGCATTGTCACTTTGCGCGCAATGACCCCAACCACCAGTGTTTCGGCGCTTGGAGCATCAAGAGAGAGTGGAGGCAGCCTTTCGAGAACTGTCCGACATGTGTGGCAGCCGGTTTGCCGCAGCAAGTCAATGCGAGTCCCGCCTCAGTCCAACCACCGCCCGGACGACTCTTCGGCGGGAAGAAGATGTGAGCAGACATCGGAGGCGGCGGTTCAATGGCGGGACTTGCCTGTTTCTTTTTTCTTTTTTTTTTTGGCGCCCGCCGAAGAGAAAAGTATTTGGTGGGGCCGACATATCTAGGCATCTTTGACATTACAACAGGCGGCCAAGAGCGTGACTAAGCTTTTATGGGTGGAAAAGAGCGTTGCTGAACAAAGCTTTCAAGTCGGTTAATGTCTCTAAGTTTGTCGATCTCCTGTCAGTCGTTTCTGATTGGCGTTTCGGACGTTACTTCGTTGAATATTTCATGGGCCTGAACTGGGAGTGTGATGATCATTCATGACTTGTTTCTGTTTCTGATTTTGGGTTGTTTGCGCAATAGCACCAATTCAAATTGTCTATTTACACCGTTGTTCTCGGTACATTTGACGTTGAGAAACAAGCTCCTATAGCCTCGACGAAGGTCCTGACGTGATATGCCTAATTGGGGATCAGCAAGAGTGTCCGGACCAAAGCCTGCAGTCGGAGCGATGAATGGGGAAAAGGGTGCTGGGGGTTCGAGCAAGGGAACGGAAATTGGAAAGCAGATGTGAGACAAGCAGACATGCCTGCATGTACACCCAAGTACGACCGTGTAAGGTTAGCCTTGGAAACGCACCTTGCTACAGTCTTCGAGCATGCATAAGCGCCACTCCTGCACCCGGGCGCTGATCATCTGTACGGAGCCGAGCTCGCACAGCACCAGGCTGCCGTCAGAAAGCAATGAAGTACAACAGCGCGAGACAGCATGCGGAACCAAGCAACAAAACGGTCGTGCTCGGCTGCGTTCCGGAGCCGGATTTGGCGACCATGGCTCTTCAGATACATCGCACACATTGTAAGCTCCGTCTGCTTCTCACATTACGTTCGCGGGAAGTAACATCTTGCCTTGCCATCATCTCGATGCAGGTCGCAACCCATGGGCCGGTGCTGCGACACGCGCCCACAGGGCATGCTTCTGCAGATGGAAGCCACTCGATTCCTGGTTTACTTACAAAGTCGCACTGCTAGTGGCATCACGCTTCACCTTGCCCACGATGTTGTAACGCTTGCTGAAAAAGGTATACCACTCATCAAGGACCGTCTTCTCCTTGTCCGACAGGTCCTCCCACTCCGGGCGGCAGTCTTCAGGCTTGAGCGAAGATTGAGCCAGGGCGCGGTTGGGCTCCCTGCCAGCAAAAACTGCAAGAAAAGCGGCGAGTCAGAACTCAGGAGAAGGGTGCACAGGATGGTTCGGGGCGGAGCTGCGTCTGGAAATGCCTCGCTCTGGCGGGAAGGGGCATGGCGGAAAAAGCATCGCAAAAGAGGCAACTCACCCTTGTACTGACCCTTCGGGCCGTACGCTTCGTTCTTGGAGACATCGAAGACAGAGCCCTAGAGTGCGGTGGTTAGCGCAAGGTTAGCGAGGATGGGGCGGGTGCGGGCGTACTTTGATGGCAACCAGCGTGGGGTAACCCTCGTTGGTGCCTGGATTCAGACGTCAGCGCACGCGGAGCGGGCAATGGGTGCAAGATCAATCGCACCGTCGCATTTGGCCAGATGGTCAAGAGCGATGGGATCGTCCTTGGGCGGGTCAAGCTGCACTGGGTTCTTCGGCTCGAAGCGCTTGGGCTCCTCGACGTGGTTCGCGTCGCGCTTCTGGTCCATGGCGCTGGTGGTGTGTCGTTGGAAGCAGGCTTGTTGGGGGATGGGATGGGATGGTCGAATAGAGTGGCAGACGTTGTTGATGATCTCACCGACGAAGAGGCGATGAGGGTGGGGCAGGGTCTGGTCTCGCGTCGCCCCCACAGTGCGCAACAGTGCTGCGGCAACCACTTTATTGGGGCCGCTAGCCTGGCCTTCTCGTTGCCTACGCTACTCTCGCCTCACTTCCCCGGCGACACACCATCGCCGCTAGCTCTGCAGTGTCCACCCTTCAAACTCGTTGCTCAACGACAGAGGCCCATTCCCCAGCTTCCGTGCACACTCTCCTTCCCCGTCCAGCCGACTTGTCTGTGGTCACACCGAGCTCGTGGATGGTGCGCCCTGTCTCACCATAGCTCCTCCGCCTTCGACTTGACCGGCGTCTGCACCATCAATGTCAGGAGAGAATCCGCCACCTGCGCTGCTGCAAGCACTGTCGTCTCTCCAGCATTATCCCATATCGGCGACACCTCCACTGGTCCGCGGGTCAGCAGCAAGTTCCCCGAGACGACGTGCCTGATGCTTACCGATGTCTGCCCCAATGACATCCAGCCCGCTCAACCCGTCCAGAATGCTGAGGAGCTCACGAGACGACCATCCACCTGGCTCAGCCGTGCCGGTTGCTTGCGAGCCGTGTCAGCAATGCCAATGGCGATCTCTGCTTTCGTCGCTTACCCGGCGCAAATGCTGGGTCGAGAACGTCAATGTCGACGGAAACGTAGACCCTGCTATCTCCGACGCGCTGCTTCAGACGCTCGACGACTCCGTCGATGCCGATGCGGTCTATCTCTCTGGCCTTGACCATGTCGAATCCGCATCTGACGTCGTTGCGGATGTCTCCTCGCGGCCGCATCACTGGCGCTCGAATACCCGCATGAATCGATGTGTTGCGGATCAAACCCTCTTCGTGTGCTATATGGAGGAACGTGCCGTGATTGACTCCCTAGATTTGACATCCGTCAGTGATCCAGCCTTCCCGGCCTCTCGTGCAATCCTGATACACACTGCGTAGTGCGAGACTCCCCCGCCTGTGGTCGTCAGCTTTCTGATGGACTCGGTTCTAAGCGCGACCTTACTTACCAATGACCTTAGGATCCCAGGTGTCTGTAGCTGTGGCATCAGCCAAAGGCCGTTGCATACGCCACTGAAGCGCTTACCTATGTGGCTGTCGAAATGGATGACGCTAACCGGGCCCCATTGCTCCGCAGTAGACCTCAACGCCGATAGCGTCGTTGTGTGATCGCCGCCCAGCGTGATGATTCTAGGTCTCGTGTAGTCGCTCGAATTTGTCGCACGGCCTGCAAGCACCTGCGGTGTAAAAGTTCAAGTCAGAGTGACGGACCTTTTCCGATTCGCTCGCATCTACTCCCCCGGATCCGCTACAAGATCGCGGCGTCACAGAGTGCAGGTAGCCTGATGGCAGGCTGCAAGCAGCCAGTGTTGTTCCCGCCTGTGCAGCTTGGCCCCTGCCCCGGACAGCAAGACGCGCCCCCCCACGCGCTAGGGCCAGCGACTTGTAGAAGCAGTGGTACTTGCCTTGTGCGCCTCTTCTAGCTGCTTGAGCGCGACAGTGTTGTCCTGGTTTCGCGTCAGTGGCATGCATGCATTGCTGAAGCAAACGATATGGCCTCTTACCAGGAAAGTGAGTGGCGCATCCCCGCAATCCACAACCTTGGCCCAGCTGTGATAGGCGCTCTTTCCTATTGTGCAGTTATGACGCATTAGTCGTACCCTTCCAGACGTCTGACTTCATCAGAGAAGACTGCTTTGAGCCAGTTCGGTGTCGAAGACATCGGCAGGGAGAATGTCCAAACAACCCTGTCTTGCATTAGCGCCGAGGGGCCCGCCTGCTACCGATGGCCTGAGCAGTAACGTTGCACAAGTGCCCGTTTCTCGTGCCACTCAGGGCGTGCGGCACTGATAGCACGCAGTCACTATAGGAGCTTCCACTGTCGCTCAAGCCTTGGGGACCTTGATGACGGCGAATGTTGAGAGCTTCTATCGTGGCCAGCTAGCGTCCCTCTGCACATCACTCTAGACCGAAGTCTTGAGCAACTACCTTGCTGCATGGGTGTATGGGCAAGAAAGGCAATCCCCTACCAGTGTAGATGTTGTATTGATCTGGTTCCATTCTCTTTGAGCCGATGCGAATGCCTCCTGGCCCGTATCTGGCGCCGGGTCGAGATGTGACACCCTGGTAACGTTAGTGAACAGAAAGAAGTCTTACAGCCATTAACCTCATTAGAAACTTCAGACGTTCGCCTTCCCCTCAATATATCGCTATCATCCCAGCTCCGAACACTCCTGATTACGTCGGGAGAATGAAACAGTATACTCAAAGACATCTTACCGTATCAAATGGTGCACCCAAAAAGGCAATATCAAACCTCTCCACATCCGCTCCGTCAGCCGCTAGGCAGTGCACGTATGGCAAGTTCGCAAAAGTCGTCAGGCCCGCAAACTTGGCCCCTGATATCCTGCCATCCTTAATACTGCCCTGAGCGTTGAATATGGAGCCCGGCTGGACCGGAATCTGTTCGTTCTGGTAGCCCGAAAGCGGGGGAAATACGATTTCTCGAGAGAGCGACAGGAGAGGGAATGAGAGGAGGAGCGCGCTGGAGCGGAAAGGGGACAACATGATCACGGCTGATGGGAATTTTGACCAAGAGAGGGGACTTCGCAGACTTGAACGGTAACGGCGTTTTTGTTTTATACCCAAGCGTTATCTGCCGGATGTCATCAATGGTGGACCAGATAAATGGTGCGTGCTATTCCGATAAAGGAAAGTGCATCCGTAACCTCCTTGATCCTGGCTACTGCGGGGACTAAACAAAGCTGCGAGGCAAGCAACAGCGAGTTCAGGTGTGTGCCTTGCGAGATCATCCACGACAGAACTCTTACAGGCCAATCGAAGTCAGTTGACTCCACATACTCTTTCCAAGTATCTTGCTGCTCCACACCCGGCCACTTCTCTTGACGCAATTGCGCGATTGATATGGTTTTAGTGCTTGAAACCTGGACAGACTACTCATAGTGTGCTTCAGTCTACGCACTGTGATTCCCATCACCACGTCCAGCCGATACTCGCTGTGCTCAATTACACGATGATCACGATAAGTGAGCGATCAGTCACACCCCAAAACCGGTCCCAAAGATGGTATTGCCATGAAAACTAGAAAAGTGCCGCACCATGAAATCCTGCCCTCACTCAAACTGGCCACCCAAGACTCTTGAGTAGATCATTTATTTCTTCTCGGCCAAGAGATCTTCGGCGACCTTATCCTTTTGCCCTACGCTGCCACTCCTCTCTGCTGGTCTGGGAGATGAGCCCGTATCGTTGGTATCCTTGGCCTCGGACATGGCGGCAGCCTTCTTCAGCCTCTCGCTGTCCTCGGCCTTGATGTCCTTCGTTTTCGCCTCTTGTTCGTCATCACTGTCGCCCAAGCTGAAAGGGTCGTGATCATCCGCTTCGGGATTAGGTGCCACTGATGTCAAAGGCTGCCACTTCTTGGTCTTGTTTGCACCGGGCGATGGCTGACGAGGTGGGGTAGGGTTGCGGTACAGCGCATCAACTTCATCAACGGGGCCGGACTGAGGCGGCTTCGGGGTTGGCTTGAATAGGTCAGGGTTGGCTTGAGGGCGGTTGGAGCGCTTCTGGGCGGCTGTTGGAAAGGTCGGTCAGATCTCGAGTGCACACAAAACACGCTGAATTTTGGATTTGAAGATGCCACGTACCTTCGTTGTCGCGCAATTCCAGCGTTGAGAAGTCGTCGCCCAGCACACGAGGATCTGCGTCGTAGCGCTCGCGGTCCGCGCTGCGCCTGCCTTCAGCGCTCCTGCGAATGCCATGGAGTTGGTCTGATTGCGAGGGGCCGAAATTCTGACGCTGGGGCTGGCTGGAGCTTGGCTGGGCCTCGTCTTCCTCTTCACCATCAAGCTTCTTCTTGAAGTCGGTTATCCATCGGTTGACCTTGGTCTGGGTCTCGAGGAAGCCCTTTTTGATATTCTCTTGGATGACCGGCAGGTCGTCTGGCGACGTCAGTGTGATGCCAGGTGCATGTGGCAGAGAGCGCAATGCTCACCGTCAAAGAAGCTATGCTCGCGCTCATCTTCCGACTGTACGCGATGTTGTTGCTGTTGCGGGGTTCCCCTGCTACCGGAAGACGAGTAGTGAGCGGCCAGTTGGCGCGCGTACAGCTCGTCTTGCTCAAGCTGGCTGCGCGGTTGGCTGGGGCGTGGGGGTTGGGGCGGCGGGACTTCCTCTTCCTTGAAGTTGGGGTCGCTCATGCCTGGAGGCTGTCAGCTTGATCCTCGTCAATGCGGAGAACAAACGTACTGAGCAGGGCGTTGAAGGCAGGCTCTACCTTCCCCCGGCTCGCAACCAACACGGCCTTGATGACCTTGGGATCGGTGTCCGGAAAGGCCTCGATGAGGGTGGCTTCTGCCTGAGCCATGGGGCTCATGGGTCGCGGCGGCTTGGGCGGCGGGGTTTCGTCTTCGACGGTGGGCTCCTGGAAGCTCACCTTCTTTGGCTGGGGGGAAGTGGTAGGAGGACCCGCGGTCGCCGGGGTCTGGGCTTCATCGTCGGAAGCGAAGTCAATGTCTGGCTTTGTGGTGATGCTCTCCTACACGGATCAGCCTCAGGCCGATCGCATTGCTATATATTGATCAATTTCGCGCGGGGTCAGTGTGAACCTACTGGGCGGGGCTTCTTGTCGGCAGCCGAGTTCTCAGACATGGTGGCGAGCGGCGGCGTGGGCGGAGTTGCTCGCAGTGGCTTCGGGGTGCGTGCGCGCGCGATACGGCGGTGGTGGTGCGCGGGTGGGAAGCGGTGGTCTGGAGCCTGGAGGAAGGTGGAATGTACCAGCGCCCAACTGGTCAGGTCCTGCGCCGCGCAATGACGCAGCCCCTGTCGCAACCGACTGCCTAGCGGCTGTTCCTCGGCTCGCCGGGCGGTGATAGCCCCAGCGGTGCCCAGCGGTGCACAACGTGACAACGTCCAGAGCTGGCTCAAATCGGATCGCGTGCACGCCTCAGGCCCAGAAGATCCGCCGGCCCGCCCCTCAGGTGCACCGAGCTCGACTTCGCAGCATCTTCCCCATGGCCGACCAGGAAGCCGAGTTTGTGCCCTCGCTGTACAAGCCCGCCGCCTTGCTTCCCATCGCGCGCCACCGCGAAGCCCTTCTTTATCTCGTTGAGACCTTCCCTGTCACCATCGTCGTCGGCCACACCGGGAGCGGAAAGACGACGCAGATACCGCAGTTTCTAGACCAAGCAGGATGGTGCGCCGAAGGCAAACTCATGGCTGTCACGCAGGTGGGTCAGTTAGCTCCAATTGGATGCAGCCCTATGCTTCTCTGACATTTTCACGTAGCCCCGGCGGGTCGCTGCCACTGCCGTAGCAGCACGGGTCGCTGAGGAGATGGGCTGCAATCTTGGTCAGGATGTTGGCTTCTCGATAAGATTCGAGGACGTCACGTCTGCTGCCACGCGCATCAAGTTTGTCACCGACGGAATGCTTCTCAGAGAGGCCCTCGTCGACCCGCTTCTGTCACGTTACTCGGTGATTATGGTGGACGAGGCTCACGAGCGCTCTCTGAGCTCCGACCTTCTCCTCGGACTGTTGAAAAAGATTCGGAAAAAGCGTCCAGAGCTACGCATCGTTGTCAGCAGCGCTACGCTTCAAGCGGAGGACTTTCTGAGATTCTTTGCTGGCGAGTCCACCGAGGACGACAGTGGCCCCAGTGCGCTGGGAGGCAGCGTTGGACGCATCATTAGCCTGGAAGGACGCATGTATCCAGTGGACATCCACTATCTGGAGCAGCCCGCCGAGGACTACGTCGAGAGAGCAGTCAAAACTGTCTTCGACGTCCATACCCAAGAGCCCGAGGGTGATATCCTGATCTTCTTGACCGGACGAGAAGAGATAGACGCTGTTCTCGAAATGATAGCCGATCGTGCGATGAATCTCAATCCAAAGGCTCCGTCCATCCAAGCACTACCCCTGTACGCGGGTCTACCGACAGATCAGCAAATGTACGTCTTCGAGCCCACTCCTGAAAACACCCGCAAGGTCATCGTGGCAACAAACATCGCGGAAGCCTCGGTGACGATTGATGGGATTGTGTACGTGATCGATTGCGGGTACGTCAAGCTACGGGCTTACAACCCCAACACCGGAATCGAGACTCTTACTGCGACGCCCGTCTCTAAGGCGTCTGCGACTCAGCGTGCAGGTCGTGCAGGCCGCACCAAGCCAGGGAAGTGTTACCGCCTGTACACGGAGCAAGCGTTTACAAACCTTTCAGAGGCTACCGTGCCAGAAATACAACGCTCGAATCTGGCACCCGTCATCCTGCAGTTGAAAGCCCTCGGAATCGATAATATCGCGCGCTTCGACTACCTAACGCCTCCTCCCGCCGAGCTAGTGATTAGAGCATTGGAACTCCTGTTCTCCTTGGGCGCTCTGGACGATTACGCCAAACTGACCAAGCCGCTCGGCACGCGGATGGCCGAGCTAGCGGTTGAGCCGATGATGGCCAAATCCCTTCTTTCAGCCCAGGATTTCGGCTGTTTAAGCGAGATGCTTTCAATAGCTGCCATGACAAGTCTGCAAGGGAACGTTTGGTTCTCCCACGAGGGCCAGAAAAAGGCTCAAGAAAGTGCTCGGCGGAGGTTTGCCGTCGAAGAAGGCGACCATCTGACCCTTCTCAATGTGTATCATGCCTTTGTTACAAAGGGCAGAAAGGACGCCAAGTGGTGCCGCGATAATTACTTGAACTTCAAATCGATGGCGCGGGCACTCAGCATCCGCAATCAGCTTCGCCGGTACCTTGAGCGGCTTGGAGTGAATGTTGAAGAAAGCTTGTCCTCTTCTGCGGTCCTTCGCGTGGGAGGACCGGACAAGGCGGAGCAAATCCGAAGATGCTTGTCCGCTGGGTTTTTCGCCCATGCGGCCAGGATGCAACCGGACGGGACTTTTAGGACGATTGACGGGGGCATGGTTCTGCATGCTCATCCAACCTCCCTCATGTTTGTAAGTCATCGATCCATATTTAAGTCGAGCCCCTACCGACACCGCACTAGAACCGTAGAGCCGATTGGGTCATATTCCACGAAATCATGGAGACCGCAAACAAGACGTTCATTAGGGACATTACAAAAATTGAAAAGGGCTGGTTGTTGGAATACGCTCCGCAGTATTACAGCATCAGGTAGTAGAAGGAACAGAGCATCTATCACATTTCGCCGGAGCAGCTCCTCAAATCGTAGCTCAATTGGAAAGGAAAGGAAAAGAAATAAGAGAAAAGCCTGTCATGATAAGATGAGTGGTATCCCAAAGCCCATACACCAAAGCGCCTGCAAACTTCAACTACGTACCCCTGTCTCATTTCATCGCCTCGACGAACAATTCTCTCATGCGCTTGAAGAACGGGGCAAGTTCTCGTGTGTCGTTCAACAGCTCTATAGCCCCTTCAATCTCATCTGGATCAAGCTTAGGCCTTACAACGCCCATTCGGTAATCGGAATGGCCCATATCAACCTCGAAGACCGCCTCCTTTTCCCAATCGCGCTCACTGATGTGTGTAAAAGTGAATTTCAAGCGGTCGGTGACGCCGGCACCTTCCACATCCAAGCAAAGATGGTCCTGCCAGAAGGCAAGCTCTGGTTGATTGAGACGAGCCTGGGAGTCGAGGTAGCGAGCGTGCTCCCTTTGAGCCTCGCGCTTGGCGGCAATCCGGCCTTGAACCTCTGCAATCTGAGCCTTGAGGGCGTCGCGGCGGGCAATCTGCTCGTCCCTACGCGAGTTCAGAGTCGAGATTGCGTTGTGCATTTCGGCAGTTTCTTGGGCCTCTTTTGCGAGGGTCTGTTGGTGCGTTGTCGACTTGAGCTGCAGGATCTCAATTTCGCGCTGCTTATGGCGTTGGTCCTCTGACGAGAGATGCATTAGCATAGTTTGCTACGTGTCGACTGGCGATGTCAGACCCACCTTGCATTTCAGCGATATTGAGGTAGAACTGGTTCTTCTCCTCCCTCATCCGCCTTCTACCCTGGGCAATGTAGTCATCGAAGCGTGTCTGGAACGCTGCCATGTGCTGGCGCAAGTTGTCGAAACCAAAGTTGACACTCGGAAGGGAGTCGGCCATCGAGGGCGCATCGGCAGACGAGAGAGGGGCGCGCATTGCGCTGGCTGAGAGCGAAGGCTCAAAGGCGGCGGTAGCCATGTTGTTGGCGCAACGGGGGTGAGGCCCGCAAAGTGTGCGTGGTGGTTACTGGTATGCTCAGGAGTATGCCGTGATATCGGGATTGATTGCGGGCGAGCGTGGGTTCGTTCGGTCGGCTTCGTGCTGTTTCAAGCGCGGGGCGCAAGAAACTCCCGGCAGCTTGGTGTTGAACAGCAGTGGGGCGCACAAGGCCGTTGGCTGGGCGACAGGCGGCCGGGCGGCGGCTTTAGGGCTGAAAATTTCCCGTCGCCTTAGCGGTGGCCCGAGTGCGATCACTCGCCTGCCTCTACCAGCCTCTCAACCCTCGTCGCTGCACCTGCACGCCTGCAGCATGCCCCCGGAACACTGACCGCAATCTCCACCTGTCAAATGCAGCCGCCTCGCCGCAAGCGCCGCCATCGTCCGCGACGACATGATCTTCTCCGCCGCTGAACCACCACTGAAGCCGAATGACTGACCCGGGCGTCGATGACCTGCACTATGGTCACTTCGGTCAACCTGTGTACGACGTCGAGAACAGAACCTGGGTCTTCCAGCGATCTCCCGGTGTGCGACGCGTCTTCCATCCCGTGGATCACCCTCAAGTCGAGATACCCGCCACCATTTCCGCGACCACATGCCGCGTGAGCTCTGCCGCCGAGCTGGATGAGCAGCAGAGCCATCTTATTGCTCTGTTTCCCGAGCTTCAGACTGCTGCCCCTCTTCTTGGGCGCCTTGCCCAGGTCTCGAATGCGATCGAGGCCGTTGCCTCTACCTTTGATCCCCTAACTGGAGACCTACTGGCTTGCGGACGAGCCGCCGATGTTCAGAATGGTGAAAAAGGGACCATCAGTTTCATTGCTTTGCCCGGAGGTGCTGCTGGAGAATCGCTCCGTCTAGTGCGGCGACACCATGAGGACCATGGCTGGGGACAAGATAAGAGTACTTGGCTGAAGGTGCCTACCCTTCGTCATGGAGACATTGGCTGGTGGTCTGGAATGGGCACACCTATCCAGCAGATCGCCAGCGCAGTCCAAGCCGACAACCGCAGTACCTTTCTCGCTGTTCGTACTGCCCGCTCCATTCACATTTTCCAGCCCCGGTACCATCGTCAGCCAGTAGCTCCCCCAGAAGACCCCGCGTCTTTCCTTTCGTTACCTGCTTCTAGACTGGAAGCAAGCCCTTTGCTCTACCTGGCCTCTGCCTCGCACGAGCAGGGTTACGCAGATGTTGCTTTCAACCCTTGGTATCAGCGGCAGTTCGGAACGCTTGATCAGGAAGGAAACTGGACTATATACGATATCGAGGGTAGACGGGGAAAGAAGAGTGGTTATCGATCCGTCCAGGCACTGAAAGGCTGTCTCGCACCGCCTTTAACGAAATCAGACCTTCAGGAGGGCACACTCCCGGGTAACTATGATGGCTGGGGCCGCGTGTTGTGGGTCAACGACGTAAACACGGTGTTGGTCTGCAATAGGCGGATCCTGCAAATCGCGGATTTCCAGGGCCGGTCGGTCTATTTGTCGCCGGCTAGTCTTAGACTTGCTCGGACCTCCTCTTGGATCTTGGACGTGAGGCGAGATCCTCATGACACAAGTCGCATCCTTGTTTTGACCTCGACACACCTCTTGATCTTGAAGATGCCAGTCCCTGCGCGATCAAATGAGAATGCGAACTGGGTGGATGCAGATGTTTTGCTGTCCTGGAGACATTTTGTCCACGAGGAAGATACGACGATGCGAATCCATGCGTGTGTTGATGAAGGAGGTACGTTGAACTGACAGTACGGTATTGGGCGCATATACTTATTTATTTCTGCAGACATCGTTGTGTTTTTACAGTCCCATACACTGTTCTACAGTATTGTATTCCGGTACCGTCAACATGAGGACTTGGACTTGCTCATTTCTGCTTCGGATCCTGCAACGTTCTTACACTCTCATCCTGCACTGCGTGGGATGCACATGGAAGCCCTCGATTTCGGTCATTTCGATCGGGGGGTTGTCTCTGGGCCTGGGAATGGCTACCGCGAACGCGGTCTTCGATTCTTCAACTTCCATATCCTGTCAAAGACTTTGGAGGCAAGCCGGATGCTGGTAGTCGTTTCCGATGAATCATCTGGCCCATTGGTGCAACAGCGAGCTTCCTTGGAGGTTGAATGTCCCCGCTGGATAAGAAGAATCATACCTCAAAGCTCGTCCCGTATACCGGACGACTCATCCTCCGTCGCAGGCGGTGTTGAAGAAATGGAGGAAGCGTCAAAAAACCACGAATTGCGAAAAAGAAAAACTGCAAGGCTTCCGATGGATGAGGTCATGCACTGGCGATTGGAGAAATTGTCTCGGCTCAACGAGTTGCTTGAAGACATGAGCAAGGTTGACGATCTTACTCGGGAGGACTCTTCGGCGATGATGAGTGAGCTCACCGCGAGCATCGGCTCTATGGATCCTGCGGAATGTCGCCCGAACACACTGTACCGCATTGCTGGTCGCGAGATCTCAGATCTGAATGTTGCTGATGTCGATGAGACAGCTGCCTCCTTTTCAGAGCTCGTGAGGTTAATGTCCGAACAGGATGGCGATGCGCCAGCATTGACTGTCAAACCGTTGGGCGGTGTTTCCATTGTCGAGATTGAGGATGGCGTGCCGTCCATCTCGCTGACGTATGAGAAATTCATCCGGAAGCATGTGTCGACTATGCCAATGAACACGACAGCGCGAGACCGTCTAGAGAGGGAGCGGCTTGCCAGGCGGCTCGCGGTACTCTCTTGCCTCGCAAGCGTCAAACTGGAGGTACAGCAGCCGGGGACGGAGCAGGAGTCGGTCGAAGCATCACAACTCATGGACGAGGACAGTTATTCAGCGGGTTATCTGAGCTCCGAGCCGGACTATAGCCAAAGCTCAAGCTATCCCCTGCCGACCCCAGAGGCTACGCCTTCGCTAGCCTCAGAGGGCACCTTCATCTCGAGCATGTCGGCTTTGACCGACCTATCGATTCCCCAACGCCTCAGCCGGTTTGGAGTAACCTCTGGCCACGGCCGCAAGCAAATACCCGACCTGCCGGCAGCGGGGAAGCAGATACTTGCTCAGTGGAAGATTGGTGAGGCATATCCGGCAGGTCGCGACGAAGGTGACTATTATTCGAGACGAGGAAGGCGCAGGAGCGCCCTGAATGATCCGACCCTCTCGGTCAAAAAGCGCGAGAAGCTGCTCAAACAAGAAGAGAGGCGGGCACGAAAGCAACGGCGGGAGACGGAGTTGTTCCAACAGTCGCAGCAGTCAGTGTCGCAGACACCGCGATTAATGGTAGTGTCGCAACCGCCCACAGCACCAGCATTTCCGATGAGCACACCTGTTCGCGGAAGGCCAAGTCAGATGGGACAGTCATCCCAGATGGGGCAATCATCCCAGATGGCACCGTCGACGCAGGTGGAGAGAGGGGCACACGGAGGGCGGCCCAAGAAGAAGAGGAGGAGGACTGAGGGGTTTTGATGGCAACGCTTTTGTATATGGTTTTCGACTCAACATTTCATCCTATCTATTGACGCAGCGTTCTGACGGATCTGTATGTATCACTAGCAAGAGGCGGGGCAAGGCGTTTGGGAGGTCTGGAGCGGGGACGGGTAGTGTGCCAAATACCCATTCATTTTCGAGCGGTTCTGCGTGTGATCTGCGTGTTGTCGGAAGTGGGGCGGCAGTGTGGAGGCGGATGGCGCAGGAAGCGTTAGCGGCTTGGCCGGGGTGAGGGTCCGGCGACTGGACGCTTGGGCAGCGCGACATCGGATGACGTGGAGCCTTCTAGATCAGCGCCGCGGCACAGCGGCGGAGACACGAGAGGCGGCGGTAAAGGGGCGAGCCGGGGCGGCGCACGTGAAGTGGTGACGCGGAGGCCAAGCGGCTCGCGGTGATAACCTCGGCCACGTCAGGGTCCGCACGATAGCTGAGCTCTCGAGCTTCCAGTATATTCCCCCACCTCCGCCCTCGCCGCTGTGCCCCAACACCCCAACCCCGTCCTGCCGCCGCCGCCGTGCTCCATTGATGGCGACCCCGAAGTCCAAGGTCCTGCCCATTGTCCCGCTGGCTGTCCCGTCCGCCCTCTTCCCCGGCGTGACCCTCAACCTGCCCATCGTCAACCGCGCCGATGTTGCCTCTCTCCTCGCACACATCTACAGCCGCGCCGCAAGCCCCAAGACCGATGCTCCCGTCACAATAGGCTGCGTGCCGCTGAATTCGCCGCTTCTGTCGCGCGACGGCCAACGCCTCATCGACGCCGATGCCGCAGCCAAGAAGAAGGCCACGAGGCCCGAAGCCAAAGACCCTGTCCACACCACGAAGGACGACCTGTTTTCCTTCGGCACTGTTGCCAAGGTCTCGGGCGTACAGGGCCGCGGCCAGGGTGAGCTGAGTCTCCTTGTCGAGGGCATCAGCCGCTTCAAGGTCCAGAATGTCATCCAGGAGCGACCCTACTTTGAGGCGGAATTGGTCCATCTGGAAGACGAATGTAGGCGCCCTCGGCCCTGTGGGTCGCTTGCCGCGTGCTGTGCTGACCAAGTGCCCTCTGCAGTCGTCAATCCCACCGACGCCACCATGCTGAACCTCTTCTCCGAGCTCAAGCAACTGTCGCGCGAGTACCTTGCTCTCGTGCGCCTGTCATCCATTCTGCCTCGCATGAACATTACGATAACACCTTTGATGGCACGGCGGTTGGAGTTGTTCATTGCGAAGAAAGATGTTTCCGAAGCCGGCCTGCTGGCCGACGTCATGGCTGCCAATGCCGTCGAGTGTACACATGAGGAGAAGCTGCGCGTTTTGTCTGCCGTTTCGGTCAAGGATCGCGTGCAACGCGTCATCGAGATACTGCAGAAGCAGATACAGACCATCCAGGGAAGCAGCCGGATGCTGGCTGTCGGCGCCGCCAAGCAGTCGACCGGCATCGATGCCGAGAGGATCGAGAGATGGAACAAGGCACGGTTAAGAATGCCCAACAACCTCAGCAACATGAGCGGCTTTCCCGGATTCCCTGGGTTTCCCGGCGGCAATACTGGGGCCGGCAGCCAGGAGGAGGGCAACGAGCTGGATGAGCTGAAGAAGAGATTGGACGAGGTCAAGATGAGCCCCGAGGCACAGAAGGTTGCGCAGCGCGAGCTGCAGAGGTTGCAGAAGATGAACCCTGCTCAGGCTGAATACCAAGTCTGCAGAAATTACCTCGAGAACCTCGCCGACATTCCTTGGTCCAAGTTGACCGAGGATCAGCTGGATGCACAGACCCTGGCAAGAGCGAGGAAGCAGCTCGACGACGATCACCACGGCTTGGAGAAGATCAAGAAGCGTCTGCTTGAATACCTCGCCGTTCTCAAACTCAAGCAGTCCGTCAACGCGGATATCGAGGCTCAAATCAAGATGCTCTCTGAGTCCACCTCCACGGACAGCTCAAAGGACTCCAGGGATGAGCCCGAGGAGAAGACGGTGCCTGAACAGGAGGAGACTTCTCTAGTGAAGGCAACCCCGAAGGATCCAAGCGAGGCTGAACTTCGCCTGCTAGAGAAGAAGCGCATGGTCGACAAGTCACCGATCCTACTTCTTGTTGGTCCTCCAGGCACCGGCAAGACCAGCTTAGCCAAGTCTGTGGCAACGGCCCTTGGCCGCAAGTTCCACCGCATCTCCCTAGGTGGGGTGCGTGACGAGGCCGAAATCCGTGGTCATAGAAGAACCTACGTTGCTGCCATGCCTGGTCTGATCGTGCAGGGACTAAAGAAGGTGGGCGTTGCCAATCCGGTCTTCCTGCTTGATGAGATCGATAAGATTGGCATGTCAAATCACAATGGCGACCCATCGGCGGCAATGCTCGAGGTCTTGGATCCAGAGCAGAACCACACCTTCACCGACCATTACATCAACATCCCTATCGACTTGAGTAAGATCCTCTTCATTGCTACAGCGAACACACTAGACACAATCCCGCCTCCTCTTCTCGACCGGATGGAAACCATTCAGCTCTCTGGCTACACGACCTTGGAGAAGAGGCACATTGCCACACGGCACCTGCTTCCCAAGCAAATAATGACCAACGGACTTGGCTCAGACAAAGTTCTCTTGCCTGAAGACGTCATTGACAAGATAATCGCATCGTACACGCGGGAGTCGGGCGTCAGGAACTTGGAACGGGAGCTGGGAAGTGTGTGCCGGTACAAAGCAGTGGAGTATGCCGAGGCCATCGACGCCCACAGCCTGCAGTTATATCAGCCAGAGGTGAATGCGGAGGACCTTGAGAAGATCCTAGGCGTCGAAACTTTTAGCGAGGAACTCGCTGAAAGGCATTCTCGGCCTGGCGTTGTAACCGGCCTGGTGGCTTATAGTACCGGTGGGCAAGGAAGCATCTTGTTCATCGAGATTGCGGACATGCCGGGCACTGGTCGCGTCCAGCTTACTGGCAAGCTTGGCGACGTGCTCAAGGAGTCGGTCGAAGTGGCGCTCACTTGGGTGAAGGCGCACGCGTATGAGCTCGGTCTTTCGGCCAGCCCGGACATGGATATCATGAAGGAGCGCAGCATCCACGTCCACTGCCCGTCGGGTGCCATTCCCAAGGACGGCCCCTCGGCTGGTCTTGCTCACACGATCGCTCTCATCTCCCTCTTCTCGGGCAAGCCGGTGTCTCCGCGCCTGGCGATGACCGGCGAGGTCTCGCTGCGTGGACGGGTGCTGCCGGTAGGCGGCATCAAGGAAAAGCTGATTGGAGCGTTGCGCGCGGGTGTCGAGGTTGTTCTCCTGCCAGAAAGTAACCGCAAAGATGCCAAGGATCTACCTGACGAGGTCAAGAACGGGATTCGCATCGAGCACGTTTCGCACATTTGGGAGGCGATGCGGCACGTATGGCCTGAGGCGAGGTGGCCGGGCGAGAAGGGGTGGTCTGCGCTGGAGAGCAGACTGTAAGGAGTCATTCATGCAAGGCGTTGGTGGCGTTGGGTGTTTGGCTGTTTTGTTGTCATTCACTCCCAGGAGAGGTCGGGCCTGTTGTAAGCAGCTGTGGAAAAGCTTCCAACATCCAGTCAAGCACTGCATTTACGAGTTACGTTATAAGCTCGACCAAACACGATAGTGCGATGTTGATGATTACGCCCACGTGAACACTGTGGATGCAACCGCCGGGTGGAAGCCAGCAGAGCAGGCTGCCGGTCGGTGACGAGTTAGAATGATGGCGCACTCGAGATAGAATCCACCAGCACGGTGACTGGAAGTGGGGTCCCACGTACGGCAAGCCTCAAACGCCACACCTCATCCATGTGCGACGCGCTTTGAGAATGGCATTACCTCAGTCGCCGCGGGCTTATCATAGGCCGATCTTGGGGACGACATGGGGGAGCGGATGCTGCAGGCACGAGCAATCTGCCGCTGCCGTCAGCCACGTCTCGGCTGGCGACGCTCAGCTCCCGCACGGCGTGGTTGTAGCTGCGATAAGCTCGTCCTCGCAGCCGTCGGTTCTCGCCCCTCTTAGCCAACCCACAACACCAAACAGAAGCCGGCTTCCGGTCCGTCTTCGCTGCTGGGCTCGCCGGTTCGGCGGACTGCCCTGCCAGCAAATGTCCCACGCCGCAGCGGCGGCCCGGACGTTATCTATATCCAGGTACAGCTGCCTTTCGCCTTATCAGCCGCGACGTGTTCCTACTATCAATAGCCGTGAGCCGCCGCGAATCGGACGTCCGCCGTGCTTGCTTGTCTATTCCGCAACCGGTCTGAAATTCCGGACAGCTGCGAGAAACGTGCCGAATCCGCCGCCCAACCCATCGGCGCGCCCGCGGCTCTGCTCCCTTGTCGAGATTTCTCGCCTCCCACCCAACGCTCCGTCTAATCTCACGCCTTGCCGAACAGCCGCACGTTTTATGCTACTGCAATCACTAACTGGTTGCAGGCTCGGGGGGCTCAACTACGCCTATCACTGCTGCAAGGGGCCCCCCATCCCGCGACGGCAACGCTATCGTGAACGGAACAAGCCAGGGCGCAGATGAGAGTCCACACGAATCCTCCCCCACCGCCAAGACCGCTTGCCTATGTCTTGTCCGCTTGGCTTGTTCCGGGGGGGTGTTGCTCGTGCTGCTGTAATTCTGCATGTCCCTTATCAGTGCCAAGCCGCGTCGAAGGCGAGAAAGAAGCCGTGGGATCGTGAGCCATAGGCGGAGGAAAGGTGCCAATATGGGGGTCGTTTTCCCCATCTCCGGTCGGAAGCTGCGGTACGTCAGTGCAGCACTTGACTCGAGCCTCGCCTGTGGACTTATATCTATCTCTACGCTCCCCTCGTGTCTAAGACGTTTTGCTTTTCCTCGTTGATCCTTTGATCAGTAGCATCTGGGGCCCCTGGTCGTTGCTGACGTCCAGTGAAGTGTGATCCAGCCGGCAGTCACTTTGAAGAGCTGCTACAAATCTGCTGTACACAATGGCGGAAATACCACCAACTGTAAGTCTGACCTACCCGACAGAGTGCCCCATCAACTGGTTTCCGGCTGCTCACCAGCCACCTAGCCCGAGTATGACGCCTCGGATCCCAAGGGCGGCGACCCGACCATGGTCAACGTCAACGCCGCCTACACAGGCTTGGAGTTCCACTACATCTGGCTCATGGTCTGCGCGTGTCTGGTCTTCCTAATCATCCCGGGCATCGGTCTCCTCTACGGCGGTCTCGCACGACGCAAGTCGTCGCTGTCGCTTCTCTTCCAGTCATTCCTGGTCATGGCGGTGACGACGTTCCAATGGATGTTCTGGGGCTACTCGCTCGCCTACAGTCGCTCGGCCGGACCCTTCATCGGCGACCTCAAGAACTTTGGCCTGATGAACGTCCAGGTGGCACCTTCGCCCGGCTCGCCGTATCTGCCTGAGATTGTCTTCTGCCTGTACCAGCTGCTCTTCTGCGCGTGCACGGTGCAGATCGTCATCGGCGGTGCGTTTGAGCGCGGGCGCATCGTGCCGTCGCTGATCTTCTCGTTCCTGTGGGCCACCATCGTCTACTGCCCCATTGCGTGCTGGACGTGGAACGCCAATGGCTGGCTGTACAACCTCCCTTCGCTCGATTTCGCAGGCGGCGGGCCGGTGCACATTGCCTCGGGCTGGTCTGCGTTGGCCTACGCATTCGTGCTGGGCAAGAGAAAGCACGCGGGTGAGGCGTCGCACCAGAAGCCACACAACACCACTCTCGTTTTCCTCGGTAAGCATTTTCCTTTCGTCCAGGCTGAAACGGCCTCGTTGCTGACATGGTCCTCCAGGCACGGTGCTCATCTGGTTCGGATGGTTTGGCTTCAACGGCGGCTCGGCACTCAACGCGTCGGTGCGGTCGATGTATGTGTGCTTCAACACCAACACGGCGGCGTGTTTTGGCGTGCTGGGCTGGGTGTGTGTCGACTACGTCAAGCACAAAGGCAAGTTCTCCGTGGTGGGCGCCTGCTCAGGGGCGATTGCCGGGCTGGTGGGCATCACGCCCGCCGCCGGCTTCGTGTCGCTCTGGATCGCGGCTGTAATCGGCTTCCTCACCGGCGCCGCCTGCTCGGCCGTGCAGAACGTCGATCGCTGGCTGCACATCGACGAGGGCATGGATGTCTTCAAGCTGCACGGCATTGGCGGCATGATCGGCTCCTTCCTCACCGGCATCTTCGCCCAGACCTGGGTCGCCTCGCTCGATGGCCTGGGCACCGAGGCCGCCGGCGCCATGGACGGCGAGGGCGTGCAGGTCGGCCGCCAGCTTGCTGAGATCTGCGCCATTTCTGCCTACTCGTTCATCGTCTCCTGCATCCTGCTCTACATCATCAAGTTCATCCCGGGCATGCACCTGCGCGTCAGCGAGGAGGCCGAGATGATTGGCCTCGACATTGACCAGTTCTTCGACGAGCAGATTGGCGACTGGAGCCTATTCGAGCAGATGCAGCTTTCTCACGGCCAGCCTGCCGCTGTGAGCGGCTCCAGCAGCCAAAAGCACAGTGAGGATGGCAAGGAGCCTAAGGAGGCCTAGCTGGTGAGATGGAGACGGATACTCTGAGCGAACTCGGTAGCATCATGCTCACCTTGATCGCATCTGTTAGAGTGGTAGCGTTTGTTAGTAGACTTCCGTAATTTTGAATGAAACGTTTCCAGCAGAAGTTGCAGTTGATGCACTGCACCGACTACCCAAGGCCTCTCTTACTTTCTTGTCAGAGACCGGATGACGATAGAATCATCCACGAGTGCAAGGAGCCTCCGACAGACTTACCGGCTCGTAAATTGATTGCTAAGCATAAAAGCTTAATCGAACATTGCCACAGAGCATCGTGAACAACGCCTCCAAAACACCATGACTTGCACCGAAACCTGGGGCGACCAGCCAACTCCCACGAATATCGACTTCTTGGCGAGACGGTAACTGACGCGACGTGGCACTGCTGCGTATTGAGTGCCTTTCTGTGCTAAGCGACGAAATGGATGACTGCCGGGTTTTGCGAATATGACGAGCTTTCCGAGTGACGTCCATAATCCAGCACGTTGCCGTGTATCATCTCTGACTAGTATTACAATCAATGTTGGTTATATGATATCATTTGCGTTGTCCAGACTCTTTACTCGTGATTCATCTATACATATTGTACATACATACTGTGGTCGCTTTTTAATTGCTGCCATCGGCCCTGAGGAAGGCCAGCACGAGCATTCCCATAAGTGCAGCCCCGGCGGCAGCACCCTGAAGCGCTGCTGCAGTGACGTCAACCTTGCGAACGGAAACTGCGCGTTCGCTAAAGAGATCACGCATGTAGAGGCTGCAATCCTGAGCGAAAACGGCCATCTTTTCTTGCGCAGTGGTAGGAGTAGGTCGCTCCTTAGCAATTCGAGTAGCTTCGACAGGAGCAGCCTCGACTGGAACAGCCTCGACAGGAACAGCCTCAACGGGAGTAGCTTCGACCGGACTAGCTTCAACGGTCGTGGTCTCGGGCAATGGCAGAGGCATGGTGGGCTCCGGACCAGATCGGTCGGCTGTGACGGTCTCGGGGGTATCCGTAGGCTCGACACGCTCGAGCGGCACGCCGGCCGGTTCAACGACGTCATCAATCTCCTTTTCAACAGCGTCGGCTGAGCGGACCTCGGCGGCCTCAGCAGGGTCCGAAGCTTTTTCCGGGGCAGTAGTGGCAGCGGCGGTGGTCGCAAGATCAGCAACACCAGCGCCAAACGGTGCTGGCGCTGCCGCCGTCATGGTCCTCTCATCCAGCGCATTCTTGATCTCCCTAACGAGTCGCCTCCTCCGCCACGGCTCAATAGCAACAAGCTGGCTGAGAAGTAGCAGAATGTTGGCTCCCATCAGGCCGATGGTAACCCAGGTACTGTTCCGGCGGATGGTGTCGCTCCAGATCTGTTCCTCGTGGTACTGAGCGCGCTCGCGTTTCTCCAGATGGGCGCGGGCCTCCTCAAGGGCCCGATCAGCAGACAGCACGGCATCTTTAGCGCTCCGAACAGCTTGGTCGTTGAGATGTTCAGAGCGGATAAGCGACATGTACCGTTCCAGATCGGTGGCCGACCACGAGTGCTTCCGCTCCAGAAGACCAACGACTTCCTTTTGTGATGCCTGTTGCTGTGACAGGGCGGCCTCGAGTTCGCGTTTCGCATCTTCCACTTGAGCGCGGCGGGATTTGACGAACCGTTCTGCGTGGCCGTTAGCAAATGTGTCTCAAGCGTTCGATTGTAACTCACCTTGTTGTTTGATCTCCTGGCGGAGCGCTTCAATACCGGAGTAGTCCGTCCCAGTGTAGCTGTTCACTTTCTGCCCGACAAGAATGAGCTTCGGCAGCAGCTCGTCGAAGTAAGCAGATGCGCGCTTGTATATTTCCCATCGCAGACCTTGGCGGTGAGACGGTAGCTTTTCGTCTGGGACCTGCTCGACCCGTTCGGGTTGCGGAGGCGGGGAAGCGGCTGCATGCGAGGATTCCGGTTCGCGTGAAGGCGGAGGTGGTGTTTCAATCCACGAGGGGACTGAATCCGTCGGAGACGGAGGTAGTTCGGGGGCTTTCTGGGATGATGGATCGGAGGAGCGCTTCGCAGCATCCTCAACAGCTGGCAATTGAGGATCCTGGGAACCAGGCGGTGGCTTCTCCTGCAGCAGCCTTGCAGTGGAAGACCATTGGCGAATGGATGCACGCACAGGCGGGGGCAACGTTCTCGTTCTCGGTGGAAGCGGTGCAGCGGAGAAGGCGCGCAGCTTGCATTGGAAGCATACGGACGAAGGCTGGGCAAGGTGGGCGGCGGCACCGGGGCGGGCTTGGGCGAATGTTAGGACAGCATAGTCGGTGAGCGAGCGGGCGGCGTGCTGCAGCGCCGGGCGCATCTCTGGGGCAGGCGTGTGGCGGCGGGAATGGAGTTGATGCCGGTGTATTTCTTGGGGTCGGTAGCAGCACAGCTGGCCGGCGGAGGGCAGGCCGCACGGAGGCGGTGAGGGCTGGCGGCCGGGAGCCAAGCGGCGCGTCCACGGGTGACGGCTCACGCGCGATCATGAACCCCGCTGCGACCGCGGGGCTGGGGCGGCGGCAGTCGCAAATTGCGATTTTGTTGACTTGGCTTCCAGTCATCTTCCTCCTCGCCTTTTCTTCCTCCTGCCCTTCACGCTTCCCGTGATAGACTTCCTCTCCGCTTAGACCCAAAGTTGCTTCCGTTCTCCTTCCTATTCCTTAATTCTCACTCCACATCATGTCTGGCACTCCTGATCTCTCGGCGCTGAAGTCGGACCCCAAGTTCGTCTTCTTCACTGATTTTGATGGCACCATCACCCTTCAGGACAGTAAGTTCGAAAGAAAAAAAACAACAACTCCCCCTTTCTGTCTTGGGCGCGGCTTGAGTGAGGGTGAGGCTGGTCGATACAGGGACCATGCCTTTTGAAGCCCCAGCTGGGATGCAGAGAGCGCAGTGCAGTGCTGGACGCGGGGCTGAGCTTTCTTGCGCATCCAAGTACGCGAGAAGCATCGGTTCTGGCTAGAAGATCCAGCTCTCCTCGTGAAATGCCCTTCGATTGGCGGGACCCTGCTCCTTTCCAACCAGCGCCGTGGTCACGATGCTCGCAGAGCACTTGCCCCGCTCTCTGTGCTTGCTTGCTTGCGCAGCCGCAGCAAGCATCTCCCGCTCCTTCCTGGCTGGGAAAAGACCGCCCCGTGATGCGCGAACAATGAATACTGAAGCTCGACAGGCAATGACTTCATGGTTCGTGTCTGGATTTGCCCCATGTAGCAGATTCTAACCGTTTTGAAGACCGACACGATCGGCTTCGGCCACGCGCTCAGACGCCAGGGCAACATTGACACGCTCAACAACGTCAAGACGTTCCGCGAGTCGTTCAAGGAGATGATGGACAGCATCGACAGGCCGTACGACCAGTGCATCAAGTACCTGGTCGAGAACATCAAGCTCGACCCCGGCTTCAACGAGTTCTTCAAGTGGTCGCTGGAGAACAACGTGCCCGTTGTCGTGCTCTCGTCCGGCATGGAGCCCATCATCAAGGCCCTGCTCGAACACCTGGTCGGCCCGGACCACGTCAAGATGCAGGTTATCGCCAACAACGTGGCCACCCGCGCCGGCAAGAGCAGCATCAATGAGAAGGGCGGCTGGGAGATTGTCTTCCACGATGACAGGTAGGCCGCTAGCAAGGAAAAAGCAAGCAACGGGTCTGACAATCGCGTAGCGGATTCGGACACGACAAGTCGCTTACCCTCCGCCCCTACGCCCAGCTGCCCGAGGCGCAGCGTCCCACCATGTTCTATGCGGGCGACGGCGTCAGTGACTTGAGTGCCGCGAAAGAGTCGGATTTGCTCTTTGCCAAAAAGGGCCACGACCTGATCCAGTACTGCGTGCGCGAGGACATCCCGTTCACCGTCTTCGCCGACTGGAAGGACATCCTGGCCAAGGTCCAGGAGATTGTGTATGTATCATCTGACGGCCGTCTTACGCACCCATGCTGACGCAGAAGTCCCAGTGCGGGCAAGGTTACCGTGCAGCAGGCGGCGAAGGAGGGCCACGAGCAGTTCAAAAACGGGCAGGCGGGTGTCAACGGGCACGCCAAGTAGAGGGCACAAAGGGTCGGGCCGCAATGGGCGCTGTTGATAAGCAGCCGCACCCTGGTGGTGGGCTGGTGGTGGGCTGGTCGTCCCGGGCGTGGGCAGATGATTGATAGACACGGCTAGAAATAGAGGCGCATGAACCAGTCGCAAGATCACATGATGCGGCGCTGCGCTTGCACGCCGAGTGGAGCGCTTCGCCTTTGTCGCATGCAAGGTCGATCTCGGGCTGCGCCTGGTGTCTGGATGGCTGCAGCGCCTTTGACAACGCATCACTACCGCCCGCCCATAATGCTCTCACCACCCCGCCCCACGCCCATTCGACCAGCCGCTCGCTTCTGGAAGGCAGAGGCTCGTCTCTTAACCCTCGCGTCTATAGGTCTTGTTTCGCTCGGCGGCGATCGATCTGCCTGAACCTCCAGCTCGCCCAGTGCCCCTCAATTTCCCCCGCGGCGCCGGCGGGGGCTCGCCGGACTTTATTTCACCAGAGCACCAGGGGCATTCTACAACATCAGTGCCCAACCAACAGCCCACTGGCCAGCCATTGACCCTCCGCACCCGGCCCGATCCCACCCAGCCGCTCCCCCACGCTGCAAACCCTCCCTTTAGACTTTTCGACCGCCCCGACTCCAATCCTTCACCGCTCGTAACCCCGCCCGCCACCTCTCCCGCCCTCACCCGCCCTCGCCCGCCCTCGCTCCCCGCTGCCTCTCCGCCGCTCAGCCATGGAGACCATCGACCCGACCACCGGCCAGAAGCTGCCGCCCGACGCCATCCAGCGCGTGCTGTACATCGGCCGCAACGTGCACATCTACCAGATCCCGCCGCTGTCCTCGACCAAGGGCTACTCGGCCGCCGAGTGGACCGACGAGAAGCGCAGCAAGAAGATCTTCACCGGCCGCCTGCGCCTGCTCGAGACCGCCGTCCCCAAGTCGTCCTCGACCGCGGCCCTCTCCACAACCACAACCACGGCGGACGCCAGCGAGGATGTCAAGGTGGACCTGCTCGTCGAGGATCCGTCCACGGGCGAGCTCTTTGCTGCCGCGCCCTACACGTCGCCGGCCGTGGTCGAGCAGGCGCTTGACAGCAGCCGCTTCTTCGCCGTGCAGTTCCGCAACCAGGGCATGAAGGCGACGCTGGGCATCGGCTTCGAGGAGCGCAGCGAGGCCATGGACTTCAACATCTCGCTGCAGGACGCGCGTAAGGTGCTCGGCTTCGAGCCCAAGGCCGCCGGCGGCAGCAACGGCTCCTTCGGTGCCGCGCGACCGGCTGGCGCCGCCGCCGCCGAGGAGAAGAAGGACTTCAGCCTGAAGGAGGGCGAGACCATCACGGTCAACATTGGCGGAAGAGGCAGGCGGAACAGGTCGTCGCCGACCGGCGAGAGCCCGTCGGGTGAGGAGAACAAAGACGCGCAGGCCGCGCTGTTCTCAATCAAGCCTCCGCCCGCAAGCAGCAGCGGCGGTGGTGGGCCGGTGCCGTTCCTGCCTCCGCCGCCCAGTGCCTCGTCGGTCAAGGCGGAGAGACGGAGGAGTAGGCCATTGCCGCCACAGGGTGCAACGCCACCCGCAGAGAAGAAGCCAAGTCCGAAAGACTTGGGCTTCGACGACGGAGAATTTGGAGAATTCCAGTGAAGCGGAGAGATTGGGGAGGAGGTGAATGTTCCAGATTCAGCAAATGTTCAACAATGGATCAGGAACAACGCTCCAACGAGTGTATCTGACTTCTTTTGCTCTTTTTCCTTTCTTTTGAGCTCCACTAAACAAATGGAAACTTGCATGTGTCACGGCGTTTGTCAAGCGTTCAGCAATTCTCTCGTCACGTCTCAAAATGGCGTCGTAGACATTCATGATACAGAATTTACTCCATTAGTGAAAAGTTACATTGCCTCGTTGAATCGTACACGCATTCATCCTTGGCCATGGTCGTTAATCGCACCAATCGTTCAACTTTTCGTCCAGTGCAAAGATGTCGAGGTGGACAGACGATCAGAACACCAACCGTTCTAGCAAGACACTCGGTGCTGAGAGATCAGCAGATCTAAAGAAATTGACCAACGGCGATACTTTGGATGGGTGGTTGAAGCAAGTATGCCGGCTTGGATGTAGGTTTGAACGTCCTTTCCTCATGAGTAGCTGAAGCAGATATCCGGATGTGGATGCGAGCATTAAAGTTGTACAAATGCATCCAGATATGAGATTCCACTACACAAAGACAGATGTAGGTGGGCCAATTTCTTTCGTCATCCACCATGGCATCGTTCCTTCATCATTTAAGGGGCATTTACGCGCCGTTGAGCTGATCGTACAGATCGTTGATATCGGCAATGAGCGAATTGCGGTCAGAGCCAGCAGGGCAATCCGTCCACTCGCCTCCATCCCGAATGCAGCGGATCTTTTCGTCCAGTCGGATCTTTGACGAAATCAGCGAAACATTTGCAGAATGCCTGTCAGATCCACTTACCGTGCAACTCTTGGTGACGTTGGCTTCGGCGCTCCTCACGAAACTTGCCTGCAGCAAATCGGCGGCATAGCCACCATCGCCCTCGGTCAGGCAGTCATTGATCCTGGCAAAATCAATGCCGTGCTCCATCGCACAGTCCTCTATCATGTGACGCTGAGGGATCTTCTGGTACTGTCGAGCAAGACAGTATGTAAAGCCAAGATAGATTTTCGGATCCGGGTATTTGTCTGCCGCACACAGCTCGATCTGTCTGGGTGGTCAGGAGTCGTCCAGTGAGCCGCGGGCCCTTGTGTACTGACCATGTTCCCTAAGCACTCGCTCTCGCCGTGCTTACACTCGACGCCGTCATCGTGGTCGGTTGGCTTGCCAATGTACGAGAGGGTGAAGTTGATGCGATTCGAAATCTCGACCATAGTAGGCAGCACGAGCAGCTGCAGGCAGTCGAGGGCATCGGGACATTTCGACCTGCGATCGGAAGACAGTGTTAGACGTGCGTTGGGCTTGCAGCAGCAGTCGGATGTTTGCGGTTGCGGTGGCGTGCCGTGCGCGCCGGTGAAGCGGAACGAAAGGAGGAGCGGGTCCATACATGATGTGTGCCTCCAAGGGCACCTTTTTGGGCTCAGTCAAGGGTTTCTGGGGAGCGGCAGCGCCGACATCTTCGGTGTCTTGGTTCCAGGCGATCGTGGAGCCGGTCGGGGAGAATACGACAAACAGAGCAAGCAGAGCTATGACGGCAACGCGCATGAAGACGGCCAGCAGGGGGCGACGCGGAGGCGGGGATTCGCGTCGCTGGGGCTCGGCCGAATGCGCAAGGGGCAGCGGGTGTTTCTCGTCCATGGCGTAGGTGGATGCGGAGGTGCAGAGATGCAGAGCGGGCTGGACGTGGGGAGCTGGGCGGAGATCAGAGCTCGGGCGGGCGTGACGTTGCACGGAAGGCACCAGCTCTCAGGGTCCAGTGGCAGCAAGTGCAGGCATCGCGGAAGCTTCTTTCCCAGCTGGGGGCACTGCTGCATCGGCTCGATCCCTACCTACGCTCCTCTCGGGCCGCTTTCAGCCTGACGCCCTCGTCAGCTCCGCTGAGCCTGCACTCCGCCCGCCCGCCCGCCCGTCCAAGCCCAAGCCCAAGCTCGGGAGCCACCAGGCTGTACCTAGGTCGGCTGCTTTCAGCAATCTGACTGTCGGCAGATATGGCTCCTTGCAACCCGTTATCATAATTCTCCGGACACGCCCCCCACCAAAACACCGCCAGACTCGAGCAGCCGTCGCGACCAGCAATGGCCCATGACTATGCTGCCGTGCTGCAGCCGCTCACCCGCCACATCAACACCCGCGACCTCTTGCTGCTCTCCCGCGGCTTCTCCGAGACCTACAGGGACCTGGCCCAGCAGTCGAGCCAGCACTTCCTCGCCACACCAGTCACCGCCCTGCCCACTGGCCGAGAGACTGGCACCTTTCTGGCCATCGATGTCGGCGGCACTAACCTCCGCGTGGCCTTCGTGAAATTGCTGGGCGAGGCGGGCGAGCAGAACGGTGACTCGAACTCGACATCACGCCATCATGTCCCGGACAGGCCAACCAAAATCCACCGCTGCCACGAGCGCGCATGGCCCATAGAAGAGCACTTGAAAATGGACCAGGCTGATGATTTGTTTATGTGGATCGGTGACTGCATAGCCGCTGTTGTCCGGGACGCTCTCGGCGATGCAAGCCTGCACATCGACCATCTCGACGAGATCCCCATGGGCATCACTTTCTCTTTTCCTATGAAGTGCGTTCCTCTGATCTCTCTTGTCTTTGATCATGCGTTCGCTGCTTTCCCGAAGTCCACCGGTCGATATAAACCCACCTTCGCTGCTTCCCTTGCGAGTGATCACGACATTGCTGACGAATCCCCTTCTTTCAAAGGCAAGATGCAATCTCTCAAGCTACTCTCATGCCCATGGGCAAAGGATTTGGCATCACGTCGGACCTCGACTTAGGCAAGATGCTCCTCGCTGGATATGCGCGCCATTGCGCCAAAGCCCCAACGTCCAACGGCTACGCCCACCTGCAGAAACCAGCTCCACCCAGTCTACCTAAACTCCGCATAGCCGCCATCACCAACGACACGGTCGCCACTTACGCATCTCTTGCCTACTCCATCAAAGTCTCCAGCAACAGCCGCGTCGTCATGGGCCTCGTTGTCGGCACTGGCACCAACGCAACCGTCCCCATGACCGTCGACAGCCTCGGCTCCTTCAAGACGCACTTTCTCCGCCTCCCAGCAGGAACTTCTCCGCAAAATGCAAAGGTGGTCGTAAACACGGAGTGGTCCGTCTGCGGCACCGACCGGCCCCTGAAAGAGCTCCAAGTTCCAACCATTTGGGATGCTGAGCTCGACCGCGCGTGCGACGCCCCTGGCTTCCAGCCCATCGAGTACATGACGGCCGGCCGCTACCTAGGCGAGCTCGTCAGGCTCGTCCTGGTGCAGCTCCTACCCGAGCAGTGCGGTGGCTCCAAAGAAGACCTGCCACCCGCCCTGCTACGGAGGAATTCCTTGTCCACGAAGTTCCTCGCGACGGTGGTTGCGCTTGCCGATGACGAAGAGCTGGGAAGAAGCTTGCAAGAGCTGTATCCCACTCGCTCGGCGGGCTTCACATGGACGAAAAACCGGATGGAGCTCCTGCGTGCGGTGGCTGCGGCAGTGCAAGTCCGCTCAGCTGCCCTCGTGGCAGCCATGATCGTTGGCCTGTTGGCTCGGGCCGGCGAAATCCACCAAGACAACTTAGAGACGGACCAAAATGAAAACGCTATCCCTGAGAAACCGGAGGCGGAGAAAGAGAGAGAGCAGCTGTTGGTAGTCGCCCATACTGGCGGCGTGATCCTACAGTACCCAGGCTACTTGGAAGATTGTGAGAAGTGGATAGACACCCTGCTATCCGCAGGTTCGCAGAAGAATACGTCAAAGAAGGTCGTTCTTGGCGAGGCGAAGGATGGCGGGGTAATCGGCGCCGCCGTTTTGGCAGGCATGTTTGCAGAGACGAGGTGATTGGATCGGCCTGTCTCTTTGAGTTTTCCCATTTATCATCGGTGGCAAGGCGTCTTTTATTCGTTGTGTCCTTCCCTAGAAGTCACCTGGTGGGCATTTAGAAGCGTGCATGGGGAGTTAGGACGGAAAGAGGGGACTGGATTAATAGCTCGTCGGAGCAGGTAACAGAATATTCCACATGGGTAGTCGAAGCAAACTTCCGGACGTGGGTACGAATTTGAAAACAGTACGAATACGTCAAGACGTGGGACCCAACTGCTCATATAAGTATGCCCTAACACGGCTGTGAATATGAACATTACTCAAGTCGCAATTGATGACATTAAAGCTACATTTAATTATTCCCCCCCGTTTATGCGATCTTGATGGTGAGCTTGCCAAAGTGCTTCTGGTCCCACATGTACTGGTAGGCATCCTTGGTCTGCTCGAGCGAGAAGACCTGGTCGTCGAGGACGGGGTGGATGTCGTTTGCCTCGATGGCGCGGTTCATGTCGTCGAACTGGGCGCGGGAGCCGACGAGCAGGCCGCGGACGGTGCAGAGGTTGCTGAGGCAGTCGAGGAAGGTGGGCTGCTCCTGCTGCTGGCCGCCGACGAAGCCGATGATGGCGATGATGCCGTCGATGCGGACCGACTTGAGCGACTGGGCCATGGTCTTGGGCCCGCCGACCTCGATGACGAAGTCGACGCCGCGGCCGCCCGTCAGCTGCTTGGCCTGCTCGCCCCAGTCGGAGACCTCCTTGTAGTTGAGGACGTGGTCGGCGCCCAGCTTCTTGAGCTTTTCGGCCTTCGCCTGGCTCGACGTCGTGGCGATGACCTTGGCGCCGGCGGCTTTTGCGAACTGCAGGGCAAACATGGACACGCCGCCGGTGCCCTGGGTGACGACCCAGTCGCCCTGCTTCAGGGCCCGGCCCTCGAGGCCGTAGAGGCCGTTCCACGCGGTCAGGGCGGCGCAGCTCAGAGTCGAGGCCTCCAGCCAGTTGAGGTTCTTGGGGACGTGGACCAGGCCGTCCTGGTCGAAGGCGCCGTACTGGCGCAGGCAGCCATCGACGACACCGCCGACGCCGGTGCCAACGGAGGCGAGGTCGAGCGAGCCGGCAATGTGGCCCTGGTTGAAGAGTGTGGCGACCTTGTCGCCCTGCTTGAAGCGAGTCACGCGCGAGCCCACGGAAACGACCTCACCGGCGCCATCAGAAGCCGGGACGACGTTGTCCTGGAGGGCAAAGGGGTACATGCCCTTCGGGATGATGAGATCACGGTAGTTGAGCGAGGCGGCGTGGACTGCGGGGTTGCTGGTCAACTGACTGTGCAGGTGGGAGACGGGGGGGAAGCAGGACTCACACTTGACGAGGACGTCCTTGTCGCCGAGCTTGGGGACAGCGGCCTGCTCGTTCAGAATGAGAGAGTCGTTGCCATTCTGGCCCTTGACGCGCCACTCCTTCTGGGTTGCGGGAACGCTGGACATGTTTGCTGATTGATGGGCACGGAAGCCGAGGGGTATCTTGGTTTGAGAAGTCAACGCAGCGGAAGCGGGGCAGGCAGGCAATTTATTGAAGAAGGCCAGGCGCAGCGGGCAGAATGGGGTTGAAAATCGAGAGCTACCTATGGCTGCATTTGATCATCGGGTGTTGATGACGTAACTACGTCGTCCCGCACGCGTTCGCGGGGAAGGCTCATCAGCCTGGGCCCTGGCCGTTCTTGCGCAGCCTGGCCGAGCGGAGCCGCTCGGAGCAATTCGACAGCATTGCCGAGACCATGACTCGGGCCAGCGAGGGCGAAGTGGATGTGGAGCAAACGGGTGGAGCGCGCGAGAGACACGAGAGGCACAAGGCTGCCCCGCGCGCGGACGAGCTTTTCCATTGCCTCCACCAACAACGCACGCCTTCACCACTCCAGTGACGTCCAGCCTCGGGCAGAGGGATCAAGCCATATCCAGGACCAGGCCAGCATGGTGTCAGACATCGCGTGGCAGCCACCCGGTCTTACCCAAAGCTTAATCGTGCGGCGGGGTCCCGTTCACTAATCACCCGTGCGTACTGTGTAATCAACCATGCCGGCCGCCATCCTGCTTGGTGCCTAATCCGAAGACCCTCATGTTTCAGGAGGAAAATACGATCGCTAAATGCCGTCCCACGTGGCGTCCGCACCTTCACTTCCCCCAGCCTGGGCCGCACAGTGGCCGATCCTCCGCAGCTGTTCCCCCAACTGCTCGCCTCGCTCTCCAACGTCAAGACCAGTTTCCGGTGCAGCGTCTCCGCGTCCGGCGTTGCGTTCCATGTCACTCCCCGCTCCAATCCAAAGCAGGGCCCTTGTGCGGTGGGTTCAAAAGCATATATTTGAGGCTGAGATCAACCGCACGCTCGCAAAATGTGGGTGTGTCAACGCCATCTAAGTACAGCGATTCTTGCTAACGCCATGATCATCCGCCTTGGCTCCGCAAATCGAACTAAGCAATCAACGCACCCCCCATGAAACCACAATCTACTCGCTCTTCCTCTCCTTGAAACACACCTTCAACTCCGGCAACATCAGCGTCCAGCAATCCCTGCTGCCCGTGATGAACTTCTTCCCATCCTCGCCGTCGGCGAAGCTGACCTCGAACTTTGCGATGGTCCTCGCCAAGACGCTCTTGAGCTCCCACATGGCCAGCTTCTGGCCCACGCAGTAGTACGTGCCGAGCTGGAACGGGAACCACGCACTGCGGTCGTGCAGCAGGCCCGCCTCGGGGCTGCCGGCGATCCACCTGGTGGGCACGAAGTCGTTGGCGCGCCCGAAGTAGCGCTCGTCGCGCTGGATGACCCATTGCGGCATCAGCACGACGGTGTTGCCGGGGATGCTGATGTCGCCGTACTTGGCGTCGCGCACGTACAGGCCCTCGGGCGGCGTGACGCGCGGGTTGCCCGACGGGATGGGCGGCTGCAGGCGCAGCGTTTCGTTGACGATGGCTTCGAGGAGGGGCACGCGGTCGAGGAGATCCGGCGTCAGGGTCGAGGGGTCCGCGAGGGCGCTGGCGGGGACCGAGGCAGAGATGGCGGTGTAGAGGTCTTGCTGGATCGAGGGGTGCAGGCTGAGATAGTAAAAGAAGTTGGTCATGGTGGCGGTGGCGGTGTCGCTGTTGCATGGTCAGCGTGGGGGGGGGTTCTTTGTGGATCAGGGGAGGAAGCAGATGGGTATACGTACGCTCCGGCCATGACGAGGCTGCGGGTGTCGTCGTCAAGACCCTCGATGGTCTTGGCTCCCCACGGCTTCTTCTCCTCGAAGGCTTGGATGAGCCAGGCCAAGATGTCCGTCGGGGCATCGGCCTTCTCCGACGTGCTGTGGACGGCCTACTCGAAACGGATCAGCATCTCTGCGGCTCGCTCTGCGCTTGCTCAGCAAAACCACTCACCTTCATCTTTTCCCTCACCAAGTCCCTGCAGTACCGCGCGTAGGGCTCCATTGCGCTCTGGCCGCCAGGCATGCGTCCCAAGATGTTCCCCAGCCACGGAACGTGCTTCAACAGACCCAGCGCAAAGCCGAATTCGTGCATTTGCTTGATGGCGGCGTGGTCGGTGGCGTTGCGCAGGCAGTCGAAGTCGCGACCAAAGCCAACGACACCCATGATGTCGTAACCCAGCCAAGAGATCCAGTCGGTGACATTGACGGGCTTACCGAGGTATTTGGGCTCGGTGAGGCGGTCGAGGAAGAGCGAGATGGTGGATTGCATGCCGTCGTTGTACCTGGCAACTTCTACAAGGCCGTTAATAGGAGAACAGCAGTAGCGGGCTCGAGGAGTCTAACGCTGCGGTGTCATGGAGATTTCCCACGCCCTCCTTCCTCTGCGGTGGTCTTCGGGATCCATCTTGAAGGGCAGGCCCTGGCGCTCGATTCTGGTCTCGGCCATGCCGTAGAAATTGCCCTTCCCGCACGTGATGATTTGGTTGAGCGGGGAGATGCGGGCAATGGAGAGCTCGCGGGGGCCTGTATGCGCCGTTAGCATCGAGTCCCAAAGATAAGAAGAGGCTGCATTACCTGTTCGCACGACGTCTCCATATTTCTCATGCAGTTTATCGAGTTCGAAATGGTACTGAATGTTACGCGAGAGGTACAGGGAGTAGAACTTGGAGATCTTGGCTCCAAGCGGACCGGGAAACTTGCGGAGTCGATGGAAGAAGAGACGGTATACGATGGTAGACACAGCCAAGCTCGAGAGAAAGCCGGTTGCGAAAATGGCGAGGGATGCCACCGAGTCGAGGAGGGGTTTGTGGAAGATTTGAGAATCGGCATAGAGACCGGCAAGCGCAAAAGCGACAAGGCATACAGCGGTTTGAGGGACAACAAAGTCGATTTCCACAAACTGGAGGCCGGCGTGGAATGCCACGCCGAGAACCGAGGACGTAGCCCACGCAGCAATCGCCATGATCTCTGAGAGTCGAGGATGGCGAGAGGAAAGTATGCCGTAGAGGGGCGACCCGCGCAGTGTAGTTAATATACGTCTTTCCCATGATCCAGGCTGCGGCACAGCGGGCGGATATTTCCACGCTGACAGGGATCACGAATGATGCCCCCACTTCTCGGCCTCCTTATTGCCTCTGATCTTCCCAAGCAAAGCCGTTGCGTGGTGTTTGGCCGCGTACTACGGATACGGCTGCAGGCATAAACAATGTTAGCGCGGTCCCTGTGCGAAGCACGTAATCTTTGGCTGTTCAGGGACAAAACAGACGGCTGTCGGCGAGCGAGGCCAGACGAGAGGCGTGGATTGGCCCGAACATGTATTTTACACGGCGAACGGGCTCGTCAATCACACCCACAAAGCGCCGAGCTGACATTATCTGTGCCTGCAACCACGGCAAGACGCACGAGCTTGCACCGCTCCATGGTTAAAAATAAGATGGGCACCAAAATGAAGCCACGCTGATTGGACAAGGAACACCAAAGCGGCGGCCAGGCTCCTCCACTATCGAAAAAGAAGGCTAAGTGCGGATGTGATTTGAAACGTTGCGGGTGAGGTGGCTGTGGCCGTTTGCTCCGACCCGCGTTAGGCCCCTACCAGAAGGATTGACTCGACCGTCCGCGACTCAGAGATGGCGGGCGCGAGTAAGTCACGCCACGTGGGCATAGATTGCAAGCCCAGATACGGAGATCGTGGTCGACAAAGGGGTTCAAAGGATCACCCCAACCGGAACGACCGAGAACGAAGGGGCTCTCTGACCGCCGCGGTTTCGACACTCACACTCGTGGCCGATAGTAGCCGTGAAAATGGCCTTGGGCCTATTGGGTTGACTTCATGGCAGAAGCAATCAAGAGGGTCGCCGGCTCGCCAGGTACGACTACTGTGTACTCACCTCACTCCCGAGCAAGGACTCCGCGCCCCTCCCCAGCTGAGGGTCGCGAAGCGCGGGGACTCTCCACTAAGCGCCATGGCAACGGCATCGACCAAGCCGATACGAGTGGCATTCCTTCGGTCACTTGGACCAATGGCCTGCGTCTGATCGGCACGGACGCCCGGCCAGGCTCCCTATACACAGCAAGTGCATCATGTTTTGCGGAACGGTTTGGCCTTTGGATAATATAACCTGCACCGCCATGTTCAATCCGATCATTTAGGAAAGGAATGGGCTGTTGATTAGCCGAACTGTACTAACGCCGCAGGCGCAGTGGTTTATTAGCACCTAGCCGGAGACGAGTCAAGCGCGGCGAAGCTAGTGGCACGTGGCTTCTGGGCCGGAAGTCAAAGCGCTCCCGGTTATCGTACTAAGGTCCCTGGCAACGATCAGCACGTTCAAAGGGGTTACCTACTCTTCGGCACTCATGAACCTACCCGAGCATGGAGTTCCGAATGTCAAAGTCCATAAGTCGAACCGACCTACTACGTATGTACAAGTCAGAACCCACCAAGTAAGCGACCTAAACCTGACCAGCGACACTTGGTAATAAAGTCGAAACGCCCCAGACATGCAAATGAGGCCACCTGAAAGGAAATAGCTTGCTCCATGGGAGTACCCTTTCGCTACCTTAGACGCACTAACTTTTACTAAGACCTATGGGGCATTCCTAGCCCCTATCTCGGATCAACCAATAACCCTGTATGGACTAACGTCACCACCCGAATCCTGGGAAAGATTAGGCGCTTCGGATATTCCCTTTTCCCTCCTAGAGGCCATACACTAAGGTACAGCCAGTGGTTCAGAAGGCAAAGTGTGGAACGACCCGCCTGTAGTGCGATCCCATGCAACCCCGGGCCGAGGCGAAGGGCTCGAGCACTAGAGCTGGTTGATAGTGTTATCAAAGGAGAAGTGTTCCTCGGCACTAAGTGTAGAGCCGCGACTTGAAATTTTCGACACAGTCTACCTACGAAATATTGAATATACGTTAACGGACCCACGGCCCCACGCTGAGTTGCCTTGGAGTACCAACCAAGAAGCGAAAACTGGTCAACCCCACTCAAATAAGTAGAGTTACTGGACACGCCATCTAGTCTTCGGGGTGGAACAGCCTGGACTTTGCATTTAGTACGTGTTCCTCGCTCCCGAGGGGGTGCAGGTGGGGCTCATGGTGCCTAGTTCGGGGTGAAGCAGGCGATGAACGGTCTAGCCAAGGTCAGCTCTGCACGGTGTGGCCAGAATCCCCGGTGGTTGAGGTCATGGGTCTCGCTCACCTTGGGCTGCTCGGCTGAGGCAGCTGCGGTGGCGTGGTGACGAATGTCCTCGCAGCCGTCCAGGCTGTCGAGGGGCCGGTCCCGCTGAAGCACTACTTGGCTCGCACTCGGATCTTGCGTGAGCCCAATGGTGTCAGCAAAGGGATCAGCATGAGGAAAGAACAAGAAGACTAGGCATTCCGTAAGGCAGCATAGCGCCGCAAACCACGTTTCCGTCACTGTCAGAATCAAGGACGTCGAAGCCGTGGTCTGCTTGAGCCCTCGTGAAGTATGTAACCCATAAGAGCAAGAGCAAGCGGCGGTGCATGACGTGCTCGATAAGGTTCCAGGATGCGAGTGTGCCAGCAATTGGTGTAAATATTGGCGGAATAGTGCGTTTTGATCGGCATGATTGATAAGCCAACATCCGTAGCCCATCCCTCTTATTGTCGTCTCCAAGTCTTCTATCGTCCACGATTTCCAGTCTACCCCAGACTACTGCTTCAATCCCGTACCTCACATTCAACAATTATACCAATCCAAGGCTTCGCTGGCCATTATATGCATCTCACAGACCTGGGACCGCCGACTCGGACCTGGTACTTTTGTGATTTCCTGTACACTCGCGTTGATTAGCGTTCCGTCTTGTTTGCAACAACTAACGTGTCGGAATCCTGGAGGGTGGTAGATGTGATCGAGAGTATGAATTGTCTGTAAGTTGCCCCATTACGGTGTTTTCCAGCTCCAAAGCGGTTGCTATTGGTGGACCTTTGCCTCAGCAGATCTCATCAACGTGGGGCATATTGTTCGAGCCAATTCATTTTGCCTTGCCTCCACGCCCTCGACTTAATCCTTGAACTATCGACGTATGGTAGACGTAGCCGCTGTGACCACCAGCCTCCGCTTGAGTTCTTCCGCTCAGCTCATAACGGTTGAATTTTCGGTTGTTCTGAGAACGCAAGTTGTGACGCGGGTACCTGTACGCATAAGCTATCCACAAATTGATATCAGGACTGTGGTAAAGGCAAATGATTAACTTCATGCAGCGATCTTCGTCCGTCGTCATCTTACACCCAGCTACAAAGACTATTTCGTATTGATATTCGCAGAAGTTTGGAAACGCTCAGTAAAGAAAATAGCCGTGCGGCCAAGCGACGCTCCCCGTTTCCCCATGCCCTAAGAGCTACAATAAATGATCAGATTGATTACATGTAACACTAGAAATCGAGCATAGTCCTGCACTAAACGCAACAATAGTGCCGATATCCTCAGTCTATGGCTCTAGCAAAGATTCCGTAATACATCTTTAATCGTGTGAAGAGCGAGCCTACGTACTGAACAGCACAGCTAAGGTAACCTCGGGTAAGCTCGGTATGCCGACACAAGTCGAGAGTGACGTTTTGGCCAGAGTGCACAGTATCGTTAGACGTTGAAAATTCTCACTCTTGGCCATCATCGTCAGAGAGCGGAAGGGTGACCTGAGTGACAAATTGCGTGCCGATTTGAGAGCTATCAACTTCAAACGCCTCTGACTGGGACATTGTTAGGTGGGTATCTCTGATAGTTCGCTCCTGGCGTACGTCGTCATGGTAGTTGGCCAAAACTTTCAAGCTCCGGAAACCCCCGCGAGGTAGCACTTCATCATTCTGTGTGTGTACAGGAGTTGTCCCGGTTGAGGGTGGATCCCGCATTCTCTGGTGAATCATTTGTGAGCTACTCAAGAGCTGCTGGGAAGGAGACCGTGTCGACCCAATTGAACTCGGCAGAGTAGGAGACAAATCTGGTGGATGTGGCGGGGGCATGAGAGAGGCCGAGCTTCTACCTCTTGGATGATCAATATCCTCGCTTTGCTGCCGTGCTTCGGAGCCGTGTATGCTCTCTTCATCACTCTGGTCGTGCAAGTTTGATACAGTGTTATCGAAAGGGTCGTCGGAAGTGTTGCTGACGGGCCAGACGGCTCGAACATTCTCTTTTTCGAAATCATCCAGAAGAGGGATTGTTGATTGGAGCTTGGAGCGTTCAAAGACCCCCGTGTCCTCGTACACATGTATTGGTATTTTCTGCGCTTTTTGAAGGTGTGATTCAATCGCCGGGAACAGTGGTATGAGTTGATTCGCTTCCTTCACCAGTGCCATCACGCGCTGGACCGTCTCTTGCATTGAGGTAGGAGGCACCTCGGGGAAGTAGGGAGGATCTCCGAGTCTGTGATTTAACGGTGTTGTGGCTGTCCTGCGTGTTGCTACTGGCCCTGGATTGACTCCCTCAGGAGTGTCTGCATGGTTAGTACCGGTGGATCTGGGGAGGTTCAGCTTCTTGGTGCGCCTTGGCCGGTGGTCGCTATCTTCTAGCATATCATCCATGGGGTGCTTCTTGGCGTTGTAAATCGGTTTTGCAGCAGATCCGGGCCGTCGATCCCGCTGACTTCGTCGTGTTGGGGCAGATTTCCTGGAAGGATGGACTAACATGAAATTAGCAGTAACTTGCGTGTAGACCAAGCAGACTTACTCGGACTCTCTTCTGAGTCAGCATTAGCATCAGCATCTTCTACGTCCGAGCCGCTGCCGCTAGATGGCACCATGCAATCGTGCTCGCCGTCAGATTGTTCAGTCTCAGCGTCGACGGCGGTGGGTGTGGACTGCACTTTGAGTCTCCGCTCACGCTTTGCTGAAGCTCTTGGTCTCAAGAACTTGTCCATGGGATGGTATTTATTATCGTAGATGCCTTGCTGAAAGCCGTTCAGAGTACCCCTTGTGGTGTATCGGGTTGAAGGTGGTGGCAGGTCGGGTGAGGTAGAGTCTTGACCTTCCCATGGAAGAGGCATGCCACCGATAACATCTTGTGACGGATGGAGGCCGCTCAAGAGTCTGGATCGCTTCTTCTGGCTTGTGGTACTGGTCGGCGGTTCCAGGACTCCCTACAGTAACGTTAGCAAGATTTCTCACGTGAACTAAGCGGAAAGACCGTATTCTGTAAGAGTCTTACCGGTGACGGGGGCGAAGTGGAAGAATGGGACGACCTGCTCAGATCTGGAGTTGATGCGTACGTCCGATGCTTTCCGTGTCTTGACGCCATGGCTGCGAGGTGAATCTTGACGTTGAATGCCGAAACGCAGAGTGAATGAACGCTGTGAGAGCAGGTTTTCGGGGTGAGAGAGCGATTGCGAACCGCGAAGAATGGGGTGAAGGGCGGATGGTGAGGCCGTGGAATAAGAGACTAGAAGGTGTGCACCTACCGGTTCCGCAGCGTCGCTCAATGCAGAAGTCGCCACACAATGTCCTTTCCCCAACTCGAAAGCGCCAAGCAAGCACGATTTTGACAAGACTCGCGTTGTACCTCACCTACTGCGGCCGAGGTGAGACTTCCCACCAACACACTCAGACACCAAAGAGGAAGAGTTCTCCGGCCATGTTCACGCATCGATACCGTTGAAGAAGAAGGCACTTCCTTCGCTTGCAAAGAGAACAAGGCAATTATAGCTACATAGCCTATGAGGGAAAACACCCATGAAAGCTACCAGCCCCAAACGCCGGTCAGAGGACATATCGATCATTACAGCCGAGTTACACCATGGTTTGACCATTTAGGTAACCCTGCTACCTAACTCTCCATTGTCGCGTTTAGAGAATGAAAGTTTGTACAAGGGAAGAAGGTTTTGATTCGTCCATGCAAAATAGAGAGGGCAACGCCGCCTACAGCAGGAATAATGATAATAATGGTTTTGACTGCAGGTCAGGTGGATATCTTGCGAACGTGGACGGCGAGAAAATAAAGCAATTGGTCCGCTAGAACGCACAAGTGGTATGAACAGGTTGACGGACGCCTGGGATCCCAAAACGGATGTGACCAGGAGCGGCGACAAGAATGTAGAGGAAGCTTTCCCGAAAATTTGTACCGAGAGACAAATTTAACCGCGTGAGGTGAGACGGATGTTTCGGGGAAGTGTTGGCATTATGAATTCCTCGTCGTCAGATGGGTTGTCGTCGACTTCGATCGTGTCGGTCTTGAAGCCCCCGTTCATGCCGTTGATTGAGACTGGTGCTGCAGCGGGCATGAGCTTCGAGTCGGTGTCCATCAAGTCGGGCTTGCTTTGCGTTTGACGTTGCTCTTCACGTTGCCTGGCTTTATCGGCCGCCTTCTCAGCCTTCTCCTTCTGCTTTGCAACTTCGGCTTCGGCGACCTTGACGACCTCGTCAAAGCTCTTCCGGGCGCCTTCAAGCTCTGTCCAGCAGTCACCATCGCGGAGCGATTGGTGCGCGCCACGCTCGCAGAGACTTTGCGCGTTCTCCAAAGCCTTGTCCGCGGCGTCAAATGCCTCAGAGCCAGCATCGCTGTTAAAGCCACCTGGGCCCATGCCGCGGGTTGTGCGGAACCCACCCAAGCCGGCGCGTGGCCTGAACTGGAGCTTGGCAAGGATAGGGTCGAAGTCGTCGCTGTTCTGGTCGTCGTCGCTGTCCTGAGTCTCCGCAGACATGGCCTCCATGCGTGCGGCCATCTTGCCCTTCCGCAGCATATTCCTGCCCATTCCAATGTTCCGCACCAGCGTCTCAAACGCCTTTTGGACTTCTGCATCGTAGTAGACGACAATCATGCTCCGGGTCCGGTATTTGTTCGGGCCGGACGCCTTGGACAATACAGACGCGGTCTTGCGCTTGCGATTGGCGTTGGCCAGGGCTTGTCTCTCGGCCTGATTGGGGATGTGTGGTTGGGCCGGGGCAGGCGATGCGGCGTCGGTGCCATCCTGCTCAAGAAGAGCCTCTTTCCCTTCCTTCAGGGTCTCGGTAGACCCTGTCTTCTTGACTACTTTGTGGACGACGGGGACCTTGGCGATCTCATCTTGCTTCTCCTCTATCTTCGTCGCGATGCGTTGTAAGTCCTCTAGCCAGGTAGGGATGTTGTCGCGGAGGAAGGTGAAGCACTTCTCGGAGTCGGACATGGTACGATATGGACGTTGCGGTATTTACGGTAGTGCGCGCGAGGGGGATCGACGGTGCGGGTACGCCCTCGGCTGCAGGGCGAAGGTGCCGGTGAGGTAAGGACAGCAACTGGCTGAGGTGGCGGGCGGGAGACGGGGTTATGGGTGGTCTTGCTGAAGGCAATTGCAAATGGTTCGGCCGGCAGCGCCTGAGGAGAAGGGAAGAGGAGAGAACGCGAACGAACGATCTGGGGCCCTTCAGAGAGCACGAAGGATAATAGTGGAGAGGCAGGGATTCGCTGCACGGGCGGCCGTCGTCGCGATTTGCTCGACCGGGGTAGGGCGGGAGCGGCAGCGGTTTCGGCCGGCAACACGCACGGCGGACGAAGGTGGGAACGAGGCGGATGCCCTTGCGGCGAGCGAGCAAGCGGCGTGCATGCGACATCTGTCGGCGCAGGTGCAGTTCAAGTAGCGGAGCGGAGGCGGAGAGGTCGCCTTCACGGACGAACGCACGCAGCCGGGCCGTCCCTGGGGGCTGGGACGAAGTCACGCACGCCGCTGCAGCAATTCGCTCTTGCATGCGGCGCCCACGACCCTCTCTCGCCTCGCATTCGCTTACCCAAAGGCCGTTCTCGCCGCAGACACGCAATTTACCGCTGCGCCGCCCGGCCTTGCCGCCAGGTCAACCGCTCTTCCACCCCGCCATCAGCAGCGCGCAGCCATCGGCCCCCCAGGGAACGCCCGGCCTCGCACGCTGCCCTCAGCACCACTACTTCTGCACGAAGCCGCGGCGGCGGCAGTGCGCGTGGGATGGCCAGGACGAGGCGCAATCACCGGGCAGCGGCCGGGAAGGAAGGCTTCGGGCACCCAAGGGGCTACATTCAGCAGCTCCGAACGTAAACGCCGCGTCGACGCCGCAACCGCTGGCGCCGCCGCGCCGCCGATGGAGCCAATTCCTTAGTCAAACGGCCGGCAATCAGCAACTTCGCGGGATGGCTGTCAGATCGCCCCGGCCTTAGCCGCGAGAGCGCCCACTGCGCTTGTCTCGATTCCCTCCCGTGCCGCGGGCGACTCCACCGCGCCCAGGCACCAGTCCATTGGAGGATAATCTCGCCGCCTGTCGAACCATTGGCTCGAGCTGCCCGCCGGCCCGCGAAGCTGCACGTTTGACCGTTGCGACGAGGCTGCATGTGTTGCTGAGTTGTCCTACGCACGACGACCCGTACGAGACAGGCGTGCCAGCCCAATGGGAGCGACCCATGCCCTTAACAGCGCTTAGGTGAGCGGTGTGGCCGGCCAAACCGGTGGGACAGGATTCCCCGATTCGGCGCGCGCGACAAGCTTGCAGGACATCACGCGCTCCGCGTGTGAAGACATTGGACCGGGTTTCGACACTGCAGCAGCAACATGCCGCTGCGCATGTGCTATGGAGTCGTACAGTCACGCCCGCCCCGGCTCCATCCGCCTGGGCGCCAGCGCTCAAGGGACTCGTCACTGAGCCCTTTCTCTTACTCAAAAGGCACAATGCACATTCAAAGGGGCAAACTCTGATCGATGTGATGACGTGCAGCTTTCTTGATTGCTCGGTTGTCAGCGCCTCAGGAGGTTGCACGGAATGCACCCCTCTCCCTAACAAGCCCACCCATCTCCATCCTCTCCATCTACGGCCACAACTCCTGCATCTTCCATTCGGCCGTGTCCTCTTGGTACGTATACAAGTAGCGTCTAGCCTTCTCTGGATCGCTTATGTCGGTCTGTTCTACCTCTTGCGGCCTGATCACCACCACTCTGAAGTGCTTGCGTGCCACCGGGTCATGCAAGTCCTCGACCTTGGCCCCCAGCTTCAACTTCTCTTTGTCATAGGGCTCGGTGACCGGCCTCCCCGGCGGCGGGGCGCGGAAGCTGCCTGGGAAAAGCGAGGGCGGTCAGCGAGAGGTCGTGCAACACCGCGAGCGTAGCCATGACACAAGAGTTCCCGGTGTGCGGCATGCTCGCGTCTCTTTGCTAGTACAGGAACCGAGGCATCGGTGTGTTCTGGAAGGCCACGAATTGCCTCATGTCTCTGCTTGAAGCAGCTCTCCAGATCTGGTGGTCCACCCTCCTTGCATCAAATGATATCTACCTCCCAAGTATTCCCAGACAGAAGGGTGTCCAATAGCTACCGCAATTGCTTCGTATCCGACGCAAACGAGGTGTAAAGTAAAATGAGACTAGAGAAAGACGTACCTCTCAGGGCAGGGGAAGTATTGCCAAAGTGCCCGGTGACCTCCTTCGCCCAGCTCCAGTCCGCTTCCTTTCCGGGCTTGACAACCCTCATTCTCTTTCCGACCTCGCTCTTAACGGTGCGTACACCCGAGCTCTCCTCGCTGTCCCCCTCGACATCCGGCCCAATTACAAATGCGTCACCCTTGATTCTCCACTGCGTCATCGTCGGCTGGACCCAGTAAACGGCCTCGACAGGGCCGCCTCCGCCGCTGCCCTGCCACTGCTCCTCGCTGCTCGCGTGGCCCGCGCTCGAGCCGAAGATCTGGGGTACCTTGAGCATGCGGATGTCCGTCGTGAACGTCGGCAGGTCGCTCTCGTAGACACGCTCGTTCATGGGCGCGTTATTGTGCTTGTTTTCAGGCAGCTCCGCCCAGAAACCGCGGAAGATGCAGTAACGCGCGCGGGGCAGGTATGGGACGGGAGAGCCTTCGGGTGCCTTTTGCACCGTGGAGAGGACGAATTCGGGTGAGTCGAGCTTGGATAGGTGCGACTGGAAGGCACTTTTCCAGGGCGCGGGCCCTTGCTCTGCGCTGCCGGACGTGGACGACATGGTGCGCAGGATTTGCGTAAGGCGGGGTTTTGCGCGTGGGAAAGCTATGGTGGCGGCAATACTGCAGGTGAGATGATCGTGTAGTAAGTGCGAGAGCAATCGGCGGCTATGTGTACCTTTTTCGTGGTGGGCTGATAGCTGTCAATGACGCTGTGACTTTTGAGGCGGGGAGCTTTAGCTAGGTACGTGGGGCACGAGTAATGACGTAAAGACGAACGCCGTCAGAAATGTGAGCGGAGGGGACCTCGACATTGAATTCGATGAGACTCTCGAAGGATAAATTACATGACTACTGGCTGAGCTTACTTTTGCGCGTTGCGTACTCCCTTTTTTTTTTTTGGCGGTTGGCTCATTAGCTTTCGCGAGGCCTTATATTGCTGTAGAAGTATACTGGGATAGTGGACTACGTATCTAGCACTGCGAGCCTGGGTGGCGTGTTCCAATATTTGGAAATTAAATACTATCATAAATCCTAGTCCCTACGCACGACTTTGATGCCGCTGTCACCGCCTGGAACGGCACCCTGTCCGCCGAGCGCCTCCATCTCCTCAATATCCATATCCTCAAAAGACTTGGTTCCTGGCGCAGATGACGCGGACTCTCCGTTCTCAGCTGTCCTCACACTTGTGGGTCCAGGAGGTCCGCCGGCTTCAGCCTCTGCTTCTTTTTTCCAAGCTTCCCTCTCCATCTCATCAAACTCATCTCTCCTGTCGAGCCAACGCTCTTGAACATCTCGCGGCTCCATCATAGTCTCCCCTTCTCGCATGGCAATCTGCCAGACAGTCTCATTGACACCCTCGTTGCTGCCAAATGCGTATCCACCGGCGCGGTCGATTGCACGCAGGAGCATCAACATAGACTGTTTGTCCTCAACGGCCAACGTGTGGAATGACAGTAAGCCGAAGTTTTCAATCATCTCGCAAATAGCCGCGTTCAGAGACGAAAACTTCGATTTTGGTCTCCGAGGGTCGTCCTCGTCATCAAGGTTGGTGAGGTCCACGTTGTCTTCTCCCTCCTCACTTGTTGGAGGCTGTGCCCCTCTGTTGCCAAACCGGGAACCTTGCTCAGCCTCCAAGTGTGGTAGAAGATAGTCCAATGCCTGAACTTCAGTGTAGAAATCGAGGTTGAAGGGTAAGTCTGGGTAGTTGCGGAGGTTGTCGATTTTAGTGAGGACGTTGATGTGTGGGAGATCCATCTGGAGCATCCCACGCAGGGCGACGAGGAGAGCTGAGATATATAGCGAGGGTTGGGAAATCACATATGAGTCTGTGAGTTGTACTACTACGAGCTGTGCAAGTACGCTGTCAGCTCATGTTGCCAAAGGCCATTGGGGAAAGGACTGCGGACTCTGTACCCAAGCTTTTCTAACCGCAAAAAGATATGGCGTAGCGAGGAGTGATGCGTGAAGAGCTCGACTTGACCAGGGCAATCGAAAAGTATGTAATCATCTGCAACGCCTTTGATCAGCACAGAAGCGGCGACCTACGGAGAGACCGCGCACCTCCGAGCTCCTTTAAGCCGGCCTCAAGCCAGTCCAGGTTGTGCTCCAGCTCTTCCAGAGCATAGAGTACGCCTCCATTGGGACCAAGTTCTTCCGCCTCCATAATATCCTCCAGAGTCACGAGATCGCGCACATCGAGGGCAACGGGGTATGAGGTGTGATCGTTGGCGGGGTCGAGGTTGACGACGGAGCACTTGCGACCGATGGCGGACGTGAACTGGTGCATACCATTGCAGTAGGTAGACTTGCCCGCGCCGGGCGAACCTATTACCAGTTGCGCGAAGGGCATAGCGGGTGGTGTTGCAGGAGTTGTTTGGGTTGCGACAAAAAGTGAATCTCGAAGACGCTCGAATGGAAGCGCGCCGCCGCCGATCATGACGAACTGGCGCGGGGGCCAGAAATCGTTGCCGCAATTGTTCTGCCACCGCCTTGCCGCCCGTCAACACCAAACAACAGCTTCTATTGCCTTACACCTCTCCACTTTACCACAACCAACCTCTCCAAGGCCCAATATGAGCTCCAGTAAGTCCGGACCAATACTTTCTTGTCAAGTGCTGACCATCTCATAGACCAGTTCGAGCTCACGCAGCCCCCCACCGACGCGATCTCGTCCCTCACATTTGCGCCTGGCTTCCCGACCCGACTACTTGTCTCGTCTTGGGATAAGCACGTGTACATTTACGATACGCACTCGCAACCAGGCGGCGAACTGCTGCAGAAGGTTGAGCACCGCGCGCCTGTGCTGGACGTATGCTTTGGCAAGGATGAGAATGAGGCTTTCAGCGCAGGCCTGGACTGGGACGTGAAGAGGTACGAATAACATCGGAAGGCAAGGGCGCCCAGGACTGATTGATGTGAAACCTGCAGGATCGACTTGCGGACGGGCGAAAGCACGGTGATGAGTAGTCACGAGGCCGGTGTCAAGTCCGTCGTCTACAGCCGCGAGCATGCCCTACTAGTATCAGCGTCTTGGGACGCCACGCTGCATGTCCACTTTCTCCTCGACACCGCACAGCCACCGACAACAATTCGGCTTCCGAGCAAGCCCTTCTCCCTCTCCGTCACCGCGACCAAGCTTGTCGTTGCCATGGCATCGCGCGCCGTGCACATCTACGACCTCAAGGCCCTCCAGATGCTCTGCTCTGAGAATCCCGACCCGGAAAATATCCTCTCGCCTGAGCCGTGGCAGCGGCGCGAATCGTCGCTGAAGTTTATGACGCGCGCCGTTTCGTGTATGCCCAACGACGCCGGTTATGCCAGTAGCAGCATCGAAGGCCGCGTCGCTGTCGAGTGGTTCGACCCAAGCGCCGAAAGCCAGGCACGCAAGTACGCTTTCAAGTGCCATCGTCAGAATGTTGAAGGGGTAGACACTGTTTATCCTGTCAACGCCCTCGCGTACCACCCCCACTTCGGCACATTCGCCTCTGGTGGTGGTGACGGTGTTGTGGCGCTGTGGGACGGCATTGCGAAGCGGAGAATAAGGCAGTACCAGCGCTACCCAGCCAGTATCGCCGCTCTGTCTTTTTCGGACGATGGCAAGCATCTCGCTGTAGGCGTGAGCCCAGGGTTTGAGGATGGCCAGGAAGACATGCCGGAAGGACCCGTCAAGGTCCTCGTCAGAGAGCTCGGGGAATCTGAGGCGAAGGGCAAGAGCGCCAAATAGTGGGACAGCGAACGGAATCAGGGAATTTGGAGTTTGGAGTTGGATCACACGGCCGGCGATGACCTCGTCCAGCCCTGCTTCGTCGCATGGAACAGGTTGTCTTGGGTTCGAAAGGCCCCTGCAACAAGCACTTTTCTCAAAGCCATCGCACCAAGACGGTGAAGACCGGTAGCACAATTGCTCGCAAATCGCTGCAAAAGAAAGATTCGGGCGGCAGTCAGAGCCTCACAACGGCAAGTTCATTACTCCCGAAGTGCTTCTTGCCAATCAAATAACAATTGTCTGTAGTCATGACAAACATACCATGAATCCAATGAACCACTCGTCAATTCGTTTTCTACTCATGTATGTTCATGCTCTGAATGTTCGTCGGTTGGGTCTGATACCTTCATACTTTAACGGTAATGCCGCAATAGAAGGGCCTCGGCAGGCTTCCACAGAGGGGCACAAAAGTCCATCGAGTCTGCGAGGTGTGCTGCACATAAACCAGTTCGCTACAAGTGATATAATCTCCACCCTTCATGCAACGTCGGTATTTCCCGGTACATCGCATTGACAGGCTTGGATAATGCGTTGAGATAATTAATTCCGTTGGTGCAGAGTATGTAGGTTGTCACAACAGTAAGTTTACAATAGGATGGGCTTCCCTCTTTCTCTCTCTCAAAACAATAAATCGCACACGGCCGGGGTATCTGAAATCAAAATAAAACAAACGAAAAACAACTGTTGACTGCTTTAGACAACACAATCAAACATTTCAGCGAAGGCTGGGAGTAGATCTGACTGTTTTTGATTGCCGTTGTGCGCTACAACTTGGTGTTGTACGCCACCGCAAAGGCTTGTTATGAATGTAACCAACCTTTTTATTTGGTGCTCGTGGCAGACCAGCAAGGTGGCTGATACGCTCTGCACAAGTGCTCCCGATGCTGTGATTGCTTTGGAGGTCGGCCTAGCGTTCTGATCATGAAGCTGAAAATAGCAGCCCACGCCGCTTCGACAGCCTGGTTCCATCGTCCCGGTGCTATCCAAGCTCGCCGGAAATCTGCTTTTGCACTTGTGCAAAGGAAGATTCCTCCTTTTTCTTCCAACTCGTGCAGTCTTTGGTGGCTGATAGGGGTTTTCAGGAATGCTCTGGCTGTTGGTGACGGTGGTAAGGCATATTCTTGATTGCTTGTACCCAGCAATTGATCCGGAGCAATATTTTCCCCCTGGACCAAGGATCTTGGCCATGATGTCGGATGGTCGTCTCATGAGATGTCGTCTGGGACGTTTCCGCCTAGGATTCTGGGAAGTTCCAGAGTATTTGTCGCAGTGATACACATGCTCGCATGAGAATGCTGACATAGCCTGCGCTCCTGCTGTACAAGAGAAGTTCTTTCTCTCTTGCTCTTGTTCAGAGTAGCCGCCTTTCTGAATGTCCACTTTCCAATCTTCTGGGCAATTTCTGGGCGTCTTCCAAGCTCAAGGGCACAACAACATCTTGCTCCTCATCTCTATCCGCGAAGTTGATGTCTTCAACGCGTTGAGTTGACGGGCTCATCCTCCGGACCTTGGCTTCTTTCATCGGACTGTCACCGGAGCCCTTCCACATTCCATCCAGATTTCCGTCCTCTAGGGCGCCGGGGGTGGTGCTCAGCTGCCTCTTTCTCGCCTTGCTGAGGCGATCGAGCGCAGTCTTGAAGTCGTCGAGGACGATGGTGTCGGTCAGGCACTTGAAGACGAAAGCGAGCTTCCAAAAGGGGTTAATACCGTCAGGCAGGGCGTGTGCGTTGAAGACGCGGGTGACGGCGAGGATGTCGATGATGATAAAGATGAAGGAAACGAGCATGGAGCCGAGGAGCACGCCAAAGCGGGGCGAGATGCGCACAATGTGCCAGACGGACAGGTCGTAACGCGTGTGGATATTGTAGATCAGGTTAATCGTTGTGAAGATCCACCATGGGTCGCTGCGGGGCGCGCATCATAACGTCATGGTCAGCCGTTTTCGTTTACATCATTATATCCCCACTTTGACATGGGAGTCTGTAGCTTACCGGAACAAGGCTTCCCAGGGTCGGGTCTTGAGGAAAATCTTGTTGATGTTGTTGAAAAAGGCAAAGTTGGCGTAAATCTCGAGGACCCAATAACCAAAGCCCAGAACGACGGTGGTGATGTAGAAAATGGAGACCTTGCGGGACAGAAACGGCTTGTTCTTTAGCCAGGCGATGACATTGTGCAGGCACCAGGAAGCGTTCAGAAACACTGCAGTGGACGAGAGGTACCAGCCGTAGTAGGGCTCGTGGGCGAAGATAAAGGTGCCGTGGAACATTCCCATGATAAGCTGGTCGGGAGAAGGGTGTTAGCAATGCTGCGTGGTTGCCGCATCGGGAAGGGCGAGGCGACTCGCATACCTCGATGAGAATGAGCTTGTGGAGGAATACACCACGGCGCATGTTGGCGATGGTGATGCAAGTCATGATGACCAGACCGCCGACCCTGCAGAAAAGCGTCAGTCGCGAGGGAGCGCATTCGGAAGGTAGACTCGTACATGAAGCCCTGGGCCCAGGCCTCGAGGACCAGACCATCGGGATTCGTTGGCCGCCCCGTTGCGGGCTCGGCAGTGGCGCGAGGAGTGAGTAAAGCGGCAGGATCCATATCATAGAAGGAGGCAGAGGGCGGGATTCGACTACATGTTCAGCATTGAGGCGGAGGGCGAGGAGGAGGTAGCGCAGGTAGCTGAGAGGCGTGGAAGGAGCTGAGATGATGGTGCTAGGGCGAGCAAGCGAGAGCGGAGAAGGGCACCACACGTCAGCCGGAGCAGGCACCCCAACGGCAACGGAAGGCAGAAGTAGGTACGGAGGGCGCAGACCGGGTTGGCGGGAAAAGTTGGAGATATGAGCAGGACCAGGCCGGCCAGCCCTGTGCAGCGCCTCCTCCTCCGCACCTCCACACAAGCCCACAAGCGCGCGAATGAGCGGCTCTGAGGCTTGCTATGGCGGGCTGGGCAACCGCAAACCCAACTAGCAGACGCCCCAACATCACCAGCGCCCGGCGCAACACGTAACATGGCCGGCAGCAGCTGGTCTCGCTGCCCCCGGGGTTGCACTGCTGGCAGCCAGAGGGACGGGCTGGGCGGTGGCTAGTCCCTAGGGGCGCGAGCGCGGCGAGGAAGAAGCCGACGGGGGTAATAATAGCATGAGTGGTGCGGAGGCGGCGTGGTAGGCCGATCTTCTGAGCACTGCCGGACCAAGCCAAGCCCCGGCCATCCAGAACGCGAGTGCGAGGTCGACGTCGCAATGCCAATGATGTACGTAGCAGCAGACAACACGCCACGCACCGCGCGCCATCCCCCCTGTTTGCTGAAGATTCGCCAGAACTCGGGCCTTCGCTCCGTCTGTTGTGTGGCGCCCGCTGCGCCCGGGCTGCATGGGGTGCGGATCGTGGGCACTCGTCCCGTCCACACTGGCGGCCAGTCCGCAAGCGGAAGCCGAGGGTGTGCGGCCACGGCAAGTGCCACAAACTCTCCGTGGTGTTGGTTGTGGCCGTCGGTGCCTGGCCATGTGGCTCTGTGGCTCGCTTGGGGAAACGCCCATGGCGGACCGGGGTGGGACGCAGGTGCTGGTGCTTTTGCGGGGTAGTGGTTGTCGGTGCTCATCAGCCAGCTACTAGTAGGTAGTCCCTCAGCCGCAGCGGGCGGGGTTGCAAGTGCGCATTCCCTCGGACCATGGGAACAGACGCCTGAGATGGAATGCCGTGCGTGGTGTTGCGCAGCCGTCAGCCGAGCAAGCACAGGCAGGATTCGAGATTCGAGATTCGAGATTCGAGCAACGGAGGCACATGGCTGAGCGGATCCTACCTACCATCCCGGCGGCTCATTCCCGTCGAGCCCCCGGCTTCTTTTTCGGCCTGATGAGTCACTGTGTTCTGCACCCGTCGTCGCTGGAGAGCTCAGGGTGCGCCGAAGGGACGACCGAGCGGCTCTGCGGCTGAATTCTCGGGCTCCCTTGGTGGATGTTTGGCCCGCACGCACTTGAGCAGCGAGTGTCTCAGCCTCTTGGGCCAGCTTGCACATGGTCCCGCATCGTTGTCACTGCTACTACGGTGGCGCATCTGCAATGGGAAGCGCAGGACGGATGCAGACCAGAATCCCTGGCCAAGCATAGCGTCGTTTTTCTGTCCTGCCTCATCAAATCGTGCAATCTAAAATCCAATACTGAAGGAAGGACAGGTGACCCCAACATGGGAGTTGGCGGATAAACCGGAATGCCAACGGCTGCAAGCTGTCTTGCCCTGTAAACCCATGCTGTCTGGGTCTCACGCTGGCCGCTATACATGTCGCGAACAACGACCAACTGCGTGCATCGACTCACGCCGAGCGTTTCGAGCGTCGCAGATCGCGCAGACAGCGTCGTGGAAGTCAGCAACTTCGAGGTCGCAGCGATTAGCAATCGAGCGCCGCAGACTCCACCACCCCCGAGCCACGGCGATATCTTCGCCGCGGTGCTGCCGGCGATCAGGCAGCTTGCGCAAGGCTGATGAGACGCCGTGTGCACCATCTAGGTGAGAGGTTGCCAAGACCACGGTTTTAAAACGGACAATCTCGAGGCCGGAGAGGGCATTGGACGGCGCCAGTCGAGCGGGGGCGCGGTGTTGGGGCAAAGGGGCGCTTCCATGACGGCGGTGGTGGTGGACGTCATGCTGCCGTGCCGGTGTCTGGCCGTTGTCCATTGCGAATGCAGGGCCCGAGCCTGAGGCCAAACAAGATTCCAGCTGGCTGCCGCAGAGGGGCAGGAATGTGCGGGTGCCCGCTCGCAGCGCGCCATAAGAGCGCTGGTTGCCGCTTCCGAGCTCGTGTCATTGTGCTGCGCCCGACCAACCACGACCCGCCGTGCCTGCCCTCCCAGCTCCACCGGGCCGCCGACGTCGTCGAATCTCCACCACAGCGCCCTACCGCAGCGGCTGCTCTGAAACGCTGGACAGGCCCAGTCTAAAACACCTCCACTGCCATTGATAACAACCCTCCGCCACTCCCGCTTGATTCTATTTCAGTCCCCGCCCTGCCGCCCAAAAGGGAGCTGCCAGCTACCGACCCACGCTCTGCACGCTCTACACCACTGCTCACCCACGCACCAGCCACTGCTCCACGAGCCGAGCTCTCCACTCACCACCCAAACTACGCCCTGCTACCTCGCCGCACTCACACCCCACACCCGACCTCTGCTCGATTCTTACCACGCCGCGCGCTTCATCCCGTCACCCCACCGCCCCTGCCACAATCACCATGCCGACCATGCGCTCGCAGCGCCGCATGAAGTTCTTCGCCATACTCGTGCTCCTCGCAGTCCTCACTACCCTCTACCTGACCTCTGCCGCCCGCCAGACCCGCGAGTCGGCATTCTACACACGCACCCAGAGCGCCATCAGCGAGCGCGAGCGCACCGCTAATTCTGTTGTTGAGCCCAATCTCGCCACTGACGACGATGTCAGCAAGCGCCTGAAGGCTGCAGAAGACAAGGCGAAGAAGAGCGCCAATAACAAGGGCAACCGCATTCAGGAAGTCGTTGCTGCCGGCGACGCCGAGAAGGAAAAGGACAGGGTCAGCGGCAAGGTGAGCCAGCAGAACGCCAGGGTCGAAAAGGACACAAAGGTCGGCGAGCACGATGAGGTCACGGGCGAGAAGAGCGTCGCCGGCCGCGTCATCATGAAGGACAGCAGCAAGGCCGCCGATGGCGTTGACGGCGTTGCCAAGGTGGGTAATGTCGGCGATAGCGTCAAGGCTGCCGCCTCGTCCAAGGCCACCAGCGGTTCCGACGCCGGCGAGGAGACGCAGGAGGAACATGAGGCCGAGCTTGAGATCAACACCATCCTAAAGAAGAGTCCGAGTAAGTTATCCCCCATCTTCCCGTTACCTAGTGACAAGCTTGCAACAAAGCGCTCGGCCGTCGTACAACTCGCTGCTGTCATTCTTGGCTAACAGCTGCTTCTTCTAGTCATCATCTTTTCCAAGTCGTATTGCCGCTTCTCCGCAAAAGCCAAGAAGATCCTGCTCGAGGACTACTCCATCACTCCTGCGCCATATGTCGTCGAACTTGACCAACACCCGCTCGGCTCTGCAATCCAGGCTCAGCTTCAGAAGTCTACCGGCAGGTCGACCGTTCCCAACGTGCTCATCAATGGCAGGAGCATTGGCGGCGGCGACGATATCGAGACCCTGCATCTCAATGGCAAGATTGAAGAGACAATCCGCAGCATGGGCGGCAAACGCATAACTGAGGCGAGGCCGGCCGCTGAGGCTGCTACAGAGAAAAGCGGTCTCAAGAGGAGAAGAATCAAGCGCACTCTGAATGCTTAATTTCGTCTCGACGACTCTTGACATCGGATCACCGAAACTGGCCTGTCGTATGGTTCTCGGCCACCCGGCTACTTCGCCGCCATGGAAAGATCTGTTCTACACAGCTTCGCATTGGACGCGCTGAATATCAAATGCTGGAGTGATTTCTTCAGTATCGTACGAGACAGTCCAGCTCCCACGCCCACACGTCACGCCTTGCCAAACGTCGGCCTGTCACTCGTGTACACCTGACTTTTTCGGACCGAACACATTACTTTTCCCTCATTGTTTGTGCAGCTCTTCACATACCACGGCGAAGGTCAAAGAGCAGGATTGGCGGGGTTGGCGTTCATTAAAGACTGATCAACATCAGATAAGGGTTTCCATTGCACGTTTCTTGTTTTGCTTTGACCCTGGATGATGGCTTCTGTGTCTGAAACGCACAAGTAATTTGGATCGCTGGACAGGCTTCTGGAGTAAGAAGGACTGGGGGTGGCGTGGTAATGGGATGGGATGGATTTGGCAAAGGGAGGCATCAAAAAATGACAATGGCAAACTGGGAACAGGAGGGGCGGCGGGCTTAATGATACCCTGTACATGCGTACAGCTGAAGGAAGATTTTCATGATAAACTTAATCCTCATTAACCAACAGATTTCCTGAACAAGTGTGATTCGTTCCAACTCTTGACCTTCTGTCGGAAAGTCGTTCACGAACATCGAGGATTCACTAGACATTACCACAAAACACCATTGCAAACGGATGCGAGATAAGCGCTGCCCAGCGCACCATCCTGTCTACCTACGTGCCAACCTAGCTAATCTACTAACCCTTGTCTCAGCTTACTCTTCCTCCCAAGTACAAAGGACGCCCTGTGCGCGTCTGCTTATCAGCACAGCTTACACCCCAGTCTTGAAACACCCCGTGGGCGGTGGGCGGGGGGCCGCGAACTGAACCCACCTAGATTGACCCTGATCCTTATCGCACAGCCAACCTTTTTCCGTCTCACCGTGATCATCTCACATAGCTCTCTCCCTATTATTTCCACCCAATTCCAACGGAAGAGTCCTTGGCTGATGACGAGACGTTTACATTAATAACGTGAGAGTTCGTGGTTGAAGGTATACCAATCTTCATCTCATCAAAATGAGCAAATCGAGATAAGGACTACGAGAAGAAAGATTTACCTGAGCAAGCGCACCCGAGAGAGAGACGAATTTTTCCCTTCTCACACACCTGAGCCCACACGCGCCCACGCGCCCGTCCAATCTCATCTACATTCACCTTCCTTGGCGTCGTCGTAATCCACCATCGTCATCACCACCCCAATGATCACCAACAAAGCTAGCTCGTCAGCCGCCACCCCGACCCCAATCTTAAGACGGATGGAGAGTCGGAACGCACGTCTCACATACATGCATGAAATGCACGCGCACACACATGTGTGCATTGCATGACGACCATTCAGAAAGACGATCGACCGACCAGTCGCCACACGCGCCCCGCCCGCCGTACTCCCTCCCCTTCCACTCTGCATACACGTGGGGTGTCGATCGGGCGATCCGTCTCCTAACGTTCATGCGTGCATATTACATCCGTATGTACCACTGTGAGCACGTGGATGCCGCCCCAGCGGATATAGCGAGATAGATGGTGAGGGAAAGGGAGAGGAGAGGAAAAAAAAAAAAAAGGAAGCGGAACTGCTTTCATGGCAACGGCAAGTTTCCCTCAGCTGCCCCCTTGCGGTCATTTTATTGCTCTCCCTTTCGCAAGCGAGATAATTCGACCATGGTTGGACCATCTACTTTGTTCATAGGGCCCGAAACGAGAGCGTTGAAGCATGGTATGACCAGGGTGCCTCCTGTTTTAGATATAAAAGTACAGCTCTAACCTACAATATCACTAAGATACAACTAGAGCCTCCGGTTCACAAAATTCGTGGTCTTCGCACTAGCTGTCGGCTGCAAGAAGGTGCTGTAGAGCATTCTCAAACTTAATGTTGGTCCCGTGTCCCAAAATAACAGAGAGCATATTTGTTCTCCCCCTATCTTTTGACCCTTCTCTAACACTACAATTCCCAAAGTAGGAAAAACAAAAAAAAAAGGAAAGTACGACAGGAACTGGAGAGTTTGAGCCGATTATCTACCTGTGTGATTTTTTCCATATCCCTTACCAGAAACCCCGAGCTCATAAGACGCCAAATGGTTTTCATAAACTGATGAACCCGGCCCTTTTTGCCTTACCAACCCCGCTTCCGGGTTCTTTTGCAATTGCCCTACGCAAACTAAGAGGATGAAACAAAACAAGAAGAAAACGTGGAGTAGAAAGAGCACGTTATTGATACCACTCATCCTCATTATACAGGTTCATCGCCCCGTACCCACCATTCATAACCGTGGCACCGATGCCGTTCCTATTTACTCCACTACCCGCAACGCCGTTTGCGTACGATGTTTTAGCTATGTCCTCCGCCGCCGCCGCCAATGAAATAGGCAACTGTTGCTGCTGCAGCGATTGCCCTACGCCGTTAGAAGCAGTGGCAGCAGCAATTGGGCTGCGGTTGAGATACGCCATCTCCTCAGCGTTCATGCCCCAGTTGTCGAACCCGACTGCCAATTGGCTCTGGTCACGCAGCCACCAGTTGTCCTGGTTCTCTCGCAGCAATGCGTCCACGCCCCCGAAAAGATCTGATGGCGAACCTCCTAGAGAGACGTTCGTGGAGCCTGACGTATTGGCGGGAGTGGTTGGGTCGGTAGCTTGCTGCTGCGAGCCCTGCCGGTGGACCCGCGGGTACTGGATGTCCGCGGCTGTTTGTGGCGGTCCGGTCCGCGAGCGGTTGTCGGATCCGCGACGGACAATTGTCGCGGCGGCGTAGCTGGCGGCGTTTGCGGAAACGGTGGATGCTGTGCTGGCTGGAAGGGCGGTGGTGTAGCCGTATGATTGAACGAGAGGAGGAAGAGAGCCTGGTTGGGGGCATGCCGCCTGCGGTAGCGCAGCCGTGCCTTTCGGGGAGAGGGTGTCGCCATGATAGGTACCGAATTTCGCGTCGGTGCGGGCTAGGACAGCGACGGCTTCCTCGGGGAGCTCGACACGCCATTTGCGGGCGAGGATGGAGAGAATGCTCAATGTGCGGCGGGCGCAGAGCCAGCCCTCGGCGATTTCTTCCAAGTGCTTGACGCCGTGAATGATGTCTCTCCGGGCATTCTTGTCTGGAATGTTCAGGAGGTGGATGGTGCAAGCAGAGTGAGCAATATAGACAGCAACATTGCATATTTGCCGTAATCCGTGCGATCGTTTGTATAGCCTCAGGAGCTTTGATATTGACTGTGCCGCTTGAGTACACAGCTTCCTCGGCGACACGTTAGGTGGTAACGGCGAGGTTGTTTGATTATATTTGAGGAAAGGTCGGAAAAGATGAATATAGAGGAGCTGGAAGAACATGCTGGGCTCAAAGTTAGCGTTCAGATCCATGGAGAGGTTGTTGTGGGGAACCGAATATGAGGCGGTATGCTCCACATGGATTGGAACATCCAACCTATAAAGATTGGCTGATCCAATGTAGGGCTTCCGAATTGGAATCATGCTCCGTCCCCATGGGGCAGTGTACGCAACCCCAGTGTCTGCGGTGGCAGCACAACCTTCCTATGTTGCAGGGCACTTACTGCATAACAAGCATAGACGGCAAACCACCTTCTCGCGGCTCGAACTCTTTGGGGAGATCTTTCCTCCAAGCCTCCAGTCGCTGGTGGAGCTCGCTCAGTTTCTTGAGTTCTAGCTGTTTTCCCTTCGACTTATCCATGTCAATGGGGTTGTAGAAAGAGTTCATGAGATCATTGCTGATCTCACACAGCTGGGAGATCTGCCAAGCGACTGCACGCGTGCGTGCAGGTTGGGCGTTGGCCTGGCTGAAACCGGAATCGCTATATGCACACCACGTTTCGGCGTCTTCGTTCGGAAACACTTCGAATCTTGGAACAGTGATGATATTGGTAGGAAGTTGGGGCAATCGTCCCAGGTAGTTTGACCAGCACCTATGATTCGTCAGTCGGACAGTCTCGAACCCGCCACAATAAATTGGTGCACTGCAGACACGCGTCAAAACGTATCTGAGAAACTCACTTGTCAAAGAGAAAGCACCCCCAGAAGGTGATGCGGCGCGCATCTTCCTCGTCTTCGTCCAGGGTGCCTTGACCCGACGAGAGGCCTCCAGAATCGAGATTCAGGCCCAAGTCGCAGGCCATGCGGAAGCTCATGCCACTGTAAACCCAGCCCTTCGCTTCACGTCCGCAGCCAGCTTCGCGCACTGACATGAGCGCCAGAGCTTGGACAGTGGCCATCCTCGGCTTCTCATGCTCGTCGTTTTCCATTATCAGACGTTTTGCCTCCTTGAAGAAGTGGTCGCCGGCAGTGGTCGAATCTTCACGATTGGCACGAGCGCCCGGGAACGAAGTGAAGTGGCAACCTAGAGCCAGCATTGTGTTGACCAGCAAGGGGGTGCAGTATTTCCGTCCATTCTCGCCCGGTGGGTTCCCAAGCAAGAAGTCGCGGTAGAACAGGTTCTTGGGCAAGGTCGTGAAGAATGCATAGTGCCAGACAAAGTACATGTTGATCAGGTGGGTGATCAGCTCCGGATCCTGGGTTACGCTCGTCCAGGACGTGATGGGGTCTTCCAGCCGAGCGTACTGATCCTGCTCGGCGACAGCCACGAAATCATTGTCGCTGTCACCACCTTGGCCCAGGTGGATCAAGTTGGAGGTGCCTCCGATATAGCGCTGCGAGCCGTCTTCCAGCCGCAGCTGGCCCATCTTGCCCGACAACTGCGTCTCGAAGGTGGGCACGCCCTGGGGGGCCTGGTCCGGGAAAAGTGGGATGTCGTCTGTATCCTCATCCATGCCCTGCTCTTTGAGAAGGATGTTCTCGGCGACAGTGTCGAGGCTCTCGCAAGTGCGTATCTGGCTGACCAGGCCGGGGACGTCATCTTCGGGCCAGTTGAGGAGGGCATGGATCAAGGTCTCGAGAGTGGAGTTCTTGGTCTTCAGCTGGTCGATGTCCTTCTTGTAGACGCCCTTGCGGCGGTGGTCGGAGCCGGGGTCGTAGACGCACTCGGTGTTGTAGACGGAGGCGCAGGCGGCGCAGGCGGGGGTGTTGCCGTCGCACTGGAGCAGAACAGAGGCGCAGTCAGCGGGGAGCTCTGGCGGGGGGGATGCGCGGTGGACGGCTTGCCTTTGACTTGCGGCGGCGGCAGGCAATGCAGGCGGTGCTCACGCAGCGGCGCTTGACTTGGTCGTCGTGGACATCCTTGCGCTTGTTCCTGGCGCGGGCTCTAGCGGGGCCGCTCTTCGCGTCGGGGGCGGGGTTCTGTGCGGATTGCTGGCGCGAGCCCTCAGGCGAGGCAACACTCAGGCCGGAGTCCATTGGTGCGCATTGCGCGTTGGCGAGGGCTGCGGTTCGGGGTTGCGGCGGGGACGGCTATGTGGGCTATGTGGGCTATGTGGGCTTGAACCGTAGCGGCGGTGGTCCGACGGGGGGGCTGCGGCGGACTTCAGCCAGGCACAAGGGTTGCTGCTGGAAGCGAGCGGGGGCGAGGCGCAGGGTGCGATTCCAGAGCTTCGAGGGGAGCAGCGGGCATGGCTGTAGCGCTGGGCCACGGGCAGATGGTGGAGTTTTGTCAGCAACAGCCGGCAGCATCCAGAAGGCCCAATCTTGAAACCCGCAACGCCCGGCGCGATATCGGGGCGCCCACTCAGCTGTTATCTATAACAAATCACCCGCCTCCTCCCACACCGGAATCGACTCTCCATTCCACGCGTGCGTCCATCTCCCGCCGCTCCGCCTGCTAGCGGCGCGCCCTGGGCACCGTGTATTTCAACCTCGGCGCCCTCCGAGCCCGCTCCGCACCCCCGCTGGCGTCATCCCTGGCCTCGGACTCGCAATGCACTCGCTCTATCCATGTGGTGTAGCGCCACCCTCCGCCAAGCAAGCATATCGCCTGAGGCATTGCCTTGCCGTCCGATGGCCTCGGCTTGGGGAGTCGATGCCCTCCCCGTCGGAGCTGAAGCTATGATCCGGACGCAAATGTTCGTTTACGCTCCAACACCTGCGTCCGGACGTCTTCTTCAACTGCCCATCGACATCTGCCGCCCTGCATGTGTTGAAAATGTGCATCTTCTATTAGATCGGTGGAGGCCGTGGCGTTTCGACCACTCGAGCTGACCCAGAAAATCCCATCTTTCCATCCGTATATGTTCTTCGACCGGCCATGAAAATCCCCTGGAGTGAACTTCCCCGAGCTTTTTTTTTTTTTTTTTTTTGAATCCAGCCGCCCAAAATGGTAGTAAATCACGCACTTTATATCAGAACCCAGATACCGCCGGACTTGATCCAGAAGATGGCCGCTTCAATCCTCGTCTCCCTCATCCTCACTGTCCGCATTGAACCGCGGCAGCGTCTCTCTGTCTTCCACGATCACGAACGACCGACCCTGCTCGTCCTCCTTGACCGGGCCAAACAGGCGCATCATCTGATGCATCGTGAGGCTACATGGCACGTCAGCACTGCCCCCCCAATGGATGGCGAGGGTACCTACTTCTCACGTGGCTCGCCGCTGTCGCCCATGACGCGGTCAATCTGCTCCTGCTTAGCCACCTGCATATTGATCAGCTTCTCGTCGATGGTGCCGGCGACGGCGAAGCGGGTCATGCTCGTCTCCTCGGTCTGGCCGATGCGGAAGACGCGGCAGAAGGCCTGCTGCTCGAGGGCCGAGTTCCACCACGGGTCGATGGAGATGACGTGTTTGGCGGCGGTGAGGTTGAGGCCCAGGCCGCCGCACTTGAGGCTGGCCAGCAGGATGGACGTGTTGTTCCTCTTGAACTGGTCCAGCGCCCTGTCGCGCGCGGCGATGGCCATCTGGCCCGTGTACTCCTGGAAGGTCCACCCCTCCGTCTGGCAGACCTTCTTCATGATCTGGATCATTGAGATGAACTGCGTGTACACCAGGATCTTGGCGTCCGGATCCTGCTCCAGCCAATTGAGGATCTGGGCTTTGACTGCGATCGTCTTGGCCGACGGCAGCACCGCCCCGTGCTTCTGGATCCACGACCTCGCGATGTTCTCCTCGTCCTTTCCCTTGTCCCGTTTCCTCTTGCGCCACCTGCTCGTCGGCGGCGCACTCGTACTGACCTCTCCATCCTCGACATCCGACATGATCGAGTCGAGGTCGAACTCGTCGCACGGCTGTGCCCAGACGTACTCGCATTGGCACTCGCTGCAGCGACAGTGAGCTTCGCCCTTGGCCGCCGAGTCGTGCTGCGCCATCTCTAGGCACTCGTGGCAGTAGATGTGATAGCAGGCGGTGACGTAGGGGCTATCGGGCGGTTGGTGACACATGACGCAGAGGGTGCGCTTCTTGAGCTCTTCCCAGTCTCTGCCCCTGCGCAAGTCTTGCAGGTACTTGCCAAAGCTAAACGTCAGTCCATGCAAGCCGCCGGTGAGGATGTCCCCGTCGGGCACGCCATCGAGGGATCCAGGCACCTGTACGGCCGGCGTGCCCTCGCTCTCATCTTCCTCGTTGTCAGGCGGAGGCGGCGGCTTCGCGAGCACCTTGCGCAGCGCAATCAGCTGCGCCCTGCGCGTGGCATCGCCCGCCACCTCGACCTCGGCGAGCTCCCGGATCTTCTCGTGGTCCTCGCGCTCCAGAAGGTCCTTCATCACGACCTCGACCAGCAGCACGTTGCCCGTCATCTGCCGCAGGCGCAGCAGCATCGTCAGCACGTTGCGGTAGTTGCGCTGCAGCGTGTTCTCCCGCGCGAAGCTGTTGACCCGTGCCACCATGCGCCGGTGCACAATCTCGTAGATGGCCCGCTCCAGGTCGTTGAAGTGCACCCAGTGGACGCGGTCACTTGCCTTGGGCAGCCTCACGATCGGTGCCCCGAACAGTGTGTCCCTGTGCGTCCGCCGGATCATGAACTGGCTAACCATGATGCTCAGCCTCTCCATCGGCTCCTGCCGGCCACCGTCATTGTAGTAGTTCGATTTGAACACGCGGAAACTTCCTGTGTAGGGCACCTCGAGGAACTTGAAGTAGGGGTACAGCTCGAGTGGCGAGTTCAGGATCGGAGTGCCTGCCACTTGTTAGCATCATGCAGATGGTGAGAAGGACTCGAGGCATACCAGAAAGAGCCCATCTGTACGTTGAAACCAAAGCCCTGCAGGCCAACGATGTCCTCGAGCGGAAGTTCTTGATCGCCTGTGCCTCATCAAGCACCACCCTCCTCCATTCGACGCGATGGAGAGGTCCCTTCTCCGCTTCGTAGTGCTCTTTCCACCACCTGTTCTTTTCTTCACTCGTCTGCAATTCTATGGGTGTCTCCGCTTTTGGGTAGCTCTTTTGGACTTCATAGTAGGTTGTCAGCACAATGTCAAACCTGCTCAGAGTCTCCACAGGACGTGGAGTCTCGATGCGGTGGCCAGCTTTCCACACTAAGATTTGGAGCCGCTGCTTGGGGTCAACGTGTCTATTGAGCTCCGCATACCACTGACTGACGAGCGTGGCTGGCAGAACGATCAGAGTGGCCTTCCGTTCCCCCGCCTTCAGCTTCTTCGGCCGCTCGTTGATAATGTTCGCGATCATCTCCAACGTCTTACCAAGACCCATGGCCTGTACAAAATTAGCGTCAAAACGATGGTTGGGAGAGGTGCTTTTACATCAGCGCAGATGCCACCGTGCGGTTTGTCGTCCACGCCGCCACGCTCCCGATCTCGCATAAATCCACCACCGATCAACTGGTGATTTTGAAGTGAGGTCGTCATGCCCGTTATCTTCCAACCACCGTGGCCATCTGGCCGAGCTGCACGATGAGAGAACTTCCGGCTTGCTTTGAACAGCTCCTTCTTATCAGTAACTGCTCTTTTCCTCTGATTCTCAGGCACTGATGCGAGTAGCTTCTTCAAAGCCTCGGCCTTACGGGTGTCGGTGATTTCTGGCAAGTATGGCGCATTCTGGTTGGCTGCCTGGTCGTGGAAGACGTTTGATTGCATTAGGGAACCCAAAGTGTGGGCGACATTGGTTGAGGCCTCCTGTTGCGGTGACTGCGCCCTCCCGTTCCCCGTCTTTCTTTTCCTGCCCTCGCCCCTCTTGGCGCGCTTCTTTCTCCTGCCTTCAAGGTGCTCGCCGAGCATCTCCCTAAGCTCTTCTTCAGCGTCACCCATCTCGCGCGCCATAGCCGACGAAGGGCCCTCTCCGACGTCGGGAAAATCCTCCCCGTCATCCTCGAGGCCGGCATGTCTTACCCAAGCGCTTTTCCTCTTGCCACGACGACGTGGAGGCGGCGAAACCTGTGGGACAAACAAGCCGTCATCCGAATCGCTCTGCGGACCGCCGCCGTCTTCCTCAACGTCCATACACCCGCCGTCTGCCAGGAAGCGCGCGTCCTCGGCAGCTTGATTGGTCCTCGCATCTTCTTCCCTGTTGGTTCTGATAAACATGATTTCATCCTCGAAGGTGACTGTGCCATTCGCTTTCTTGGCTTCGTACTCGATTCTAGCCTGCTCGAAGGGTGTACGTTCGTGCTCCGCAGCTGGCGCGTCATCAGATGGGCCCGGAGTGGCATCGTGCAGTGGATCAAGTACCGGCGGGGCATTGTAGACGGGGTTGTAGCCGTTGTTGTTGACATTCGACATGAGGCGCTTCCGCAGCAGGCGCATTTGTTGCAAGTCGCGCCTCTTGGGCTTGCGCGCTGGACTTGAAAGCAACGAGTTTCCGAGGTGGAGCGGAATGCTGTCTCCGGGGGCAATGGGCGCTTCGGGCCCAGAGATGGGCGCAAGAGGGGACTGCGGTGCGGCAGGTGAACGCGGAGGCTCTTCCGGAGGGTCGTTATGCTGGTCTTCTTGGCCAGTGTGAAACGCCATCATTTGGTCTTGAGGAAGATCATGACGAGGGTGGTCGTCGCCGCCGTCGTCGTCGTCGTCGTCGTTGTCATCGATGGTGATTGGTAGAGCCTTGTCGTGTCCCAGATCGCGGTACTTGCTTGTCGGCGCCTCAGACACATCCGGATCGTCTCGAGGTTCTTCCTTGACAGTGACCGGCTCTTCCTCTTGTTCGACGTCGATTGCAGTCTCTCTTGACGCACCGGCCTCCGAAGCCCGTGGTGGATCGATAAACGGCCCGCCGTCTGGATCTGGTTTGATCGGATTGTCGCTCATAGTGATCCGGAGGGTTGTGCGTGACTTCACCTGGGCAGTTTCGAATTGATGTGGGCCAGTCAATGTCCTGAAGTGAGAGTGAGACAAGTCATGTGGTGCGTGGGCACATGTCCGAAGCGCATGAACTTACAGTGAGGGCTTGAAACTACTGCTTGGCTCTGGCAGAAACTTACGAGTTGAAGAGACGGCGGATGACGGTGTTGAGGAGATGGTGGAGGAGTGTGTGTGGATGCTGGTATATACCCTGAGGTCACTGCATGCCGCGAGGAAGGCCTGCTGGACCCTCCAGCCAGGGTCCTTACGAATTGGGAAGGATGTGAGAGAAGTTGAGGCTCACCATAGTCTCCAAAAGCGAAGGTGCCACTCACTCCTCAATTTCGATCTAGGCGCCGATTCAAGCGAACACACGTCGGCGCTTCAGTCTCCAGTCATTCGCCTGAGAGAATCCTAAGCATGAGAACGCAAAATCTAGGACGTGCCTTCACTTTACGACTCGGGATTGAGAGGTACTTTGAGATAAGTTTTGGATAGCACATAGAAGCATTTAAATCGAAGGTGAAATATCATGTATGTACGGTCGAGTTCCTTTGAAGCCATTAATGCCAATTTGAGCGTGAGATGTTGGGCTGGGGCTTCAGGCTCGAAATATTTACTCGAAGAAAAATTAAGAAAACTCCAAGACATAGGTCTAGGGGATTGGGATTTCGAAGAAAAGCAAAGGAAGTGCCATAAACCATAAAGCAAGAAGTTGATCTAATACTTGTACAGTTCTTGTATTAAAACAGAAAAGCCCGGGGTCGCGGGGTATCTTGCTTTTGAACCTTAGTCAAGCCCATTGAAGTCGTAATTCAAACACCAAACCCCGAAACGCTCAAATAGCACATGAGTAGCCAACCGATAGCCTTGATCGTTGGCTCTTGGGGGACATAATTTTCGTTGATTGCAAATCCGCTCAGTCGGGGTAAACGAAGGCGGCGACCGCAATGATCGTGTACGTGGTCATCAGAAGCATGCCTTCCAACCAGTTGGACTTGCCGTCTCCAATCAGGTAGTTGACCAGCAAGACGGACACGAAAAGGACCGCGACCTGGAATCCGTCGAAGGAAAGGTTCATCTCATCAATGCCGATCTGAGGAAGTTAGTAACAGATTGAATCAGAGCGGGGTCTCTGCAACTTACAATCCAACCAATGAGAACAGTCAGAGGGAGAACAAGCAGGGCAATCTGCGTGCTGGAACCAACAGCCACGCCAATGGCGAGATCCATCTTATCCTTCATGGCAACGGTGACGGCAGTCGCGTGCTCGGCAGCGTTTCCGACAATTGGAAGGAGGATCAGACCCAGGAAAGTCTCCGAGAGACCCTTGCCATTACCCGCGACCGAGGAGATGTTGTCGACCATGAATTCGGAGCAGAAAGCAACCAGAACGGTGGAAAGACCAAGCGCAACCAAAGCTCCCATGACGGTCAGGACAGGAACCTCCTCCTCATCGTCGTCATCTTCATCGTCCTGGTTGTTCAGAAGCTGGTCCCCATGGATCTTGCCTCCAACAGCACCCGCGGCAGCAGCTCCGATGCCCGCAATTCCCTTGTTGGCAGCGCCGGGCTTGATTTCCTTGGTCCTCATCTCGCCCTTCTTGCTTGGCTCGTTGTACATGACGACGTGGGTCTTGAGCTGGAAAAGGAGATAGCAGCCATAGACGAAGAGGAGGATGACGGAAGTGCCGCGGGAAAGAGCATCCGTATCGACGAGGTCTCCGACCTCATCCGAGGGCTCGACCCACATGCGGAAGACGGTGGGGATGATCAGACTTGCGACAGCCAAAGCGAGCAAGCTGGCACTGGTCTGAGCTACCGTGACGTTGAAGTGCTGCTCAACGCGGCTGACGCCTCCGAGGAAGAAGCACATGCCCATGACGAGGAGCAAGTTGGAGAGCATACTGCCGATGAGGGACGTCTTGACGATGACGAGCTCCTTCTTCACGAGCGCTTGAATACCGACGATCAGCTCGACCGCGTTACTGAAAGGTCGTTTGTCAGCTCAAGTTTGCTTGCAAAGTGCGTTTCGACGAGGAGGCTTACCCAAAAGACGCGTTCAGCAGACCGCCCAAGGTCTCTCCAATGTGCATGGCAAGCTCTTCAGTCGCATAACTGAGCATACCGGCGAGCGGCACGATGGCAATGAAGTTGACGACGAAAACGACGATGCCATTCAGGTGGGCATAGTTGACGGCAAAACCGGCGGGCACGGCCAAGAGTAGAATGTTGACCCAGGAACCGAAAACGACGTGCTTGAACATGGTCCAGGGAGTGATGACAGGCTGCTTTCTTGTGCGCTTCGTGCTCGTCCGGCGGTCCAGGCCTTCAGGCTTCTCCTCTTCGTCGCTGTCAGTCTTGTTCGTCTTCCTCCGGGTAAGGCCGTCGCTTGGTTCGCCGGCTCCATTGGCAGCGATGCCAAACGGCTCGGCGGAACCGCGCGACGGAGGCGGCATGGTTGAGGCGTGGACAGGGCCGTCGTGGGCGTCGGGCATCCTGTTCAGCTCGACTTCGCCAGCAACGCACGCCTCGGAATGGGCTCCCGAATGCGCGGTGTCGTGCGAAGCGCGGGGGTTCTCCTCATCGTAGAGCGAGTCGCCGGTGTGGGAGATCTTTCGGGCCCAGGGATTCCATTGCACGGAGCCCTTCTTGGCATTCCATGCCGTGTGCCGGGCTCTGGACTTGATGGTGTCTATGCGGTACATGGACATGGTAAGTGGCGGAGTCGCAGGTGGAGTGGTGATCGGTGACAGGGCAGGTGAGCGGGCGGGACTTACGCATGGTGGAAGCGGCGGCAGAAGGATTACTACTCCTGGCGTGGATTACGCGCACGCTCGGGTCGGGAGATTTATTGACAGCAGGAAAACGGAAGCAGGCAACAAGGCGGGGGCCGACAGTGCGCGTCGTTTGTTGTGGGTGGCCTGTGAGCGCAGGAATTCGGGAATCGGCCGGCAGCTGGGCGGACTGGGATTTTGTACGACGAGGGCTGCGGTGTTTGGAGATTGCAGCGTCGCCAGGGAGGCGATCAGGGAACGGTGTCTGTGGCGCGGCTCGGCGATCAGTGGGCCGTGTGAGGGCGTAACGCCGATGGGCGAAGGGGGAGCGAGGCACGAGGCTAGCTGCGCACGACACGTCCTCAATCTCCGTCAGGAGGGCTGTGTCGCAGAGAAGAAGCTGGCTGCGAGCGTCCGCAGCATCAGCAGCAGCAGCAGCAGCAGCAACAGCAGCAGCAGCGCTGTATGTACTGTCGCCAGGCACGCTGATGAAACAAGCTTCGACGTTTGTTGACGTCTACTGGTGCCACGAAGGGAGCCACGGTGCCACGGTTCCAAGCTTGCTTAACAGGCTTGACGGCGGGCTTGACTGCCAGCCAAGCCTCTGCCTCTGCGCTTGACTGGGATCCCCGCAGGCGCTACGGCTAAACCACTCCAGCGCGCGGCCCCGCCCCGGGCCACACCATACGCCGTCGGTTGGCTGTCGCTGGCGGCTGCCCAACCGCCGTTGCTGGCGGTTGCTGGCGGTCCACCGGACGCGCTGCGGCAGTGAACCGTCATCGCCTGATCGGACATGCAGATGGGCAGGAGGATTCCCAATCGGCGCCGCCAGTCTGTGCGGACAATTCGTGGCCAAGGCCCGAGTGGCTGCAATATAACGCTACATTAGCCGCGGATGTGCCTGGCTTTCGCGACTGTCGTGCTAGCTTTTTTTTTTTTTGTTTTCGTTTTCCCCTCACCTAGCGACGTGTACGCGCCTCCACGTCGTCATTAGCAGCTGCGCGTGTGTGGCGGGGACGGCATCGCTCACACCTGCACCGCCGCAGCCGCTCTGCGCCACAGTCGTCGCCGTGCTCTCGCGCTCTCGCGCTCTCGTGCTTCTCGGCTGTTCTGGACACTTTCCAGAAGCTCTGGGGGCCGGCGGATTGGGGCAAGCAATGCGAACTCGCGCCGGCGGGGGCTGAGCTTATTAGCTCGCCCAGCTCTTGCGCACCGCCTTCACGATGCTGACTTGGCGACATTCGTGTCGGCTGCGCTGTGCGTCCCCACTGGCAGGAACGACGAGGCCATGCTGGGTCCGCTTCTGCGAAAGGGGCCAAGGTGCGGTGAAGAAGATGGTGTTTCACTTGCGCGGCCTGTGCTCTCCTTTGCAGCTGCACTGTGTTGAGCGCTAAGTGGTTGCATTGCCGCTGCTGATTGCAATACCTGCTGACGTCGGATCCTGTGAGAAAACGGCTAGGATGTGTCTGGATGCCGTGGCAAGAGTAATGCCCAGTCGTCGTTTCAGCCCTCACCCGGCAGCATAGGGTTTGCAGATCAAGTGTCGCGAGAGAGGCATATTGTGATGACATGAGCCACCGTCGCGGATGACGCAAGCGCGACTGAGCGGTGACACGAACACCGACTGCCGGCGACTCATTACACGGCAAGCGGTGCAGGTGAGGGCTGCTGCGCACCTCGAACGACTGCACGATGGAAGCGAGGCTTGGACGCTGGACGGCGCAAGCCGAATTCAAATTGAGTGCGGGTAAGCGAGCGGGAGCACCGTTCCAAATCCCCACTCAAGGGCGCCCGGCGCACTGCCTCACACCTGTTCGCGGGAGCCCTCGAGTCTTTGATGCCACATGCCATCACCACGAGACGGACAACTGCCAAACTGTTGGCTGGCATTTGCACTCTCCTAAGAGTGTGTGATGCCCCAGGTTAACGCGCTCTCCGTCTCGAATGACAAGTCGGACAAGCGCCAGACACGGCCGCCCAGACCCAAGTGGCTTGACAAATGTCCAAATCCGTGTAGAAACAGAAGCAGGTCCCCGAGACGGTTCTGCCTCCTTCCTTCCAGAATGTAGTATCCGCGGACTCGAGCTTCTCCTGGAAAGCGAACGCCCACGGCTGAAAAGATTCAGTCTTAGTAACCCAACAAAACCGACTTTTCGGTTCTGCATCACGGTCTCAGCACCAAAGTTTGCAAGACCAACCGAACCTTTGAGGCTGCTTGTCAGGCTAGGCATTTCCCCATCTGGGTCTAAGAATGTTCCTGTCGCTGCATGGCCACGAGTTGTATTGAGGTCAGTCAATATCAACTGGAGCTGCGGGTAGGGTGGCCTTGGGTGCAAGTTTTCAGGATGAGTTATTCCATGCACTGTCGCTACCCCATACGCAGCATCTTCACATCAGCCATGAGTACGGCGAATCGGTCAAAAACCATTTGTTACCTCAAGCTATTGCAGTGAAGAATACATGGATGTGTCTAGCAGTGAAGCCCCCTCCTTCTACATCGGGACTAACGCCTTCTCCCCCGGTGGCTCACCGCCCGCGGGCGCTAGGCAGCGCTAGCGCGGATTTCTTGCCCATCATCAACTCCGTCGCCGCAGCTCGCCCGCGCAAATCGTCACGACACGCGCGCCCGCTGCGCCCTTTGCCCTCGCGACACCGCACCCGCCGCCTACTTCTGCTCGAGCTGCGCCGTCGCGAAAAAGCTGCCATGGACGACCTCAGCTCGCTCGAGCTCCTGTCGCTCGTGTCCAAGGTGACCTCCGAGCTGCATAACCATCTGAATGTCGCCGACAAAACCCTCGCCGAGTTCATCATCGACCAACATCTACAATGCAAGTCCCTCAACGAATTCAAGGCCAAGCTGGTCGAAATCGGCGCCGACGATTTCCCTCAAAGTCTTGTCGAGAGCATCGACCGCCTTGTCCTCACCATGCACCCCAGCTTTAAGAAGTCCAATGGTGCCGGAAGATCCGTGCAACGGGAGGAGAAGCCTGAGGATGAGCGCGAAAGGAAGGCCAGGGTCTTCAAGGGCCTAGCCATTGCTGACCAGGAAATCCCTAAGCCGTATGAGGCCAACGCCCCACCGGAAGAGGACGCAAAGGAGGATGATTTGGATAACACTTTCGCCTTGCTGGAGAACCTCGCTGGAAAGGCAGGCAGCGGAGCAAGCAAACCTTCCGCGAGAAAACGCAGCCCCAGTCCATACAAGGATGAGAGTCACAGAAGCAAGACGAAGAGACGCCGCAGCTCACGGTCGCGCTCACCCTATAGGAGCCGTCAACATTCTGGCAACGATGAATACATGTTCGAGGATGAGTTTGGCCGGTCACGCCCGGCCAAAGACTTCACCCGCACTCGCGAGCGTGACTACGAGCGCGACGACAAGCGCGATGAACGCAGGGGCAGGCACCGCCGCCGCCACGACTACGATGACGATTTTCGCGACGCCCCTGCTCCCGAGATCGACGATTCCCCAGTTGTTCACAAGATCTACAATGGTCGCGTCATGGGTCTGAAGCCCTACGGTGCTTTTGTTAGGCTAAACGGTGTCAAAGGCCGGGTTGATGGCTTGGTCCACGTATCGCGCATCGCCGAGGGCCGTGTCAATGACCCATCAGACCTTCTGTCGCGGGATCAGGAAGTCAAGGTGAAGGTTACAGAAATAAAGGATGGAAAAATCAGTCTTACCATGAAGGAGGTCGATCAGACCACAGGCGAAGATCTTGTCCCAGAGCTGAGAGTAGCTTCGGGGGCGAACTCAGAAGGCCTGGGCGGCAAGGCGTCGAATGGCCGCTACGGAAACCTTGGATCCGAGGTCCCCATTGTCGCCAGCAATTCCAACGGACAACCGGCTTCGAAGAAGCGATACGCCTCGCCTGAACGTTGGGAAATACAGCAGATGATATCTGCTGGACTCGCACGCCAATCGGACTACCCGGGCATCTATGATACGTTTGACAACGTCAACGAACATGGAATGCTGGAAGAGGAGTTGGACGTTGACATTGAGGTCAAGGAAGAGGAACCGCCTTTCTTGGTTGGCCAGACTAAACAGTCGCTCGAACTCTCTCCCATCCGTGTTGTCAAGGCCCCCGACGGATCCATGAACCGTGCTGCAATGGCAGGCGAGACGCTTGCGAAGGAGCGGAAGGACCTCAGGAGTCAAGAGGAGGCGGACAAGAAAGCTTCTGAGGCGTCTCGTGTTGATTTGAGTGCCCAATGGAATGATCCCATGGCCAGCTCTGACCAGCGCAAGTTTGCCAGCGACGTCCGTGCTGCGCCATCCTCTGGCCAGTCCAACGAGCCACTCCCTGAGTGGAAGAAAATCACCCAGGGCAAGACTGAGACTGGAAAACGGACAAATATGTCGATCAAGGATCAGCGGCAGAGCCTTCCGGTTTACAAGTTCCGCGATCAGCTGCTCCAAGCCGTCCGCGAACACCAGCTCCTCGTTCTCGTTGGTGACACTGGCTCAGGCAAAACCACTCAACTTACCCAATTCCTTGCTGAGGATGGTTTCGCCAATGACGGCATGATCGGCTGCACACAGCCGCGTCGTGTAGCGGCCATGTCCGTCGCCAAGCGTGTAGCGGAGGAGGTTGGGTGCAGGCTCGGAGCTGAAGTTGGCTACACCATTCGTTTTGAGGACTGTACCGGTCCGGACACCAAGATCAAGTACATGACGGATGGTATCATGCAGCGTGAGATCTTGCTGGACCCGATGTTGAACAAGTACTCCGTCATCATCCTCGACGAAGCCCACGAGCGAACCATCGCAACCGACGTTCTCTTCGGTCTCCTCAAGAAGACACTAAAGAGACGCCCTGATATGAAGGTCATTGTCACGTCGGCGACATTAGATGCCGACAAGTTCTCCGAATACTTCAACAAATGCCCCATCTTCTCCATTCCTGGACGCACTTTCCCAGTCGAGATCATGTATTCGAAGGAGCCTGAGAGCGATTACCTTGACGCAGCTTTGACGACCGTTATGCAGATTCACCTGACCGAGCCTCCGGGTGATATCCTACTTTTCCTGACTGGAAAGGAAGAAATCGACACAAGTTGCGAAATCCTCTTTGAGAGGATGAAGGCGCTAGGACCCGGTGTACCTGAGTTGATCATCTTACCGATCTACGGTGCTCTGCCCAGCGAAGTTGCAAGCCGCATTTTCGAGCCTGCTCCTTCGGGCGGCAGAAAGGTTGTCATCGCCACCAACATTGCCGAAACGTCCATCACCATCGACGGAATCTACTTCGTGGTTGATCCTGGTTTCGTCAAGCAGACGGCCTACGACCCGAAACTTGGAATGGATCGTCTTCAAGTCACACCGATTTCGCAGGCACAGGCGAAGCAACGTGCTGGCCGAGCTGGTCGTACAGGCCCTGGCAAGTGCTTCCGACTCTACACCGAGTCAGCGTTCCAGTCTGAAATGTTGCCCACCACGATTCCCGAAATCCAACGGCAGAATCTCTCCAATACCATTCTCATGCTCAAGGCCATGGGTATCAATGATCTTCTTGGATTTGACTTCATGGATCCGCCGCCGACCAACACCATGTTGACTGCTCTGGAAGAGCTGTATGCACTTGGCGCGCTCGACGAGGAGGGATTGCTCACTCAGCTTGGTCGACAGATGGCCGACTTCCCCATGGATCCTGCCTTGTCAAAATCGCTCATCATGTCCGTCAAGTTGAAGTGCTCGGATGAGATGCTGACCATCGTCTCGATGATTTCCGCCACGCAGACAGTGTTCCACCGGCCGAGGGACAAGCAGCACCAGGCCGACCAGAAGAGGCTGAAGTTTAACGATCCGCACGGCGACCACCTTACTCTCCTCAATGTTTACAACGCGTGGAAGAACTCAAAGTTCTCGGTGCAGTGGTGCTACGAGAACTTCATCCAACCCAAGGCCATGAAGCGCGTCGCCGACGTGCGCGACCAGCTGACGACCATCATGAAGCGGTACAAGTCGCCGATCGTGTCGAGCGGGCGTGATACGCAGCCCGTCCGGAAAGCCCTCTGCTCTGGCTTCTTTCGCAACGCGGCGCGCAAGGACGCGACCGAGGGCTACAAGACGCTGGTCGAGGGCAACACGGTGTACATGCACCCATCGTCGGCGCTGTTCCGCGCGCCCGCCGAGCACGTCATCTACAACAGCGTCGTCGAGACGCAGAAGGAGTACATGCACATCCTCACGGCCATCGAGCCCAAGTGGCTCGTCGAGGCCGCCCCCCGCTTCTTCCAAGTCGCCCCGACGGACCGCCTCAGCAAGCGGAAGCGGGCGGAGCGCATCCAGCCCTTGCAGTCCGGCAAGGACGCCGAGGGCGACGCTTGGCGTCTCTCGGCCCAGAAGCGCAGCGGCCGCGGCGGCGGTGGTACGTGGGGTTAAGTTGCTTCTTTGCCCCCTTTTTTTTATTCTTCCCTCCCCCCGGTTCTTTGTAATATTCTTGCGTAGGGAGTTAGATAATTCGCCTCTGCGTAACAGGTTTCCGCAAAAATCGACGATAGTTTTCTACTCCATCAATCCAGACTGGGACCCTCGCCGACGACGTCGTGGCGGGGGTCGTCGTGGCGATGGCGACGGCGGTCATGGGCGCCGTGCGCGCGCGCGTAAACTAGATACCCATGAGATTTTCTCAAAACTCCGTATTTGAATGACACACGGAGCTTCAAGTGGTACAGACAGACAAAGCCCAAAAAAGAGGTTGGCGAAACTTCAACAATAGTAACAAGAAAAGGGAAAAAAAAAAAAAAACGTGAAAAGAACCCGGGCGTTACATAGCTCCACAATAGCTGCATTTCTCGACGTCGTTCGCTCATTTGCAGACGTGTTGGTCGTGGTAACTCTCGCCAATGATGAAATAGCTGATAACGTTGGTCAGGCATGGTAAATGTTCGGGGGTTGATTCCAGACGTTTCTGTCCGGGCGAACCCTTTGACTGCTCATGCAAAAGGCTTATCAATTTCCTTCCGAAGTTGCACACGCATTGTTCATGGAAATTCGAGAATCATGCAAACATGGGTAGTTGAAGCTCTTATTTTGGCATGAACACTGTCACCAATACGAAGTTTATATGGGACAGTCTTCCACAACCCCACCATGTCTGAATAAAATGATGCATTTCGCTCAACTGAAACTTTGTACTTTTTGTGAAGTGGGGCAATTCAACTACCCATCCGTTCCATGTACTGATTGTGAACGTACAAATTGTGGTATCATTTGTTACTTCAAGTTACACTACATTTGGACGACAGTGGGAAAAAACAAAAGAAAGTTTGGAATGCAAGAGCACAAAGAGAAGGTGAATTTCTGCCCCTACGATACGATACCGTACATAAATCCGACCTTCTGCATTGGGGTTGAAGCTAGAAGGATAATAGTAGGCCGCGTGGTGTGGAGAGATGCGAATAGATCTTGATCTATTTCTTGATCCAGCCCTGCATAAAAGAAAGCACGTCAGCCACATCTGTCTCTCAATCGGGAACGATAGCAAGCTGCAAGTTAGAAGAGGCCCACACGCTGATCAAGAATCCACAGTGCAGCAGGAAAAGAGAAAAGAAAAGAGAAGCGCAAGTTTCGTCACCATAAACACGAAGTAGACATACCTTCTCCTTCATCTTCTCCCAATATCCCTTGTCTCTTTCAGACGTGGATCCCGTCAGGTGTGCGTCGCGGCTACTCGGCGTCGAGTAAATGCTTCCGCTGCGCTTCTGGAATCTCGACGGCGGGACTTTGCTCGCGTCCCACTCCTTGCTCATGCGGCGGTCACGCGTAGGCGACCCTTCGCTACCGAAGCTGCCGCCGCGAACGGCCGACGACGAGGGACTCATGTCGTCCCCGCCGGCGATTCTGTCCAGCTTGTCGCCGCCGAAGGGGTCGTGCATGCGCAAGCCACCCCCGTGGTGGTCGTCATCATCATCTGCGATGGCGCTGCTGTTGTTGGAGACTTTGAAGTCAGGGTTTACGGATGGGTTGCCGGTCGGGGACGCGTCAATGTCTTTGGTGGAGGGAGGGATCGTTAGCAGGTTGAGGATCTAGGAGGTGGAAAGACGGGTGGTAGGTATTGAACAGTGAGACTGGATTGTGAAACACGGCGGAAGACAGCTTGAAAGAAGGAAGTGCTGAGTGAGGTGAGCACTACGGACGGGGCAAGGTTGAGATGTCAATGGCCATGTGTGGTGACGCTTACCGTTGGCACCGTTTGTCGTGTTCGCAGCCATGCCGGAGGCAGATCGGGAGTCTGGCACGGGGCGGATGTCGATGTGAACGTTGTTGTACTCCAGGGTGAGGAAGGAAGGCGAGTTAGCAGCAAGACGGCTGCTAAGCTCCACTAGCTAAGAGTAAATAGGCAGCGGTACTTCTGGAGCAGGCGTGAGTGGTGAGCCGCTGTGGGGCGCCGCGGGAGGAAGAGAGGCAAGCTTTCTCGTTGGAGCAAGGACAAAGAGGTTAGAGGGGTCTCTTCCCGTGGCGGGTGGTCGCGCCTCTGCGGCTGGGACAGGGTAGATAAAGGATTCTGGGGCCAAGCTCGTCTGGGGAAGAAGCAATGGCGCCCAGTAGCTCTTGCCGGCCGCTTAAGAAACTGAGCGCGGGGTAGGTATACTCGAGCTGCAGTTGCGAACGACCCCAACGACCCCACCGACGTCACTCCTCGCGCGCCCCCCAGCCCGCATCGTTCTTGGCCCGCAGCCAGTAAGCTCCTGCGCGCGTGCGGTGCTCCTCTGGGCGCTGCCCTTGGCGCGCAGCCTGTGGCTGGTGCCATTGGTGCATCGCCGAAGGCAGCGGCAGCAGAGCAAGCCGAGTCGAGGCGGCGCTGCACAAAGAACGGCGACGTCAACGGACACAGGTTCGGTGCCACGCTCCGGGGACGCTCTGGAGACGCTCCGGGGACGCTGCTGTGCCCGCGTGCAGCAGCTGACACCTACACGAGCGAATGGGAGGCATCGGGCCAAGCGTTAGTATAAGGCGCTAATTAGCCACAATACTGCGTCGTGATGCGGGTGCGGTGCTGCGGCGTCCGGCTGGACCAGCCAAAACGCAGCATCGACGGGCTCGCGCGTCATGCCGTGAGGGCGGGGGCGCTGCTCCGCTGCCACAGTGACGCTAACCCTCGTCATCCTTGGTCTACTGCCTACTGTTCGCCGGCCCACGCCGCCTGAGGTTCGCCTAAACCTTATCTCGACTCTCAGCTGATCTGCCCAGATTCAGCCCTCCTACACACCGCAATAATGCTGCACAGTACTGTTAGCCTAGACGATGCGGAACGTTGGCCTTGGCGCTCAGTGAACCCTAGCCGCATACAAGCTGCTGGGAGGTCAGCTTTCAAACATCCCAGATACTTGCCTCAAACACCCTTTCCCTGCCTTGCTATTCCATTGGTCGTCTGCCTGATATGAGGTAAGAAATCGATTCCGCGCTATGCGCCTGCTGTGGCTGTTGCAGGGAAGGAAATAGCTGCATGTCCAGGCGTGAGACACGTTGAGAGACATAGAAATGGGGGCGCTGATTCTTGCAGTAGTTGCGTGGTTTTTTTTTTTTTTTTTTTCATCGTTTACTGAGACTGCAGGTTACAAGTTTGCTGACAATCGGTCGGAAAGCCTGCCGCGGTGAAGACGGAAGAAGAGACAGGCGGCACCCCAATCAGGCCCTTGCTTGACGCCACCGCCGAGTGGAACGCAGAAGTGAAAGCGGATAACAAAATCGAAGGGCAAGGAGATCGGAAAGGAGGGGAATGTGCATGAAAAATGAGATCCAGAACGAGATCGATCCTCCAACCAAGTCAGTCATCCGGGCCAATAGCCCTCCCCGAACGCCGGTTATATGCAGCTGAGAGAACTCAATGAGAAGGGAAAAGGAAGGTTGCACGCTTGAAGCATGAAAAAGTGGGGCCGAATATTCATCGGCCGCTGTAGAACCGCTAACATCTGCAGGAAAAGGAATACATCAATCAAGCAGCGCCCGAACTGCGTAGGTATCTGCACGCCTAGATGCGGCCTACAGGTCGTCGTCGATGTCGAGTGCGTCCGGGTTTGCTGCAACGGGTGCTTCGGCCTGGGTTGCCGCTTTGTTGACGCCTTCGGTGGCTGCGACGAAGCCTTCGGGTGCTCTGGCTTGGCGCTCAAGAGCAGCCATGGCGTCCGCCTTATCTTGTTCACTGCCGTCGCCGTCGGGCTGTTGGGCCCGGGCAAGCGCCTGGGAGGCGATGAAGTTGACGTCCGTGCTGGAGGGAATGTCAGTAAGTCAGACATGTGCATTTCTGGGATCATAACATACTTGAACTGTGCCTGCACACTTCTCTTGATCCGAAGCATTTCCTTGAACGTGTCTTCGTTGCCGTGCTGCACTTCGAAGCTCTCCCACTTCTGCCAGAATCCAGGCTCCGTCCTCGGGTCGCAGAACTGACTGGCATGGCCGTAGATGGCTCTGGCGCGGTCGATCTCGCCGAGCCGTCTCTCCATCTCTGCGAATTTGAGACACATCTCCTTTGCTTCCTTGTCCGGCAGCGCCGATATGGCACGCTCGTAGATCGGACGCGTCGACGTCAGTCCAAAGTTCGATGCCGACTTGGTGATGTAGAACTCGAACATTTCCAGCCTGTCCTCGTCCGCGACAAAGCGTGTGGCACGTTCGTAGATGCGCATTGCGTGGCGGGCGAGGCCTCGTTCCTCTTCCAATGCGCCGTACATCAAGTACAACACCTTGGCAAATTTCGGCGGGCAATCCTCGAGGGCTTGTTCGAACAGGTCGCGCAGTCTTTCCATCCCGACTTTACGGTCCACCGCCTTGGTGAGGTAGAGATTCCAGAGCTCGAAAGCCACCGGGTAGTTGAATAGGTCGAGGCCGCGTTCGTACACTTTGAACGAGTCTTCAAAATACTTGTTCTCCTCGAGCAGATTTGCAAAGTTGACAACAGTCTGAGGCGTGGCGATCTTCAGTTCGAAAATGCGCTCGTAGACCTTCTTCGTCTCTTCGAGCGTGCTGACACTCTCCACCAAATCAACATAGAAACTCCACAGCTTCCAGCTCTTGTGGACTCTTTGCTGGGGCGAGAGTGTCTCGTCAAAGTAGTCGACCGTCGATCTCTTCGGCGCTTGGGTCGCCTTGGCCATGATGTCCACCGCACGTTCGAAGTTCTCGTTCCTGAGCTCCATCTCTGCCCACTCACACCACATTTCGGCCAGTTCGTTAACCGACTTGAACGGCACCTTGACAGCCTTCTCCATGATGATGCGGGCGTTCTGCATGTCTCCGCCATTTTCGTAGAACTTGGCGTAGTTTGCCCAGAGCTCGTGAAACTTGCCGACAGCCTTCTTCGGGTTGATGGTAGCGATGGCGTCGGAGTACGTCTTGACGACCTCAATCTTGTTTTCACCCCAAAGACCGACACGCTTCTCCCATTCGTTGACGTTGTTCGGGTTCTGGCGGAGAAGCACATCGTTGACGAGGAAAGGCCGACGATCCATGAGTTGTTCGAAGCGGGCCATGCGGATATCAAGGTCCAGATCGAGATCCTCGTTGACAACGCCCTTCTCCTGTCTTTTACCGGCCTCCTCCATCTTGATACCAATCAAGGCCTCCTCGGCTTCTGCATACGTGTCGAAGACAATGGAGAAATCACGGACGGTCATGACAGTGGTAATGCCCTCCTCGAAGATGTCACGGGCACGCTCGTAGTCGCCCTTGTTGATCCAGTACCTTGCCAGGCCGACCCACAAGATGCCCCTCTGATCCGAAAACTTGGCAATGCCGCTCCGAATGATCTTTTCAACATCGATGCCGATGTCATCTCCCGTGTCGATTTCCTTGGCGTGATCGATGAGCAGCTCGACCATTTCCGTCCAGAACTGGAAGGGTCCCTTTGCCTCCCTGCTCTTGAACCTGGGGTTGTTGAGGATTTCCATGTACTTCTTGACTGCCTCTGTGTATTGGCGCATGTCAATCAAAAGGGCGATGAATTCTTCGGCGTGCTCCGGATGGATCTGCATGTATCGGCGCCAAATCTTGACAGCAGTTTCCCCAGAGGCGGAGCTGGCGAAAGGGCGGTACAGGGCCCAGATGCGGTTGTGCTGAGTGAGCGGAAGCGCGCGGAGGGCACGATCGAAGGTGCGGCGGGTGGTGGTGACGAGGGGCTGCTGCATCAAGAAGTCCAGGTACATTTCCCAGATGCGCGGCATCTTGTTTAGCAACACCAGTGCGCGCTCGAAGAGAGCATTGGTCTTGACATAGTGTGCCTGAAACTTGGCCGGGTTCTTGCCCTTGATGTGGTGGACGCGCAGGTCCAGGTACATCTTCCACAGCTTGTAGGAGCGCGGCAGAGTGGTGCAGGCGCGCTCCAGGACGAAGGCCTGCTCGAGCAGGGAGCCGTTTTGACGCTTGAAGGCGGCGTAGTCGAGCCACGGCTTGATGCTGCCCGGGTTGCGGATGAGCTCCTGCTCGTAGATGACATCGCTGTCCTGGATCAGGTACAGATCGGACGACTTGGTCGGCATGGTGCGCTTCGTCCGCGGGACCTGTGCAACAGGCTGCGGCGCGTCGCCGGCAGCAGGGCGAAGAAGCTCTCCGGGCATCGCTCGTGTCAGGCGGTGCTGGCCTGGCTGGGGCCGAGAGGCGCGGCGACGGGGTGCTCTGAGGCGTGTCGTATGCGGGATTGGGCTGGAGGGGGAGGGGAGAAGTTGAGGGCGACTCGCCAGCGCGCGACGGGAAACGCTTGGTCAAGAGTTTCGAGTTTCGCGCTGCTTCACGGCGCCCGCTAGCGCGTGATTGGCCGCCGGACGGTCGGGCACGACCTACTCACCTCACTCGATGCACCCGCCGTCGAGAGCACGAGCTCCACTCAAGCCAACACCAAGCTATCGTGCTCAGCCACCAAACCTCCCTTTCTTTGTCTCGGCCCGGGCCCGCGGTGCAGGCTGCTCCTCATTTCGCATCCCCCCTAATCCTAATCGCCCGAAATGTCGTCGGGCGGCGCGGTACGGTGACCCGCCTCTCGCTATTGCGCACTCCGATTCGTGAGCTCACACCGGCGTCCAGGCTCGCGAGTCTGTCTTCCCGACACGCCAGGTGTTGGGACAGATGAAGAGCAAGCTCAAGGGAGCTCAGACTGGCCATGATCTGCTCAAGCGCAAGAGCGAGGCTCTGACAAAGTGCGCCGTTCCCTCCACCGCCGCCCCGCCACCCTCCCACTCTATTTGCGGCTATACTGACGTCCCTGTCCGCACACAGACGCTTCCGAGGTACCTTCTCCCTTCCCGAGTTCGCTCCGTCCGAGCTTCGTCCCGCTGAGTGACCGACAGAGATCACCCGCCGCATCGATGAAGCCAAGCGCAAGATGGGCCGCGTCATGCAGATCGCCGCCTTCTCGCTCGCCGAGGTGACCTACGCTGCTGGTGGCGACATCAGCTACCAGATCCAGGAGTCCGCGAAGAACGCCAAGTTCCGCGTTCGTACCAAGCAGGAGAACGTGTCCGGTGTCTTCCTGCCGCAGTTCGAGAGCTTCACGACCGAGGGCAACAACGACTTTGGTCTTACAGGTCTAGGCAAGGGCGGACAGCAAGTCCAGAGGTGTAGAGAGACGTATGCTCGCGCCGTGGAGACGCTGGTCGAGCTGGCTAGTCTTCAGACCGCCTTCGTCATCCTAGACGAGGTCATCAAGGTCGTGAACCGCAGAGTCAATGCTATGTGGGTAATGCATGAGAAGGACCTATCACATATGCTGATCACCATCACAGCGAGCACGTCATTATCCCCAGGACGGAGAACACCATCAAGTACATCAACTCGGAGCTGGATGAGCTCGACAGAGAGGAGTTCTACAGGTTGAAGAAGGTTTCCGGCAAGAAGGAGCGTGACGCCGCCGAGGCAGAGAAAGAAAGGGCTAGCAAGCAAGCGGGGCTGGATGAGGCTAACAGGGTTGCGGGTGAAACTGAAACGAAGGACCTTTTGGGCGATCAGGATAACGAGGATGTCATTTTCTAGGCCAGTATCATTATATGTATATCTTGCATGACCGTCGTTATACTGAGTCTGGAGCTGAGGAAATATGAACCAGAGGCCATGACCTGACCCTCAGACTCGCTTTACGCGAACCGGTATCCTTCCGCATGCTGCTGTTCCCATTGTGTGCCGCGTCAAGACGCCAACACATACACTGTAGCATATCCCTTACCTAGCAGCTACCTACTGGCGTTGGTACGTGACCTTCATGGGCTGGTTGTCATCACCAAGCGCCATTCCAGCAGTGGCTTCCTTAGCACTGATAGCGCCAGCCTCGGCCTCATATTCAACGAAGGCAATACCGCTGCGACCAGGCACCACACGGACTTCTCTGAAACCTTCGAAACGACCGAAGATGGCTGAGAGAGCCTCGACATCGTATCCATCGGGGAGGTTCTGGACGAAGAGAATCTTGTTCGGCGGGAGGTACTCGTCGGGAATGACGGCGGCCGCGCCACCAGTAGACTTGAGACCGGCACCGCGAGCCTTCTGAACCGGACGGTTCGACTCGGCGGGGGCACCGGCAGGCCGCTTCATCTTCTTCTGGGCCTCCTGGGCCTCGAGGGCCTGCTTCCTCTCTGCAAAGGTGGTAAGTAAAAAAAGGACTCACATATCATATAACACGGTTGAAGACGTTGTGGAGACAATGAGGGCGATAATCCATCTGAGCCCGCTGTGCAATGGGAACATCATAGACGGAATACCTTTCTCAGCCAGGCGGTGGCGCTTGTGGGCCTCGAACTCCTCCTCGTTTCCTTCACGCTTGACAATAGCATCGCTACGTGTGCGGGCGTAGTCCAGCTTCATGGGCTTGTCGAAGAGGTCGAATTCCTGCAGTTCCTCGATGGCGCGAGCAGCCGACTCTACGCTGTCGAAGACGATGAATGCCTGGCCCTTCGCCTTGAGGTTCTTGGCAGCGCGGATGTCGAGAATGGTACCATATTCCTCGAAGACCTCGCGGAGGGTGGCCTTGAGGGTGTCGAGCTTGATGTGCTCCTCGAGATTTTTGACCTGCGTCGCGTGTCAGATATGCTGTGGGAGAAGAGGATTGAGCGTCGTACGTAAACACTACAGGGTTGTCAGCGAGAAACGCGCCATACAGGAAGCGGTACATACGTGCAGTTAGGCGGGGTTGAGGCTGCCATTGTGAGAGTTATATGGTTGACGGAGCTGTTGCGTCGCGGAAGGCGGGAAGCTCGGAGGTGCAGTGCTGAGCTTGACTCGGAAGGTTGAACCGATGACGCTAAACGCCATGCGCCATCACGTGGGCCCCTCTACATCAACAACTCTTCGTCTCTCCCACTCCTCTTATTCTCATCGATTTGTGTCACTGACCTGAGCCTCAATTTCACTGTCCATACTCCATCCATCATCTCTTCCCCTGTCGACGACCGAATCCCAGCCCACCGGCAGACTCGGGACCTGCGTTTTGATCAGGCATTTTACGAATAAGACCACCGATCAAACTTCGCGCGAGTACTGTCGGCAAAGATGTAGAAAATGCTACCGTGCTTCCTCATCACTTGGGGGATGTGTCAAGAAAGTCAGCCATCGTACGGGCAAACAATTAAAACGAACCACGGTCGGGATTCCCCAATGGTCACCCACTTGAGTACTATTCGGAAGGGCAACCCTATGTTCTGCGACCGATGGTCGGACATGATAGCTGAGATTGCGTAAGAGAGCCACATTACGGCAAATGGCCAAAGTAAGATGCTAAGCACCACCCGATAGATGCCTCTTCCACTAGCGACGGTTCCATACTCAAGCCAACCCCAACGCCACCTCGATCGCCTTCTTCTCCCGCCGCGCGAACTCGTCCCATGATCCCAGATGCACTCCATAGCTCCTGACCTCATCCAAGTCGACCGCGCCACGAAACTCGTTCCGAAACAGCTCCGAATTAACAAAGACGGTCCGCTTCGCCGCGAGCTCCTCCTCCGAAAAAGGCACGACCTTGACTTCCTTCCTGTCGCCGACCGCAGCCGTCAGCTTATCGGCAATCTGCGGCATTGTCAAGTGCTCGCGAGCGAGCGGCACTATCCTGCCTCGCCAGAAGTCGCCGTCCCGCTCCACGAGGGCCCTTGCGGCAAAGCGGCCGATCATGTCGGGGTCCAGGCACGACAGCTTCAAGTCCGGGTCGAGCGCGGTGTGCAGTTCGCCCGTCGTGGCGAGATTCGGGTACATGGCCGCGGCGACGGGGCTGACGAAGTTGGTGAAGAACATGGCGGGTCGGAGAAGGGTGCTCGCGTCTGCTAAGAAGCCGGCTGCCAGCACCTCGTCCTCGATCGCCTTCTTGGAGCGCATGTACCACGCCATGCCCGGCCAGGCGTCCAGTTCGGCATGGGCGCGCTCGCACCCGATGATGGAGGCGGAGCTGTAGACGGCGCGGGTGACGGTGCCCGCGGCCTTGCAGGCGGCGAGGATGGCGCGGGCGTGGCGCAGCTCCGTGTCTGGGGCGCCTTTGTCGGGCATGACGTTGATGAAGACGGCGGTGCAGGCCTTTGCGGCCGCGTGGAGTGAGGCTATGTCGTCGAAGTTGCCGACGAAGAGCTCGACGGAAGCGCCCAAGGATGCCAGAGCCTTGGAGGCGTCTGAGGTAGGGTCTCGAACAAGAGCGTGGATAGTCACGGCAATGTTGCGATCGGATGCGATGTCGAGGAGAGCGCGAACAGTCGCACCACCTTGACGGCCGGCCGCACCCGTCACTAGGATAGTGTGCGCCATCTGTCTTCTAGATTGTCGATTGACGTTGCGGTACGGGTATACGGCGTGAACATGGAGAAGGCGGGGTAATGGCATCTACATCATGTTATGGGCGGTCGCGATGTTCTGTCAGCATCGAATCCTACGCCGAGCTTGCGACATGGGTAAGGCGGTAAGTAAAAGTACAATATAGCAATCCAGATAACCATCTTTAAGATCTCGAAATAATCAAGAGATCTGAAAAAAATTAGCATTGACCTTCTACGACCTCCGGTCTTACGTGGTATTTAAAGTGTGCTTATGGTGTATACCCACACAAAAACCACCTTGCACCACACCCGGCATCATATTTGCTGCCTTCAGCTGCGTGCCCTCGAAGCACACTAGGATATATATTGTGCAGACAAGTGAGTTGATCGTAGATTATCACGGAATGACAGCGAAACGATATCTGTAACATATTGACGAACATTGATTGGCTCCCTGGACAAGTGTTAAACTATCTGGGCCTTTATTCCATCTGCTATGCCCTTTAGATTCTTCGACGGCTGCGACCAATCATGTCCCTTCAGCTCCTCGTTCGCTGAGACCACAAACAACGTCTCTGCAGCTGCGACACGGACCTGTCACCCCAGAAAGTCAGTTACAGTTTACATTGAACTAGATGTCTGAACAAACCTTGGGGAATGGATGTAACAACATGCTTGCCAACTTCGTCCGCACCTCCTGACGAATGACTTGAACATCCGAAAGTCCTCTGTACACGTCAAGCGCGAGGTAAAGCTTTTGCATGTTGTTGGACTTGAAGTGGGCTTTCTGCACAAGCGACAGGAGATTGCGCCATCTGTAATGAGCCAGGTGATGGACAGGCAGTCAGCCAGTGTTCCTTCAGAATGACGAGCAGAAGCAAAAGGCGGAAAACGTACTTGAAGCTACTCCCAACGAGCCTTTGAAACACCTGAGCGTCAAGCAGGAATGCTAAAACCTCGAGCATTGGTACAATGATCCGGTCGTTAGCAAGGTGAGCCTTGCAGACATCCAGGATTGTGTTCGCTACGTGGAAGAGAGAAAACCCATCGCTTTCGGTGGGAAGTGCCTGAAGGTGCTCAACAAGTGCAAGCCTCGAGGCTTGGACGACGGATTCAGAGCCCATGCCTGCGGAGCTAATGTACCCTTCCACGATAGCGAGGCCCGTGGTTGCAGTTGTGTCCGAATTGAAGTATTTGATGGCGCGTGTGAAGTAGTCGTGGGATGAGATCCCGGAAGCAGTAAGCTGAGATTCACTTTGTGAAGTGTCAATGGCTTCCTTTCATGAAAGTGTGTTGCAAGTGACTCACGTGTCAAAGTACCCCTTCCCGTTGTGTTGCAGACACAAAGCTGCCCTCAATCTCACCTTGTCAAGCTTCTCCAATGACAGCCTTGTCACGTCGGCGAGAATCTGTGGCTCTTGCTCAAGGTCGGCAATTAGACCGTACTTCCAGGCGCTGTCCACGGCATTAAGAGCCTCCAGTCGAACAAGCGAACCAACGTCGCCACGTTCGTTGATAGTGTAATCATTCAGCGCTGTTATGAGAGCTTCTGCAATCTTGGAGTTCAGTGAGCTGCGAGTAGTCACTGCTACAGCCTCGAAAACCAGTTGCAAGCTCTGGAGTGCAACCACACGCGCCTCAATCCCCACTCGTTCTGTGCATCGAGAACTCAAGAGTTCGATGATTCGCACGCGGTCGGCATCGTCTGCGACTGCGCTGTAGATTGCTCCAATGGCAATGGCGTAACCTGGATCACGTAGAACAGTCCTGACGTTTGACGACTTGAGATGGTTCAGCCATGAATGCACCTCCTCCCTCCGATCGTCAGCGTTTAGAAGTAGAGAGACAGTAGAGATGGCCGAGGGTACTGTGCGAAGGACAGAGTCCTCCGTCCGACCGAGACAGAGCCGCAAGGGGGCCATAGCAAGGATCTTGGTGAAAGGGACTGGAAGGAAGGAGATGTCATCGCCCAAGCTATTGGTAAGGCTAGCTAGAGCAGCAATGAAAGTGCATATAGCAGCAGCTGTCAGGTCTGGTCGGAGTGCTGGAGATGTAAATGCCCGTTCGGGAAGGTCGAGTTGCCCGTCAAGGAGACTCCACAATCCAGCAATTTCCGCAAGCTCCTGTCCCCGGAGAGGAGTTGCATGCTCGACTGACTGCGCAGAGGGCTCTGGAGAATGCCGGCGACTACTTTCTGTTATCAGCGATGCCAGAGATAAAATCAAGCCGTGACGTTCCTCGACGTCTCGGACATGGAGCTTGCAAAGTTGATTGCTGACACGCTCAACCATGGCTTTGACGGTGTTGAACGGCTGGATAGTGCTTAAGCGACCTATAGCATTTGCAGTGGAAGTCCGAGAGGGTGGGTCAAGCGATCCGACACCTCGCCATCTAAGCAACTCGGCAAACAAGGAATCCCAGTATATCTGGCCCAATTGCGCAGCCTTGAAGCCAACCTGGCTGATGGCGCGATCACGCAATCCGACAGCGTGGAAGTCGACGATTTGAACAAGAGATATTCCCTCAAGCACCGTGTTGGGGTGTCTGCCGATAAGTTCCTGAAGTGCGGCGGAAGATCCCCGACGGATATTTCCAGCGGGATCCAAACATGCAGCGACCAAGAGTTCGATGGCTAGAATTTGGGGAATAACTAGCGCCTGATCGTGTCCTCCTGCAGCACGGATGGAAGTAGTGCTCACCAAGAGTAGTTCTTTCGTGGTGTATCTTCTGGACACGGCCCAAATGCCGAAACAAGCTGCATCCCGGACATTCGTGCCAATAGAACCTCCGGTGGCAGAGCGCTGTTCAAAGGTGAGAGCGAGGATCAAAGCATTGAGGATGTCTGGAAGTTGGTCGGTGGATGGCGCTCTCCGGTAGAGCAGTTGAGAGAGTGCAAGCGTGAGGCCGTGCCAGCGAAGAGGGTTGACGGCACTTAGATTTCTGGCGGAGCCATCCCACAGCACATCTTCGTTGAGACAGCCCAGGATAGCCTCGATTACCTCAGCACCCATCTCGGGCTCGAGCTTCATGGTGATGATACTGAGCGCCTTGCTTGCTGCATATCTTACTGGAGAATCTCCGTCACCGACGGTTTGCAGCAGGAAATCTATGACGTCCTCCAGCACCGCAGACGAGTCCTCAGAAGAATCGGATTGTAAGTAGTGAACAACAATGTGGCGGAACGTCTTGATGACAAGCTTTCTCGCAACGGCGGACGATTTGACAAATTCAAGATTTTCTTGTTTGACGATGAAATCACAGGCCTTGTAGATATCCATGAGGAACTCTCCTAGCTCGTCCTTGTTCGCGGATGCAACAAGACCACTAAGAAAAGCCAAGACACCTAAGCAGGTGTGGATGTCAGACACGCTCTCAGTTGTGCTGCTGAAGAACGACAAGGCCCACTTGACGAGAGACTCCAGCAGGCCTACTTTGCGCATGTCGGGCCGCAAAGACAGCCGCACGAGAAGACTAGCAGCAGCATCGCGCTCTCGTGTCGCGCACTTGAGATAATCAATGCATATCGGAATGATGCGGTTGACGACGCCGGGTAGACTGTCTGGCAGGACAATACCAGTGCGCTGCTGGGCGGTTTCAGCAGGTTGGCCTGATGATATTGAGGCCAGGTCGAAAGGAGCAAGCATGAGATGTGAGAGCCAAAGCAAGGCTACAAATTTCTCTTCCCAAACGAAGGACTCGTCGCCAAGTCCTTTCTCGAAGTGGTCAAGGATGGGCTCCAAGTAGCGGGGCTCATTGTTGAAGAAGCCTACAATGACCTTCTGGCCACGAACCTTGCAGAGCGTGTACAAGATCCGAGAAACGGCTAGCGGAAGAGGGACAGCTTTGGGCTTGACAGGCGTGCCCGTAGAATGGGGCAGATACTCCAAGTAAGCATCAACCAGCTGTGGCACGACATCTCTCAAGTGCGTGTCGAGAAGCTGCGGCTCCTCTTGGAATGGCTCGACCTTAACCAATGGTCAGCAACAGCCCTTGTGATACATGGAAAAAAGGTGAGAATCATACAAAGGACAAAAGGCGATCCAGGTCTCGCTGTCGCACTAAACGGTGGATACGGCGGTGCCCGGCGGATGCAGGGGTCGATTTCCATAGGATTTTTCCCAAGGACGAGCGTAGGTCGGATAACAGGCCAGCAGAGGCTCGCTGAAGCCTGATGTCCTCGTCATCGATGGCATCCATGAAGATTCGAAGTGAGATTTGGCTGGCGGGGTTGACCGGGGAAGGGTGGTGCAGTGGAGTCTAGAGTGCCGGGGCGGAGCTGGTGTGACGTGGTGGGGCGCGACGCGGGCGCGCGACTGCTCCGCCGACGCGATTTCCCGCGTCTGAACATTTCCGGCATCTTAACATCTCACCGTCGACCTCCTCCACACGTCTCTAGGCCATCCGATTCAAGTTCTCGCCATGGATCAGTACAAGGAGTACCTGGCAGCCCGGGTACTGCAGGAGTCCCGCCCCGTATGCCTCAAACCCTACTTGCGCGACCATGCAGTGCGTTGACATTGGCCGCAGATCACCTTCAAGCTGCTGAGCCGTGAGCTGAAGGTCCACGTTCACCAAGCAAAACAGTACGAATTGCGCCCTCTCCGTGACCTTCATTACTGAATCCTTGGTCTAGGATGCTCTACCACTTCCATGCAACCGAGAATCAGAAAAAGTCCGGCTCCGTCCATGCGACCTACATCATCATCGGCACGAAGCACCTTGAGCCCGCGCCGCGAGCCAATGGCCACACCGACGAGGATGTTCCCATGCGCAGCAGTCCGTTTCCCAGCTCGTTACCCGATGCCCCCGCCGAGGACGAGGAAAGCCGCCCAAAGGTTACATCGATAAAGTTAGTGGGGGAGGAAGACCTGGACGAGGCCAGGGCACAATTTGAGGAGATTACGTCCCTTCATGTCTACAGCCTGGAACCAGGTCCTCTGAAGAACCTCCAGATTCTATCAGATTGCACTCGCGAGGCAGCTAAGAAGACTACCGATGAAGACCCACTTCAGGCCTGGGAAACGTACGGCTGCATACGCAACCCCCATGCAAGGAGAAGGACGCCAGGCGTCAAGCCGCAGGCTCCAGCACCTGTGGCCACAAACGCCACCGCGAAAACCGCTCCTCGTCCGAGTACCACTGCCGCTACTAAACAGAAGGATGTACAAGCCAAGACCAGCGACTCGCAAAAAGCTTCCCGTTCGTCCACCCCGCAAGTCGATGCCGCGGCATTACCAAACAAGAAGACCAACAAGACAGGCTTGAAGAAGGAAGCCTCGAGTATATTCGCGTCTTTCGCAAAGACACAGCCAAAAAAGAAAGCAACTGAATCTGGACCTTCAACTCCACCTACAAAGTCAGCGGAGCAGAGCCAAGCAGAAGATGAGCCAATGAAAGACGTTTCGGACGAAGAGGGAGAGGATGACGATTTGGTCATCACCGGCGCGAACAAGAAATCCAAGGAGGAGACCACTGAGGCGATGAAGAAGGCTCGGGCTGAACGAGAAGCAAGAGACAGGAAGCTGCGGGACATGATGGATGAAGATGACGATGAGACGATGCAGGACGCGCCCACGGCTGCACTCGAGGAGCCTGAGGAATCCGAGGAGCAGAGCGTAGATGCACCTGCACAGTCCGAACCAGAACCAGAGAAGAAAGAGGAAATCACCGTCTCTAATGGCCGCAGAAGGGGACGCAGACGTGTCGCGAAGAAGAGGACGTACAAAGATGATGATGGATACTTTGGTGAGTTTCCTTCGCTGTGATTAAAGTGTATCTACTGACGATACGTTCGCAAAGTCACGAAAGAGGAACAAGTCTGGGAGTCTTTCTCGGAAGATGAGCCCCAGCCCAAAAAACCCAAGCCTACGCCTGCGGCCGCAGCGAAGCCTAAGAAGGGCGGTGGAAAACAAGGACAGGGAAGCATCATGTCTTTCTTCGCGAAGAAACCGTCGTAATGGACGATATCAAATGACTGAGTACTCTGTTCGGCATTCACTGAATGAAAAAAAAAAACGTCTCGGCGACAGAAGATCGGCAACGGGCACAACAACATCTCGAGGTTGTAGATCGGACTTGCTTATGTTGAGGCATACGTAGTATGATACACGTCAGATACCCTTCCATGCACTATCCTAGATTGTCGCCAATGGCTCCTGCCGTCCCACTGGTGGTAACCGCCATACAGATGGGTTGTTAATTTCAAGACCACCAAAGTGTCATACATGCTTCCCGTGAATAGCATAGGTAAATGTTGACTCAATAGCAAAATAATAAGGTCAACCTTCATTAGTGCCAGATCCCTCAAGCTCTCAATGAACTATAACATTCTAACGTCTATCTAGATAGTCTTCTAAGACTGAAGGCCTGAAGCTCAGTATATATATATGAACCAGTACGATTATTCTCTGCTTTCCGACCTATTGGAGCATGAGCGAGTGGCAAATCAAACAAACATAAACATAATATTTCATCTTCCCTTTCGCAAGTGCCAGCTGGTAGTAAGGTGCACTGTCTATCAAGCCCGCAGTCTCAGAGTAAGAAGGTTAAAATGTTGTACCGTCTGATAAGAGATGATTTCGCAGAGTACGGCGTATGTGCTGTGGCTGTAGGTGCGTTGAGAGGTGAATTATTCTCCCCTACAACTAGGATTACGAAGTATTTCAGCTCGACTGAAGGTTGTATTGTGTGTATCAAAGACTTCTCGCGAAAGACAAACCTAACTAAGTATTTTGACACCGAAGTCTCGAACCATCAACAATTATTGATGAATAATTCCGCACTTTGCGGAATAAGAGCTACCCATAAAGCCACTGATTCAGCTACCCAGACCTGCAGAGACAGCCAGGTTGCCTGCATATACCTCACAGCTGGGCTAATGATCATTTACACACAACATGTGACGCGGTCTAACGTCGCATGAATGTTCTTAGTCAACATCCATCCTTCCCGATCCACCCTGCTTTTCTTCGTCTTCCGCCGTCTTCTTGACGCCCTTAAGGAATGCTTCCACTGCATTACCGCCATCCAGGGGAACGCCGCTGTGGCGCACGTAGCCTCCGTTCTCAACCTTGATTTTCAAGGCCTCGCTGACGCTTGGCAACCCACCGTCCCTCAGAGCCACCGTCAAGCTAGCCAAGCTCTGGTGTAACTGCGGCGAGCGAAGAACACGCTTGAGGATGTCCTTCTTCTGCGATATGTTGAGCGCCTGGATGGCAGCCTGGACAGTCTCGGAGTTGGGGTCGGCGTCGGAGAGGTCGGCTGCTTCTTGAGAGAGGAGGAGGATAGCGGGAGGCAGGTTCGAGAGAAGCGCATCGATGAAAGCGGTATCGCCAGACTCGATTACGGGGATAGTGTTGGAGGACGAAAGAAGATCGGCGAGCGTCGTGAACAGGTTGGGCCGGGCCTGTGACAGAGATGCACCGCCACCGCCGCCGGAGTTGAGGGAGTTGAGGAAGTTTTGAACGATTGCTGACGCATCGTTCTGCCTACCACTTATGGAAAGTTAGCATCGCAGTCTTTAGAATGGCGATGTAAGACATGAGCGTAGCTCGGGCTTGTGGTGCGGGGCCGAGACATCGTCACCATTTGCGTGACCATCCGCAATCGATTCACTCTCTACGTAACACAGGTCGAGAAACGGAAGCGCCATCTTCGAGCAGCTTCTACACCGACGACGAAGCACCAATCTTGTCATGCCCCGATAACGCCATGCCAGGACGCCTTCATGAAATCGAGAAGTAACCTACGCTCTAGCTCCGTCAGCACCTCCCTCACGAGCCTCCTCGCCTTCTTCCCTAACATCTCCACCGGTAGCGCCGGCACCAGCGCCGCCACTGCCCTGACCATGATGCTCGTTGCCCGGAGCATCTTCCATTGTCTCGTCGTCATCCCCGCTACGAGGGTTCTGGACCTGGCGTAGCTCATCCTGAACGTCGATCTCCTCGCCGGAGAGCAGCATGTCGACAATCTGGCCAATCTTCAAGTCTCTCGGGCTGAACCAGCTGGCATTGCCGCTGGGGTGCTGGCTCTTGGACTGCAGCCAGAAGAGATGACGTTGCGAGCTGGAGGAGAACTTGAGGACGAAGACACGGCCGTCGGTCGGGGATTTGAGGTTGTCGGAGTCGGAGTTGTCCTCCTTGCCGGTGTAGGGAACAAACGAGCCGTCGCCGGGAATCATGAGCAGGTCAAGCTCAGGGTCGTTGACCGACGCCGACCGCGGGCGCCAGCAGAAGTGGCAAAGCTCTGTGAATCCGTTAGAAGCGCGAGGTATAAAGAGGAAAAACGACGGGGCACCGCACCATCGCCGATGTAGAGGTAGATGTAGCCGGGCGTCGACACGGCCTTGACCTTCCAAGGGTCTGAGCTGGTCTGCAGCAGGCATCAGTTATTGGGTTCGCGGGCACGGCGCGAGCGGGAGCAACTGACATCGACGTCGCACTTGCCGGCCTTGAAGGTGATCAGAGGGGATATCGACATGGTGGATGTGTGCAGTAGTGGGCGAGTTGGGGAGGGGAGGTGAGGCTGAAGCTCGCACAAGCACAAGCAACCTTCGGTGGATCTGAGGCAACGTCAAGCTCCAGTCGCGTTGCGCTGCTGCAGCTCGCCCGCGGCGGAGCGCACCGGCCCTGATGACCTCTTGGCGGCATCATCGCGGGCCAATCACGCCCTGCTCGGCTCGGACCCGGAAAAACGTGCCCGGGATCCGCTCACCACACGATCAATTTGAACTTCGCTTCCGAGTATTGTGACGGGCTTGACGACGACGACTCAACCACCCACCGACCTACCCCTTCCGGATTATCCAAACACCATCCGAAATGTCGGCTCCCCAGGCATCGACCAAGAAGTTCGGCAAGGGCGAGAGGACCATCCCTCACCACTCCGAGAAGGCCGCCAAGTACTACCCGGCTGAGGATGAGCAGCAGCCCCACAAGGTACGCGCATTCGAACGAGAGCAGAGCGAAAAAGAAGAGGGATTGCAGGATTTATTTGGTTGAAGTTGCAATATGTGGCGACGAGCGCCTGCGTTGCGCACCTAGCCCGAGCTTGTAGCAATGCTCCGAGTTGGCGATTTGTGGACCGCACAACAGCAACACCAGAAAGCTGACGCAGGTGTTTCTCTGCAGGTTCGCAAGGCCATCCGTCCCGCAAAGACGCGTGCCTCGCTCCAGCCCGGCACCGTCCTGATCCTCCTGGCCGGTCGTTTCCGCGGCAAGCGCGTCGTCCTCCTCAAGCACCTGCCCCAGGGTGTCCTTCTCGTCACCGGTCCCTTCAAGGTCAACGGCGTCCCTCTCAGGAGAGTCAACGCCCGTTATGTCATCGCCACCTCCACCAAGGTCGACCTGAGCGGCATTGACTCCGGCGTCGTCGACAAGGTTGGCGCCGACGGTTACTTCGTCAAGGACAAGAAGGAGAAGAAGGCCAGCGAGGAGGCTTTCTTCAAGCAGGGCGAGAAGCCCGAGGTCAGTAGTGCAGGAGCTTGTTTCGAGGAACTAGAGGAGGATATGGACTGACAGGGATATCAGGCTCGCAAGCCCGCCAGCGCCCGCGTCGAGGACCAGAGGTCAGTCGACAAGGCCATCCTTGCCAACATCAAGAAGAGCGACCCCTACCTTCTGAGCTACCTTAGCTCCACCTTCAGCCTGCGCAAGGGTGACAAGCCCCACGCCATGGTTTTCTAAGCGATCCGTCGGAGGAGTCTGGGATGACGTGGATGAGTGGATTCGGATATCCAACAACCGGCTTGCTGCGGCCGTAATAGCAGGTTTTCATGGCACGGCGATGGTTATGGAGGGTTCGGTCTGCATTTCCAGAGATATTGTACTGCGAGGCTGAATTCCACAAAAAACATCCGAGATGCTACCTGGCGCTTCTGGTTCTCTATTCAAATGACGCAAAAGAATGGACATTGAAGGCCTTAGAGCAAATACACAAAACGAGACTCCCAACACCAAAGGCGGCATTCGAGAACTGTCCATACCGTCAAAGTTGTCTCACAAGTTTCCTTTTGTCCTTTCTTATTTCTGTCACTTCTTTCCTTTTCCTTTAATCCGCCCGTTTTTAATCTTTGAACCCAGGTTGTCCACAACGTCACTGGCATCGTCGCGCGCCTTGCTCGTCTTCTTCGGCACATTGTGCTTCTCGAGCTCGCCCCGCATATCCTCCACTACGTCACCGCCGATCGTTGTTCCGTGAACCCAATCCAAAAGACCCCACGGCGCGTAATTGCCTTGGCCGCCCGTTAGCATATGGGCATCAGCACGCCTCGCCATCCCGCTCAAGATGATCGTCGACGGCAACACTGAGTATCCGGAATACACGAGCAGCTCTTCCACCGAGACTATGGCAAGCAGCAATTGAAATGTCAGGATGTGGAAGCGGAAGATGACAGCGGGTAGGTAAACGGGAAGCCAGCGGTGTAGCAGCCATGCGATTGGGTGGTCGTAGTTTGCGGCAAACGAGTATGGCGCACGAATGCTCAATTGCCAGTTTCGGTGCCACCGCGCGATGCGGGACCTCGGTGCGTGGAGGACGTGTCGATGAACGTAATATTGCAGGATCTGTGCCAAGCGTGAGCTGAGTGCACGGTTTGATTAAGGCCCGTTGGGCAGCAAGCCACTACAGCAAGGCAATGCCATAATGGGTTCCAAACGACTTGAGCCCTTCGCGCCTCGCGATGGATCCTGCACTTTTCCTACCGTGGGTAATAGAAGCAAGCATTCGGGCGTAGATGCTTAAATACAACTACATCCAAACACATGGTCCCGTTACCCACGTAAGGTTGGTGTACTATCACGGTGAGATAAATGTAGGAGGACTTGACTCGTTTGCAACCCGCTGTGATGACGCGGTTTGCAGTTTGCGATATACCGACTTGCGCGTGAAGCCTTGTCGATGCTTCCTGACCGTGCTTTTGTAGGAACAAAAAAAAAAAACTTACACCTCTGATGACAAGGCCTTTGGCAATGTCCTTGGCTAGCCCCCACGGGAGTGGCAGCCTCGTCACGATCTTGAGCGCACTTTTCATGCGCAGTACTTGCGTCAACAGCAAGTCAACGCTGACCTGAAGCGCAATGCCGAGAAGCACATTGAAGATGCTCCACGCAGCGACTTTCACGACGCCTTTCCGGCCTTTGGTTCCCTTGGCACCACTACGGCCTGGCAGTGCGATTTCGCCTTGGGCCTTGATCGCGACGGAGAGACTAGGTAACGCAGCGTCGAACAGGAGGAATAGCGAGGACGGTAGGATGTAGAAGAGGAGGCGTACGGCGAGCGTACCGAAGCCCTCGACGCGCAAGGGCGGATGCGACAGGACCAGGGTTGACCATGTGAGGTAGAAGAACAGCAGGTTGAGCGAGGTGCTGTAGTTTGAGTAGATCGGGAGAAAGGCTGCACTGAGCAGCGGGAGGCCGATTAGCGTGTCCAGCATGGCGGAGAGCGCCAGCAGAAGCGGCGGACCGGAAGCAATGGCAATGCGGCGCTAGCGTTGAGCGCTCTCGTTGGAGGGAAGTCAAGCTGTCGTGATTGGCGGGGCTTGATTGAAGAGGACCGCGCAGTTGTACAAGGCGTCAGCACGCACTGGCGCCACCAGAGGCTTGGAGGGCGTGGGAATTGGTCGGGGCGGCCACGAAAGCTGTCTGGAAAGATGGGATTGGAGAGTGATGGGGAGAAAAGAGCAAGGTGACGTTTTACGTGCGAGTGCCATCTGCGGGGTTGTGATAAGCAGCGTGGTTGGAAGCTTGGTGTTGCATCTTGCAGGGTCAGAGCGATGACGACAGTCAGGCCCAGCAGCCTGCACAAGCGGCCCCATGCCGACCGCCCGGAGCACGCGACGAATGGAGCCCCGGCGCGTCCGAGCGCTTGCTATGCACGCGTTTCTCTCGCTTCGGAGCATTAATTTGGTGTCTTAAATGCGCCCTCCTAGCCGTAACGGTGCATCCTCCTGCTGGAACTCCCGATGAAGGGTGGACGACAGGGAAGGCCGTCGGCAGCATTGCCCGAAGCCTTCTTACTTTTGCTCCGGCGAAGAGCAAAGTCAAAAGCAGCGTAGAAGCAACGGCTGTCACCCCGCAGGCGCTGGAACAGGATTCATGTCGCCCTGAGCCCCGAGCGTAGACATTGAAACGCTCGGCAAGGCGCTTCACCCGCTGTTGCAGAGCGGCCTGGGCGAGAAAACCTCCATGCGGGCTTGCTATGCGGCGGATGCAATTTCAGTAGCAGGTGTAGCGCAGGCTGGCGCGCCCGCACCCCTGTATCGCTCCGTCGATCTAATGCTCGTGCGGGCTCACCCTGACTACGAATAATAACCAACCGCAACGCCCCTCGTGGTGTGAATTGACCCGCCTGTCCACCGCGCTGCTCGCTCCAGCTCACCGCGGCGCCTGTGGCAGCGCGCCTCCGCACTCTCGTTCTCGCGCCTTCTTTGCGACATAACCATGCAGCCAGCTCCCACCGCACTCGCAGCCGCCGTCAGTGGAAGCTACACCCCTACCGCAGCCCACCGCGCCTGCTGATTCCATTTCGCCGTCCCTTGCGTCGCTCCCTCCTTCGCCCGCCAACCATGGAAGACCCGTCGCCCGCAACCCCGCTGCAGAACGGGCGCGCTTCGAACGCCAATCCCAAGCGTCGTTCCCTGCCCGCGTCCACGTCCGCTCCTCCCCGAGAGGGCCGCCCCCGCCGCTCGCCCAACCACATCCGCCCAAACCCTGCGTCGCCCGAGGTCATATCGTCGCTGATCGACTCCCTATCCGCCATTTCCCTGCCCGCACAGGACCACTTCGAGAGTCTGCCGCGCATCGGCGCAGACGGCGAGAGCTACTCGGTCCCTGCGAGCCCGGTGGCATGGCAGCCAGGGTTTCCAAACGGCAACCGGGGGTTTGGCGTCGAATACGGGGTACATAGGCATCAACGGTGGGAGGAGGAAAGGCAGAATGACCCGGACTTCGACGAGGCCGCGGAACCGCCGGTCATTAAAACCGCCCCACCGCCTTCAGGCTATTCGCCGGTTACCGCTCCGAAGGGGCACAAGCGCGACAGGGAAGGCAGTTCGCTCAAGAACTACATCCTCTCCACCTCCAAGAGCTGTAGCTCGCTGAACTCGAAGCACTCGAGCACCAAGGATGATGCAAGCAGCATCGCCAGCAGCATAACCCGCGGTCTACGCCGCCACTCCACAAATAGCCGGGCTTCGTTGGAAAGCAAGCGCAGCGCAACCAAAACACGCAGTCTGTGCTATGCGAGCTCGCGCGAAAGACTGCGGAGCCGCGACAGCGACTCGATTGGTCTCAGCAGCCCGCCGTCAGCCCTGTGGTCGCCCACCAAGAGTACCTCGGGCCCACCGAGCCCGAGAAAACGCTCTCTTCAGTCCTTGAGAGGCTCCAGGATCGACGAGGCTCCTTGCGAAGAGCCTTCCACACCTCAACGGAAGTCCCGGTCCAAGCCGGCACCCATCAACACCACTCCTGGTCCCGCCGAATTGGAAGAGCGCGGCCCGAGATGGCCTGATGATTCCATCCCTTCAAGGACTTCAAGTCTCCGCCATCAGTCTCAGAGTCCAGCCAAACACAGGCGCATAAGCTCGAGATCTCGGAGCAGGACGCAGTCCAAAACAAGGACCGTCATTGAGGAAGACGAGCCAATGGAGTTGTCGCCCGGGCCGCTGGGTAAGGGAAAAGAAAGAGAAAATCCAGACGAGCCAGAGCACGAGGAAGACACTCAGGTGACCAGACGCATCAAGGAGCTCAAGAGACAGAAAGAACTCCGGGACAGGGAATTTGGAAACCTGCAACTCAACGTCAGCGGCGATACCCAGGAGCCTTCCCGCCTGTCCACCACTAGCATGCGAACTCCGCTTTCCCCCATCACCCGTGCTCTAGAATATGAGGAGCAGCGGCCCATCGAAGAGTCTCTTGCAAAGGCTCACAGAATGCTTGGCCTTGCGCCAACCGAGATACGACGCTCGTTGACGAGCCCCTTACCCCTAGGGGATAGTGCACATCCCGCTCAACCTGAACAAACTGGAGGACCAAAAAACAGCATTGATGAGGAACTCCCGATAGACTACAAGCTCGCATTGCAATCACTAGGCCGGAGCGAGAGCGAGAACGCCGCATTAAGTAATCCGAGCCACCGCCTTTCGCTCTCATCTATGGGACGCAGCCACACCATTGCGGGCCGTCCCTCGGCTGGTAGCAGTAGCAACTCAGCCATGATGCAAGACCGCAACAAGAGGTCTCTGGAGGAGGCAGCGCAGAAACTGGACCTGCACATTAACTTCGATAGCTCGACGGAATCTCGAGCACCTTCCCGAGCGGCCAGTACCGAGTCGGCGCCTTGCTCAAGGCAGTCGCTCTTTATACCGCCGGCGGCAGATTTAAAACGGTCCAGCTCGAGCACTAATGCCAAAAAGAAGCGGTGGTCGCACCCAGACATCCCCTTGAAGGTTGAACAGAAACACAATGCAAAAGTGGATCAGGTAAAGAGAGACTCGATGCAGGTTAAATCACCACTCAAGTCGCCGCAGGTCCCTGAAGCCGTTATTGAGGAGCCTCTTCGCCCAACCAGTGGGGACTCGATTGATGACGATGTCGATGCCTTCTTGTATTCGCCACGCCTGACGCAGAAGGTACGCGAACCGAGCACCGGAAGAACGATTTGCTTTTCTGAGGTCGGCGATCCCAATGGCTTCGCGATTTTTGTCTGTGTTGGAATGGGATTGACTCGCTACGTTACCGCTTTCTACGATGAGTTGGCAACAACCCTCAAGCTGAGATTGATCACTCCGGATCGACCGGGCGTAGGGGAGTCTCAATCCGATCCCCACGGAACGCCTCTTAGTTGGCCGGGTAAGTTGAATAGGAGTTCTGAAGCATATACCCCACTAACAATCATCGTTTAGATGACGTTCTCTGCATTTGCCAGGCGCTCAAGATCACTAAGTTCTCGATCATGGCACATTCAGCTGGTGCGATCTACGCACTAGCAACAGCACTACGCATGCCGCAACACATCCGCGGCCGCGTGCATCTTCTCGCCCCATGGATTCCTCCATCACAGATGACTGCAGTCGGTCTCCCTGTAAACGCACAGACGCCTGAGCGCCAGCTCCCAAGGTCGCAGCGCCTATTGCGCGTTCTCCCAACTCCGCTGTTGAAAGTGGCCAACTCTAGTTTCATGAGCGCAACTTCGGCTAGCATTACAAGAAGTGTACCGAAGTCACCTCAACGGGTCAAGCGCAAGAGTTTTGTTGCAGCCCAACAGGCCCCGGCAGCCCGTGTCTCGGTTGCGGGAAACAAGAACCGGGAGTCTATGATGTTGATGGACCGTGTATTACCCAACGGCAGCGCCCTTGAGGTAGCCGCCAACGACCCAGCCGATCCGAACCACCAAGTGGCTGCGCAGGCGAAGGCTGCTATGACGCTGGTGGAGCAAGAACGGCGTCGGGAATACGACACGAGGCTCACTCTATCGGTGTGGGATCTGGCAACTACAAACGCAAACCCGGCTGTCGACTTGCTCGTATGTCTCGAGCGTACACAGCAGATTGGGTTCCGCTATGTGGACATCACTCGAGCTGTTGTGATTCACCACGGCAGCCGGGACACACGTGTACCGGTTGAGAACGTCAAATGGCTCGGCCGCACGATGAAGCGCTGCGAGGTCCGGATCCTCGAGGGCGAGAACCATGGTCTCATGGCCAGCGCGGTAGTCATGGGCAATGTGCTCACCGAGATGGCAAGGGAATGGGAGGACTGGACGGCGGTGGTCAAGGAAAGCCGCAGCCGCGACAATCTGCGAGCGCAATTCAGTAATGGTTCATGAGGAGTTCACCCTCGATTTCATCCCTTGTCCGCATTTGGCCGATGGACCAGACGAGGCCTTTTCTTCTTCAACTCCGTCCCGCTGTGTCCAGCACGTTTCATTTGTCGGGAATTTTGTCGGTTGGATTTCCTTTCGATTTTTGGTTTGTTGCTGTTGGATTCTGGACTGTATACCCCTGAGATACCATTTCCTGCTGCGTCGAGTGGTGTTGTGAGCCAAGATCAGAAGCTGCCACTTGCTTTCACATCTGACTCTCCCTTCGTGACATTCGCTAGCAAGTTCTTTGACACACTCACGAGATGGTTACCCACGAGAGACGGCTAAAAAGACGGAGAATGTAGCAGACAGGATAGCTTCTAATGGATTAATAGGTGGACGCGCCCACTGGAGAAAATTGCGCGGAGACTTGTTGTTGTCAGACGTGGCCACGCCCTTGCAGGCGCGTGCGTTGTGAGGGCATCATTGATGCAGGTGGGTTTAGATTGAGCTGCATGCGATGCACCAGCAACAGGCGCTGAGGGCGTGTGCGCTGGTTGCCGGGCGGCGCGCCGCCGACGGGATGAACACGATGGGCAGACACACGCACACACACACACACAGCTCGCCCAAGGCACCGCCGTCACAGCGCGAGGAGCCCGAGCATTTTGAGTCGGCGATACCGCACCTAGTGCATCGGAGGAAGGGGTGCACTCGAAACTTCAGCCTCGCGATTTTCCTAAATCAAGGTGGAGGCAGAAGCAGCGTGGGCCACGCCGCGCGAGGTGGTTGGGAGGAGGCTGGCAAGCTCGATAAACCCACCCGCCCTGCATCACCTTTCCCGCCCAGCTCGCAGCCCGCATTCCTCCTTTCACTCCCCGTACTCACTTTGCTCTCAATCTTGGTTGCGAACGCCTCTGTCGCTCGTTCAGCGCCGGCTTTCCCGTCCCACTCGCATTCCATCTTTCGGGCGGAGACGTCATTCGACACGCCTCGACGCTGCGGGTAGATCACAGATCACGCCGACCCCACCCGCCTGCCCAGCAAGGAAACCCGCTGGACTGAGCCCGACTGCATTCCACCTCGTCCACCCCGCCCGCTCACTCTCTCATCCGTCCTTCTCGCGAGCTGAGCGGCATCCCACGAGCTGCGGCGGTTTCACCACGTCTTCGACAGCTCCGCAGTCGCCGTGCAATCGGCGCACCGTCACCCAGCATGCTCGCTCCCACCTCGCTCGTCCCCACATTGCTGGCTGCGCTATCGCTGTCCCCGCAATGGTCGAGCGCCAACCCTATCCTGGCCGCCGACGACTCCGGTCTTGACGAGTACCAGAACGCCACTCTCGTCGAGCGCTCCTGCGCACACCCTTGCGGTTGGTCGGGACAGCTCTGCTGCGAAAGCGCTGCGGCTTGCTACACCGACTCTTCCGAGCAGGCGCAATGTAGCGCGACAGCTGCCGGCTCCGGCTCCTGGTCGTACTACACGAGCACTTTCGTCGAGACGGACAAGGTGACCAGGACCGAAATCTACAGCAGCTACCTCGGCGGCGCGACTGTGTCAGCCCAAGCGACCGGAAGTTCCATCTCATGCAGCACAGGAAGCGGCGAGACTGCTTGCGGCAGCATCTGCTGTACCTCGCAGCAGTACTGCCAGCTCGACGGGCAATGCGCCGCAATTGGCGTGTCCGAATCACCTGGAGCAACCGCCACGGGTACGGGTGCCTCATATTCCGCGCCGGTGCGACCGACGTCGGGGACGCTGATTACCATCACAGCCACCGCCGCCGCAACCACGACCGTCCCGTTCGAGACGCCTGTTGCAACCGGCGCCACTGCGCCCGTGACTGCCGGTGAGAGCAGCGGCGGTAGCGGTCTCAGTGGAGGCGCCATTGCAGGCATCGTCATCGGCACCCTGGCCGGTATCCTCCTGCTTGCACTTCTCTGCCTCTTCTGCTGTGCCAAAGCTGCATTTGACGGCATCCTCGCAATCTTCGGCCTCGGCGGCAAGAAGAAGCGTCGTTCGACGGAATACGTCGAGGAGTATCACCGTCACAGCCACGGCGGCGGCAGCCGCCATTCAGGCTGGTACGGTGACCGTCCCGCCAGGCCTCCACCACCGAAGAAGAGTGGATTTGGCATGGGCGGCCTTCTCGCTGGTCTCGCTGGCGCAGGGGCTCTTCTTGGTCTCAGTAAGAAGAGGCGCGAGACGCGGTACGACGACGACAAGACCACGACAACCGATGTCAGCAGCTACTATTACAGTGACTACACAAGTTCAAGTAAGTGACGGTTGCTCTTTTGTTTTTGTTCTGCAGGAGAGGCACGTTGCTAACCAACCTTCAGGCAGCGCCAGTTCAGACGACAGGAGGACGAGAACCACCCGCTATACCCATTCGCACCGCTAGAGCCGAATTTGCTCAGTTGCATGCTCAGCATCTTCACCCTGTACAAATTTCCTGGGCGGATCGAAATTGCGAGGCACCCGCGTGCGATTTCAAGCGCTCTCCGACGTTTCAATTTGCTTGCGTCGCTTTTCTCCGGTCCATCAGTATTTTCTTCTGCATTTGAACCGCCTCGTTTCCCACCGAGGCCCATGGCGTTTGCGGCATATTCCCCTTCGGTTCCTCTCGACGACGAGTTATGCAGTCGCATTCGAGGGTTATTCTTTGTTCTTTTCGAAGCCACGCGTAATACAGCGGGTGAAATGATTTTAGACGATAAGTGGCTTTACGACTTTTGAGGATGAGAAAACGCGGAAAGGGTGGGGAGGAAAGCTGGAATTGACGACGAGACGACAAAAGACAGGCAGCCGGTGGATTTAATGAGCACGACCTAGATGGGGAATGTGGCTGTTACGAAGGATGTACGTAGTTATGAGACATGGCAATGCCACGCTGGGAGGAATGGTATCCATCAGGACGCCAACGGAATGGAAACGGCAGGGCAGAGCAGTACAACTGTTTGAAAGACAAAAAGCATATCAAACATGGCCTGCTTCTTTCACACTGATGCCCACTTACAGCGGTGTGAAGTGCTCGACGACTCCATTGGCCCGATTCGTTCGGCGCTATGGAAGTGCAGGTGACAGGAGTTGAGGCGTCCACTGGCAGTCGGTCGTGTCGGTCGGAATTGCCCTCTCCGGCCGGTTGTCGGCGACTCACAGCAGGAAGACAACTGCCGCACCTCACCGCCTTCTGCCCTGGCACACGGCTTTCTTTTTCCTGCGGAGCCCGGGCAGGCTGGCCCGCGGCAGACACGGCGGCGCACGCACCGTCGGCAACCTCAACTTCCAACCTCATCCGGGCGGCCACTTTGACCTCATCCCCATCCATCCCCCCTCCATCGCCAGCACCGGCCCCGCCCCCCGCACCACATCGGGTCAGCGTCCAACCACACCGACCGCGCGAGGAAACCGAAGCCCCCCCTCTCCACTCCGCCTTTATTTACGTTCTCGTGACGACGCGCCATGGCGTCCTCGATCCGCAACACGACGGCCGCGTTCCGCCGCATGGCCGCCGCCACCACCACCACCACGTCGAACGCGGTCGGCGGCCGCGGCAGCAGGAACCTGTCCTCGACCCCGCGCCGCCTCGGCGGCGACGCGCACGCGCACGGCGACCACTACGACCCGCCCAGCGGCTGGCTGTTCGGCGTCGCACCCGGCAAGTACCAGAAGGAGGGCTGGGAGAACATCTGGATCTGGGGCTTCCTCGGGAGCCTTGGCATGGCGGGCCTGGCCTACTGCTACAAGCCTGATACGAGGTATGTTTTCTTTTGAGTCATGGTTGTTTGTTGGAGAGCGAATTGGGCGGGGTACGGAGGAAAGGGGAAGCTGGGGTGGGGTAAAGAGGGGTGGGTGGCTGGGTGTGCAGCGCAATTGGGGTGCAGATTGATTTGTTGAGCGAGTTGAGATGCGGTGACGCTAACGCGAAGGCGCTTTTGTCTTGCAGTATACAAACCTGGGCTCTTGAGGAGGCCCGGAGACGGCTCGAGGCCGAGGGCATTCTGGAGGACAAGAACTAAAGGAATTGCCAACACCACTACCGATTTCCATCTGTAACCGTTCGCGCGGATAAGGAAGCCAATCAACTTCGACACTATTTTTCCCGCCACCTTTTTCTTTCCCCATGACGGACCTTTTGAGAAATTAGAAACAGACCCCGGCGGTAATCGTGTTTCGGGCTGAGAAGCGGGCTGGCCTTTGGCACCGCCAGTTTCGTGTTCTACGCGTTTTCCCTTTTCTCCCCCCAAAACGGATGCGAATGCGGAACGGTTCGTTGCGACTGCTGGAGGCAACAAGACACATGCAACGATGTACATACGGCTTCGGGTGGGGGAAAGAGGGCTCTGCAAGCAGTAATCTCCTTTGTTTTGATCACGGCAATAGACGTGGCCGGATGTGGGTGAATGAGAAGCATCAACTTCGACCGCCTTTCTTGTCTCAGGGCTCTCTCCCTTGAATTCTCCGTTTCGAGGTTCCGTGTGGGGGTGCCGACAGGGATTGACTGGTACGGAGCAAGCACTTGACCAAGTTGCAGGGGCCAGACTCAGCTTTTTCGGGAGATTTCTGATGTGCAGCTGGAAGCCAGCCCGGGCGGCTGGGAAAGTGGAGCCGCTCCCTCAGCCGACCGGTTTTCCGACAGGGTGATCTGCAGAAATGATGCTTTGCTCACGAGGATAGGAAGAGTCAGCATCAATATCACCGCGCATCTCACAAAACACTCTTCGCCAGAGATAAGCAAGACCCACCGCTGCTCCTTTTCTCTCTCTGGGCTTTCCTGTCGCTATAGTTTCATGATTTGCGGCATGACCATTGTTATCGTACGAGGAGGACCTTCTGTTTATTGATTTTGTGTGACGCGGACTTGGACCTCATGACTCGACGATTTTTTGCGACCTTTTTTTTTTCTGCCTCACCCGTTTCCGGACAACGCTCGGCAAGGATTGCTATATATATCTTGCTGAGTACCTCCCACGGGTGCAGAGCAGGGGGAAGAAAAGACCTCGTCACTTACATTGGCGTTCTTTTGAACACTACTACTCGCTTACTGCTCTTTGGCGGATCTACACAGAAGGACCCTCTCCCGACCTTTCCCGTAGACCATGTTACTTGAGGAATCGCCATGCCCAGCGCATTCTTCGAAGCACGCCGACAGCAGGGACAAGTACTGGACGTGCCACAGCTGCGGACTGAAGACGCACCGGGAGCGGACGAGGCAGTGCCTGCAGTGCGGGCACACGTGGTGCTGGAACTGCGAGAAGGCGTCGGGAGGAGGCGGGAGCCTGATCTTTCACAGCTGAAGCGTTGTGACCGGCTTGCCTCTTGGACGACGGAGAAAGAAAGAGTCTGGAACCCGGTACTGCGGGCGATGATTCGGATGGCTACGAAGTATGGCTACCGTTTCGTTGCATCCGCGTGGGCCTCGGCTGGTCCGACGTTTTTACAACTCCTCGATTCTTTGTTGGCCGTTCGCACGGGATTGACGCCTCGCGGTCAAGGTTCTGGAAGAGTTGCTGGTCCATTCCCCCTCCAGGATCCTGGAACTTTGGAACCCCGAATCTCGAACCTCGCAGATCGCCCACGGTGGTCACCCACTTGGCCATACCCACATGGCGACTATTCCAGGCGGCCAAAATTTAGCCAAGATTCATTGACGTGACGTTTCCGGGGACTGCCCCAAATCCACGGATAGTCGTTGGCTCGAACAGCAACACAAATTGAACGGATTCGGCACACAACGCTGTTACCCCGCGTGAGTGGCTTTTCCCTGTTGCTGCGACGTCTGGAACCCGTGGGTGACCGTGGGCCCTTGGACTATTGGGCAATGGCTGGTTTCCGGCAACTCCACAGCTTCGAGGCCACTTGCTCGGCCCTCACATGGACTTCTTCGCTCCCAGCTTATCCATTCAAGGAACGGTCATCTCCTTGGGCACGTACCGTCAAAAGCTCGGGCGAATGATTGGGCAGCGAGACGGAGTGGTGAAGAAGAGGCTTGTTAGTGTAGCAAGTCAGGAGTTCTCGGGGGGTTCGGTGCCGGGTCACCTGCTCGCCGTCCGGGCCTTGTAGCTGACCGCTCTGCCCCACTGCCACGGAGAGACGGGAGATGTCTTGCTCGAACGTCAGGCGGCTGGCCACCGTGACTCGGCAGATGGAGAGCTGTCTCCCAGCTAGTGGGCGTGGCGTTTCCACAGTTCGCATGCGGACCTGCGTCGCGTGGCCGAGGCTGACGACTTGGGCCGGAGGATTTCCCCTTTTCCTGAACATGTGTGCCTGGGGACGAGCGCTGCAGCCTCATCGAGGCACGGCATCGGGGGTGATGGATCGACCGCGGGGAAGCTAAAGGCACGCCAGCCGGGACGGAGTGGGGTTGGTCGCAGATAAGCGACTCCCCGTCGCGTGCCGAATCCTCAACCCCCATCTGACGCACGTCATCCACCTCCCGCAGGACGCTGCCCGACCGTCTCGGCGCAGCGAGACCCCTTGGACGCATACAGAAGCATGCAGAAGGCCGCCGAAACCAGAAGGGGATGTCCGCCTCCGCCGCAGATGGACCATGAATGATCATATTGATGAGGCTCCTTCGATATGCGCCGTCGCCAGAGCACAATGTCCACCAGACGCGGCTGGCTGCAACGGTCCACCGCGGGTGCCACCCTCGGCACGCCAGCCGCTAGCTCATTGCCGCATCGCGCCTAGCCGGGCACGGCTGCCATGGAACAAGGCGTCGCACAGCAGGCAGCATGCGGGATGTGCTCGAGCTTACTGGCAGCTGTTGACGTCGACTGCATCCACACTCATTCAAAAACAGCACCCTGCCCCGTCGCGCGCGCCCCCCGCGAAAAAGGACTATGCCCGAGAGCCCGTATGATGACGAGCGCGACGACGAAGAGCCCCTCTTTGCCAGCAACAGCCCCCCGCCAATAAATGCCCCCCTCGATCCACCAGACGACGACGACGACGCTTCCATTCCCTTGATGTATCTCCACCCCGGCCCAGACGACAAGGACGACCCTTCGCTCCAGCCCCTCATGGCCGATGTCGACTACAAGAGCGCGGGCGGCATACAGCCCACCCCCGGCGCCGGCCGCCCCAGCGACGATGACGAAGCCGACGCGGGCGCCGCGCGTGCCGCCTCGCTGACCGAGGCGCTGCACGCCGAGGGCTTCTCGCTGTTCGAGAAGAAGTGCGTGCTGATCAACCGGGAGATCGACGCCATGGGCATGGGCAGGTACCAGTGGTACGTCTGGAGCCTGTGCGGCTTTGGCTATTTCCTGGACCTGCTGTGGGCCATGGCGTTCGGGCTGGTGCTCGGCCCCGTGCAGCAGGAGTTTGGGTTTGGAAGTAAGCTGGTGTGAAGGAGGCGTCTCCGCCGTGGCTTGCTTCTTGCTGACTCTGGGCCAGACGACCAATCGGGCAACATCTCGACGTCTTTTTCTGCTGGGCTGACTGCAGGTACTTGCCCACCCTTCCGGACCGTCTTGCAGAAACTAATTAGCAGCCAGGCGCGTTTGTATGGGGTGTTTTGGCGGATATCGTCGGTGCGTCACTTGACTTCACGCCATCCACGGACACCAGGAGCTGATTTTCTTATTTCTCAGGTCGGCAATGGGCATTCAACCTTACAGTCCTGATAGCTTCAATTTTCGGCATCTGCCTGGGGGCGCCGAGCTCATACAGCCCTTTTCTGGTCCTCACGGCCTTTACCGGATTCGGTATTGGCGGAAATATCCCCATAGACACTACCATCACGCTAGAGTTCCTTCCCCAGGTATGTCTCTTTGCTTGCAACCATGCGAGGATGGCGCTGATTGATCAAGAACAAACGCTTCCTCTTGGCCTTGCTTTCAATATTCCAGCCTCTAGGAGTGCTCATCTGCTCGGCGCTCGCGTACGCCTATATTCCGAAGCACTCGTGCACTCCCAACTTTGCCGATCCTGATCCGCTGCCATCATGCCGGAACTCCGCTCCCGGCGTCGAATGCTGCTCCAAATCAAACAACATGGGATGGAGGTATCTGATGTTCACGCTTGGGGCCATGACAATTTCGCTGTTCTTCATCCGCACTGTTGTCTTCAGGATGAAAGAGTCGCCCAAGTTTCTTGTGTACAGGGGGCAAGATGAGAAGGCTGTGGAAGTTATCCGTCACATCGCCAAGGTCAACGGGCAGGAGTCGAAGTTGAGGCTCGAGTCATTCGAGATGCTGGAAAGCGAGCATGATCAGCACTCGGGAACAAGTGCGCTTGGAGGTGGCAAGTCCCAAAGGGATCTATCGCTGGGCAAGAAGGTGGGCCTGGAGTTTCAACGGTACAAGCTGCTGTTTAGCAGCCGGGAGATGACGCGCTTGACCATCTTGGTATGGCTGACGTACATAATGGACTACTGGGGCTTCACCGTGGCCGGTAAGCACACAATGAATCCCCATTTCGCTCCCCTCACTATCTGCTTACACTTTCTCCTCAAAACCACACAGGCACCTACCTCCCCAAAATCATCGCCGTGAAGAACGGCTCGCTCAACCTCTCGCTCGACTTCACTTACCGCTCCTACCTGCTCATCTACTTCCCGGGCATCTTCGGCGTGGCGCTCGGAGCGCTGCTCTACAACGTGCCGCACGTGGGGCGCAAGTGGACGATGGCGTTGTCGGCGGGGCTGATGGGCGCCTCCATCTTCATCTTCGCGTCGGTCAACTCCGAGGCCTCCAACATCGGCCTCAACGCCATGGAGTACTTCTTCCAGAGCATGTTCAACGCCGTCCTGTACGGCTGGACCCCGGAGGCCTTCCCCGCACCCGTCAGGGGCACCGCCTGCGGCGTCGCCAGCTTCTGGGGCCGCTTGTTCAGCATCGTGAGTCCGCTGATTGCGCAGAGCTTGTACGCAAAGGGCGCGAGCGGCGGCGGCGATATTAATGCCGTGTTGTATCTGGCCGGCGGCGTGACACTTGGGTGCGTTATTTCGGTTGCGTTGCTACCGAACAGGAGGTTGGGGACGCAGAGCATGTAAATGGGGCAGATGTGTCATGGGATATATATATGCATGGGTAGGAGTAGCAAAGGGCGTTGGTAGACGGAAGAGGGTAGACCCGGAATTAGAGGGGTTTCGGTAATTTAATTGCCTTGTTGTCCACGGTACTCGTGGCACTTTTTTGAACATTCTTCAATCGAATGCCGTACAGGCGCGTGTTTGGGGACGTGTCAGGATTCGCAAGTGGCCATTCTTCTTTCACTCTGCTGTTCAGCTTCAAACACACGAAATGATACCACTCGATTCAGTGGCAGACCTCCTGGCCACAGGAATACAGCCAATGCAAACCACTGGCCGCCGGACGAGGTATAAAAATGCACACAGCAGCTACAACTCCTTCCCTCATCAACCCGAAGCTTCGTCGATCGCAGCAATCGCACCTCCCGAGAAGGGAGCACAAAATCCCCAAACGCCCCGAGCGTTCCCACTAGTACTATACACAACCGAGCATCCTCCTCACAGCACTCCAACGGCGAACAAAAAAAGAAAAAGAAAGAAAATCGAACATGTCCACCACAAACCCATCATCATCACCATCACCACCACCACCACTCACCTCCCATCCCCTCCATTCCCTCATCCTCTCCCCCTTCCCCCACCAGCGCCGCCGCCGCCGCCGCCGCCGCCACCACCACCACCACCACCAGCGCCCTCCACCTGCACCTGAACCCACGTCAACGAGCACCACCACCACCAACACCAACCCCAACCCCACCAACAGCAACAGCTACAACCACCACCCCTGGCGCTGCTGCCGCTGCAACACCGCCAACGACGCCGGCCTCTTCTTCTGCGCCGGCCCCCTGCGCGGCAGGCGGCGCGTGTGCGACCACATGCGTTGCGCGAGGTGCGTCGAGGAAGGGCATTTCGATCACGACGGCCATGGTGGTGGTGATGAGGAGAGCGATGGCGGTGCTGGAGTCGCGCTGCCGCTCCCGCCGCTGCTGCCGCCGCCGGCGTTGCCGCTGCCGGGCAGGTCGGGGTTGGGGAAGGGTGGTTGAGGGTTCTAGGGGGGGGCGTTTGTGGAGGGAGGTGGTCTGCAGGGTTGTTCTTGGTTTGCTGTGCCTTTTTGTGTAGCATTTGGCTCCTCTTGTCGCTTGCGTCGGTTTGGCCGGAGGCTGCGGTGACGTGGCTTGGATCGTATAAGCGGTTCGTCACCGCTTTGGTTTGGACGATGCGGCCGGAACGTCTCCTGCTGCTTGTTCGGGGCAGGGGCGTGATGCGAACGTGCTTTTGCTGGGCAGTAGGTTGTAGGTACCGTGCCTTTGTTTACGACGTCGCATATCGCCCGGCAAGAGCGTGTCCCCGGCAAAGACCTTCGTGTCGTTCATGGAACCAAGAGTGACGTGTTTGTAACGGCTTCGATTAGACTTGTGCTCTACGTGACTATTCCCTTCGTCTTTGCGAATCGTGGCCATCATCCTGATAGCCGCACTTCCATACAGCGCGTGAGACTTTCATCGTCTCCATGTAAACCGACTGATCAATGAGTTGTCAGAACATGGGAATTGATACCATGAGGTGGCTTTTTAAGAGAGTGGAGTAAGTCATGGGGAGAAGTGGAAACCTCAATTTCTGTTGATTGTAGTAGGATAGCTTCCGCTTGAGACGCGTAAGTCAGGAAGGACGTGGCCATGTATGCCATGATGGTCAACATAATGATCTGGCAGGGCTAAGTATAGGAGCGCATCCCGTCGTTCTGTGGGTACGAGGCTGCTGAGGCTTGTTTGCGAGTCAGATCCAATTTCCAAGCGTCATCCAGTTGAAATGCATGGGTCGTCCAACACTTTCACTGTTTGACTAAATAATACCTGCATTATAGAGTATTCGGAGTCTACTGTACCGAAGAGCCGGCGACACCGTCTCTTTGACGAAGCTGCAGGCATGACAGATGTGGCGCCCGAACCAAGCTCACGGTGATCACCGTAAGAGAACAAATCTAGAACTTCTATGCCAAAGGGTAATGCGGTTACACTGCAGTGAAAGATCATAAGACAGCCAGCCAAAGCATCCACAAAGCAGGATGCGGGGTCATGGGGGCCAAAAAGCAACAGGGTATGCAAAGGAATGGTTCCCGGTTAGTTGCGTTGAAACGGCTCCTTCGGGCGCGTAGAGGTCATCCAAAGCCACCTCGTCGACGTCATTTGCCGAAGCCGCGCGGGTATGGTCATATGCGAATCAGTAAGCTGTGGACGAACCGCTGTGCGTTTGTATAATGTTTCCGGAACTGAGTGTCCAAAAGCGTTTCATTGCCTGTCTCAGATGACAACAGTGCTTGGGAATGGTACTTATTGATAGAAATGAAGCTATTCGCATCCGGACGTTTCTTGTGGACTACATGATTGCAGGCTCAGCGCACTGGCGACATCTATACGAATGTTGTACGTAGTATACGCCGGAACCTGCAACCTGCGGGCGTAGCTGATTTCTGTGTTCTGAACGCATAATGCATGAGAGGTTGTGAGGAGCCTTCGAAAGATACTGTAAGCCGAGTCTGGGCCCGCAAGGCTGGCAATGGACCCCCACCATCGTCCCACGAAGAGGGTGCCATGCTCACCTCAGCCAATGTTCTCGCTGCCGCAAGCGCCCAGGTCGACTGGTCGATGGAATACGAAACCAAGACAAAAGCGGAAAAAGGAGAACCCATGCCACACGAGGATACAGCCTTGTTGCCAAAAAACTTAGCCCCCATATAAAATAAGACGCCCGTTCATTGCTGGCCGCTGGCGCCGCTAAGGCTCAGCAATAACTTTCTTCAGGGCAATACAGCATATCTGGCTATTAAATCAAGGCTTTCGCAGAGTTCACTGAAGAACGCCGGCAATACAGGAATAACTGACCGACGAGTCTCCGTACGAAAGAACCTTCACACTTGCAGCTGACATCATGACGCATGATGATTCCTTGAGCACTGCTCAAACCTGGTTGTCGCGGTTCCACAGCCGCCACCCGGACGAGATAAAAGAGTGGTCTGGAGGGGAAACGATCAACGAGTCATCCACACTGGTGGGGGCCCTTTGCTCAAAAGACCCTGAGCGTCAGATCGCCGGACACAACGTCGAAGGGGAAAAACGGGACCAGCAGACACACTTTGAGAACGAACTCGGCGACATTCCCAAGGCCATGCTGAATGATACGCCCAGTACATCCTGCGGTTCGCCGTTCGGAATGGTAGAAGTCCGCTTCCCCAAGCATCGGCGTATGGCCCCACTTGCGACAGTACCCGAGACTCCAGAGGAGGACTTGGACGCTGGCGTCCACTCCAAGCCACTGGAAGATCAGGATTTAGAGAGATTCGGAACCACAACGATGGATTGGCGTTCTCGATCGCGGATCCCAACCGTCTCGATACGCGAACTGGAGCCAGACGTTTCGCCAACCAATGCCGACCCAGGTCACTTCTGCACGATGATCGAATCTATGTCGCCTGAGGTCGAAGAGATACTCTGCCAGTACGCCGATCCGAGCCGCAAATCATCGTCATCGACACTCGGGGTTCCCAAGGAGGCTGGGGATTGTGGCAGTCCGGACAGGCAAATCGAGATTGACGCCGTGATGTGGAGCCCCGGGCAGCACGACGACGATCCTTGGCAAAAGCCAACGCACAGTGACGAAAAACCGGCGCACGGGCCATTTGAAACCGGCCATGATGAGCTTGTCATTGTCGGCGCAGGCGTGCAGATTTTGGAGGATTCGACCATTGGCGGCGCTTACGGCGTTCCGGTGACAAAAGCGTCGGTCGAGGTCGCGCGGCGGGATTCGGGCATCAAGTTTACATTGACATGCGTCGAGGATGGCTATGAGGATGCTGAAGTGCTGTTCGACGATGACTTCTTGTACGAGGAAGAGATGATGGATCCGGATTACTTCCGCAAGAAAGATGGCTGCGTGAAGCCCACTTCTCGGCCAGCTCTAATACGTATCAGCACCTGCTAATTCATGCACTTCGTCGTATGCATTGTTTGGAGGCGAACGTTCTGCGTGGGAAAGCGTAATGTCATGAATTGGTTCTAGCCCAAGGGTGCGATTGGGCCTGAGTCGACTGCACATCGATACACGGCATACCCCGGGACATCTACATTTTGGGGCACGGCATATCCTCTGCTGAGCTGCACAGCCCTCAAGTGCTGAGCATCTCCTTCCCAATCTTCCTCTCCAGCTCTTCCAGCAGCCCAACCAAGGCTTCTCGCCTACCCCTACCAGGGTCGGACTTGATGCCGGGCACTCCCGGACCCTTCAACAAGACCTTGTAGCGACTCGTCTTGGACTCTTCATTCTTTGGACCAAGCACAACCGCATGGCATAGGAGGCCGGATGGAGCCAGAGCAGTCGTCACTCTCAGGCGCGGCGATGCCGGGTAGAGAACCGAAGCATTCTCTGGGCCATGATCAGTCTTGTGCCAGTGCCGCCGACAGAGAAAAGGACAGCGGTACCTTGGATTCTCTCCACCAGATCCGTCATGGTCGTGATTTGGACAGTATCGGGCACCTCGATTTTGTTCTCCACCGTGGTTGCAGGCGGCGGCGCTGGCGGGTCGGGCGGGGCCTGGTAGGAGGGCACATAGCCGTTGGTGGCTCTGTTCTTGATCTTGTTGTTTGCGCTCATGACGGGCGAGCTTGGGCGATTCGGGGGGAATTGATGGGAGGCTCGGGCAGATGGGAGCTGGAGGACGATGGTTCAGACATGATTATGGGCGCGCTGGCGTTGAATACAGCTTGAGCTGATGAGCTGGCCGACAGGGTAAGGATTGGATCTTTGCCGAATCTTGAAGACGGCAGGGGCAAGCCAGGGAGCTGACAAGATATCGGATTGGAGCTTTGCCAAATCGACGAGCGCATGCTGGGAAGCTGGCAAGGTGATTGTTGGCAGGCTGGTATGCTGTGACGTCTTCGGTGCGGGCCCCAAGATCTGGACGCGGGCAGCTCACCGGTGGCGCGCATGTGACTGCGCGGGGCAGCGCGTCCCCCAGCAGCCGTCACCCGTGTGGCCGCTCCTTCCTCGTCTCCCTCCGCTCAACACCAGCCTGGTCCGACCACGACGATGCCACTCCAGCTCTCCATCGCCGCCCGGTCCAGCCCCCGCTTGCCGCCGCCCGCCGCCGCCCGCCGCCGCCTGCCGCCGCCTGCCGCCGCCTGCGTGCGTGTCTCCACGCCCGCATGCACACGCGACAGACGCCCGTATCACCCCGACCTTCACTGCCCTTCGCGCCCTTCGCGCCCTTCGCTGCAGACGTGGCTTTAGCGGCTCCGTGCTCGATATATTGACGTGCGCTCTTGCCCGGAGACGCGTTGGCTCCACCGTTTCGCCCGATCGGCCGCTGCTCAACGTCCACTCGACAAACGACGAACAGTGCATGCCCTTTATGCCTCGTCTGCTGGCTCGTCACTGAGCTGACCGCAACTCAGCGACTCATTGTCTCTGCCAGACCGGAAATGATACATCAAGCGCTTACGCGGGCAAAAGGGATAGCCGCCTCGAGCTCATTGTTGTTCATCTTATAGGCACAGAGCATCCAACGCTGCGGCCCCGTTATGTGATTACGTTGACCGCATTGAGCTCAGCTGAGAGAGCCGCCAAGCCAAAGCACTCCTCACCGATAATGCATCTCGATGTGCGCTGGCCAATGTTGGATCGCCTTGCCCCGTGGCGCCCGGGTCACTGTTCAAGGGGCTACCCGTTGATTCGCCAGCAAAGCCGATCAAACGGCCTCTCCACAGCTCCCACCAACGCAGAAAATCACGCGCTGCAAGACGGGGTAAACAATCTCCGGTGCCCAATGCTACCTTTGCCATGTTTGCAGACTGCAGATCCAGAGCTTGTTTCTCCATCCGTCAGCCAGACCCTCTAGCGCGCCATCGCCATCGCCAGCGCCCTCGCCAGCGCAGACGGGGAGCTCCAGTATTCATCAAACGATGATTACGCAGAGGTTGGCAAGCGCGCGCCGGACCGAGGACAATCATGGAGATTACGAGCGCCTTGTCAGAAAAAGCATGGCGCCTCGCCGCGAACTGATGCCATGAAGACCCAAGCTCCTCTTCGGTCAGCCCCACATCGTCCCCGACGCGTCGACCCCAGTTCCCCCTGAACGGCAACGACGCAACCAACCAGGGTAAGTCAAACGAATCCCGTCGCTCTTTTATCAAACAACAACCCCCCCAAGCCTTACCAAGCCTTTTCGTTTCTCGCCCGGCTTCGTCTTCGTTCCGTGTTCCGCTCACCCGCCGACGTCCGACCCGTATATTCGCTCTTTTGCCGGATTCCACCAACAATGCATTCCTTCACCTTCGCTACCTTCCTCCTGGCCGGCGCTGCCACTCTCTCCAACGCCGCCCCTATCAACCCCAACGGCGTGGCCGCTCGCGACCCGGTCAACTCGAGTCACATCCTCTCTTTCCTCTCCGGCGAGGGCAACGGCGACGAGAAGGGCGACATTGGCAAGGCTGCCGTCACCTCGGTGAAGGTCAGCAAGCGCGAGGCCGACCCCATCAACTCGAGCCACATCCTGTCCTTCCTCTCCAGCGAGGGCAATGGCGACGAAAAGGGCGACATCAGCAAGGCTGCCGTGACGTCGGTGAAGGTTGGAAAGCGTGATGCCGAGGCCGACCCCGTCAACTCTGGCCACATCCTGGACTTCCTCTCCGCCGAGGGCAACGGTGACGAGAAGGGCGACATTAGCAAGGCCGCGGTTACCTCGGTGAAGGTCAGCAAGCGCGAGCCCGTCAACTCTGGCCACATTCTGTCCTTCCTTTCCAGCGAGGGCAACGGTGATGAGAAGCCCGGCAGCGGCGGCCTTGTGGATGCTAATGTGAAGGTTGGCAAGCGTGAGCCCGTCAACTCTGGTCACATCCTCTCTTTCCTCTCCAGCGAGGGCAACGGTGACGAGAAGGCCGGCAACCTGGTCGATGCGAACGTGAAGGTTGGCAAGAACTAAGCCAAAAATAACTATGAGCCTGGTGGGACGATGTGATGGGGCTTTTTCCATTTGTTTTTTTTTTTTGCCGTTCTTGTCAATGTTCAGATATACCATTCGAGATTCATAACAACGTGAGTGCTTTCGCCATTTTCACCCGTATCGAATGGATTTGTTGGTAGTTGGAGAGAATTTGAGTGGAGCCTCTTGGCCGACGCAACGGTTCTTTCCTCAGTACCAAATTAAGAGATCAATCATTCTTATCCCCACAGTCAAGCCGAACAGTGAGCATGCTCCGGGGTCGATGAATATCATAGCAGACTCCAATACGTGAAATAACAACACTTGGGGAAATCTTACCGCTTCGCAATTTTATTTTTAGCCCGTTGATCTTACAGAGCACTTGAACAGCAACGACCCTTTTCTATCTTTATCCTTTTTCTCCTTTGGCTCAACGCCAACCTTATGTCCATGCATATGCTCACTCGACTTCGACACGAACACATGATCCGGCTGGCCGAGAAAAACCTTGGGTGTAGACAAGCATGGGTGGATCAATGCCATGAAGCCCGGTGTGGTGTGTGAGCGTTGCGGGAGGTGGCCCACGGGCATGGCTGTGGCTGTGGCTGTGGCTGGGTATCTCGCCACCGCCCAAGGCCTGGACTAGGTATGGAACTACACAGTACAAGTCCGAGATGATCGGCATGCTCTTATTGGAAGAGAGTCGTATGCTTCACGGCACCCTCGGTACGACAGTTCGGCTCTGGACTAGGTACCGGAAGGGCCGGCTGGTTGGACTTGAGTGATGGCCGTAATGTATGATGTCAGTTTGAGCCCCGCACCGGCATTGGCGGATGTAGAATCGCAGTGCATCGGACTTGGATCTCCGCGAGCAATCAATCCAATCGACCGGGTTTGCATCTGCCTCCAGCCGTCGCACCTGAGCTTCAGAGCTGGAACGTACTGACTCAACCTTGGGTGGAAAAGGTAACCGCAAGCGAGCCACCAAAGTGTCTCCAAGGATGGCAAACGGTGCACGGGAGGATGCGCGGACCGCTGCAAGGCGGCGTGTGTCGGCCTGCATGCGTGTCAACAGGATTGGACGGTGGCTTCAGCGGAGGGCGGCATGCCGCTACTGATCCCCAGGCCGCGCCACGCCGTCGGCACCAAGGCCCCGGACCCTGCATGCTCTAGCCACTGAAGCAGGAGCCGGAGCGAGGGACGGGTGAGCCATCTCGATAAAGACAGGGAGATAGAGTTTAACCCAAGGCTAGAGAGAAATTGCAGAGGCATTGGACGGTGCGCTTGCCAAATGCAGCCGGCATCCTCGTGTTCTCTCCCGCGTGTGTAGATCCGGCAAACGAGTCCCATGGAGCTGCAACGGCGTCGGGCGATGGGAAGGGATGATCATCAGTGAAAGCTTACCGGGGGACAGACGCTCGCCCCTTGTTGCCACCACCAGCCAGGCGTCCAGACGTGAGCGGAGGAAGGCGCCCGTGGTCCGGCCTGCCGTGCTGGCAGTGACGGAGAGTCTCCGGCGCCGGTGGAACGGCAGGAGCAGGAGCAGCAGACGCCGGAGCAGCAGGCGGAGCAGCAGGAGCAGCACGTGGTCGCTTAGGTGCCTGGCGCCACAGCGCAGCTTGATGACTCGGACAGCACCACCACTACTCTGAGACTGGTCCCTTCGCCAACCAAGTTTCCTGAACGCTACGCATTCCCTTTAACCATGGTCGGCCAGCCCAGCCCGGCAGATGTCAATACCGTTGCTGCCTTCGTCAGCGCCGAGGACGTGCCCGACCTCGTCCACGCCGATCCGGTCGACTGCCTGGTCTTGTGCGTGTCGGCCGTGCTGCACAGCGCCGACGTCGTCTTCTCAGCGCTTGAAGCGCGTCCGCGCCTGACCAAGACGCTGGTCATCTGCGGAGGCATTGGTCACTCGACGCCATTCCTCTACGACGCAATTTCACGCCACCCTAATTATCAGGAGCTTTACCCGGCGATTCGCGGCCTGCCGGAGTCGCGCGTGCTGGCCCAAGTCTTCGACCGCTTTTACGACTCAGACGCCATTCGCCGAGCGGGCGTAACGGTGCTCGTCGAGGACCGCTCCACCAACTGCGGAGCCAATGCCCTCGAGTTGCGCGCGCTGCTGCAACGACACCGCATTGCGACACCACGCACGCTCCTCGTCGTCCAGGATCCCACCATGGCCCGTCGCACCGTGGCCTCGTTCGACAAGGCCTTCGACGACGCCGACGTCAGGCCCCGCGTGCTGAGCTGCCCGACCTTTGTGCCGCACGTCGAACGCGTGGGATCCGACCTGGTCTACCGCACGCCGGCAGTTGAGCGGACGGGCCTCTGGGAGCTCCCTCGCTTCCTCGACCTGCTCCTAGGCGAGATTCCTCGGCTGCGCGACGACGCCAACGGCTACGGCCCGCGCGGCAAAGGCTTCATCGTCCACGTCGACGTGCCCGACGCGGTCGAGCAGGCGTGGGCGCGCGTTTGCGAGACGGTTGAGCGCGGTAGGTAGATGGTGAGGCAGACGAGCGGCGACTCAGGCCAGGCTTGGTGGAGCATGGGGATGCCTGCTGCGCCGGGCTCCGAGGCAGGCCGAAAAAACGGTTCCGTCCAACGGCGCATCCGCGGCGACCAGTGGGCGGCCGGCGGCAGGTGCCGGAGTGGGGCTCTTCGGGAGCCCGTGGCCCAACACGTGAGCGGCTTCTGGGCAGCGTGCAGCGTGCAGGGCGCTGCACAGCACTGCGCACTGCCCGTGGCGCTCTTCATGCGTGCGGATCCTCCACGGGCGCCGATCGAGCAGCGGTTGTGCCTAGCGGCGCAGGGCGGCCTATGGAGGCGTTGGCGGCGACACTGAGGGCTGCCGCAGGGTCGCGCGTCGGGCGGCTGGTGCTGGCGGGGGGGCCTTACGACTCGGCGGCGGCCACGAGCCACAGCTTTATACCGCCGCCCGGCGGGTGCCCTGGGCCACCTGGGCCACCGGGGCCACACATGGCACCCGCTTATCGTGCGCTGCCGGGCCAAATCCTCCTGCCCGCGCACCGCCTTGCCAGGGTCCGTCGCACCTGGCCGCATGGCGTTGGGCTAGACTTGCCCGCTGCGCTGCTAGCCCTGGCGGAGTGCCGTCCGCGTCGCAGCGCCTGCCCCACGCCTGCCCTGGTCGACTTCTTCACGTCCCGCACCATTCGGAAGATAAAGGGGAACCGCCCGCAGATCAGCTACGCTCCGTATACATTTGTAGGCTCTCCACTGGCCCACTGCTGTCGCGGGCCCGTCTCAATCCAACAAGCTGCCTGCCAATGCAAGTGCTGCGGGGATCATCACTGCACCTCGTCCCAGAGCTCCCACACGCTCAAAATTCGTCAGAGCAGAAAGATTCTTGCTGAACGCCAACAATGCCCATAATCGTTCCCACCGAAAATGTGGGTTCCCTGCCCCGTCCGATGCGTAAGTCGCCCGCCGCCTCTGCGCGTCCGTCTTCATTGCCCGCCTCGCCCGCCCGTCCCGCGTCTCGACCACCGTCTGCTGTGCCGCAGAACCCAACCTGACGTCATTCCAGAGCTCCAGCAGACGTATGCCGACTACGATGCTGGCCGATGTACCAAGATGGACCTGCTCGAGGCCCAGGACCGCGCCGTCCAGGACACGATTGAGCGCCTGGAGCGCTGCGGCCAAGACTTCGTGACCGACGGCGAGCAACGTTGCAGCTCCTTCGCCACCTACCCTGTCACAGAGTAAGCCAATTAATTGGAAGGCACGTGAAGCCAAGCTGGGCTAATCAGGTGGTGCAGCACCCTCAACGGGACAGGCCTCAGCCCAAACCTCACCGTCGACGATCAGTGTTTTACAATCACCTTCCAAGATGGCCACACGCGCACCCTGCCCCGTCTCCTTTCCGGGCCCTTCCGCTACCAGACATACGCATACGATAATTTCAGAGCATCCCTCAGGTACGCAACAAGAAAACCGATGAAGGTCGCCGTCATCGCCCCGTCGATGATGTACCTCCTTTACGTCGGCGAGGTCCCCGGATATTCCAAGGAACAGTTTATGCAGGACATCGTGGACGAGTGCGTCAAGGACGTTCGCGGCTGCTTCGAGGCCGGCGCGGTGCGCGTGTCGATTGACTTCACCGAGGGCCGCCTCGCGTGCCAGGAAGGATCGCCGCCGAATCTGATCGACGTTTTCATCAAGCTGCTGGACGACGTGTTGTCGCACTTTACCCCCGAGGAACGCGTTGACATTGGCCTGCACACCTGTCCTGGCGGCGACTGCGACACGCGCCACTCGGACATCCAGTCATACTACCCCCTGCTGCCGAAGCTGTTGAAAGTCAGGGTTGGGTATTTCTTGATGCAGATGCGGTCCGAACCGGAAAAGGAAACGCTCTACAAGTTGATCGGAGCGAACCTGGCGCCCAAGCTGGACGGGGTCAAGCAGATCGTCTTCATCGGCTGTGTCGACCCGCTGACGCCGCATGTCGAGAAGCCCGAGGCGGTGGCGGACATGCTGCTCGAGGCCAGCTTTCACATCCCGCGGGACCAGCTCGGGGCCACGGACGATTGCGGCTTCTCGCCCTTCAACAACGACCTCAAACCCAAGAGCTGGAGCCCCAACTTTGGGCGGGACATTGCCTTCAGGAAGATCAAAGCAAGAGTCGAGGGCGCCAAGCTGGCGAGCGAGGAGTTTGAGCGGTTGGACAGGCAGTCGATAATATTAAAGGCTAGGGCGAAGTCGAAATCCCCGCCACCGCGGTGAAACGGAAAGGAAAGGGGATGGAGAAAAAGGAGCGAGCGGCTTCTTTGCTTTAATGCTGGGGGCTGAAAACGATGAACAGACGCTGCTCGAAATCGTTTTGATATAAGCAATTTTGCGCATACTTGAGCGATTTGAAGCGTCGCTAATCATCGCCTCCCGAGCGCACTGCACCTTTTCTCCATCTTCTTTCCTCGGACACAAAGAAAGTTTATGAATCTCCTTTTTGTTGTCTCTCCCTCTTGCGTTGTTGACGTTTTCTTTGCTTTTGGGCTGGTCGGCTGGATACCTCTCTGTATTGTTGTTGAAGGAACTGTAAAAGAGTAGCGTTTGTACGAGAGTGGGTAGTTTCTTGTCATAGTATAAGCTGTGCAGCGGTACTCTGGTAGTTTTTCTTCAGCTGGCGGCTAGCGGCTAGGTAATCAAAGCTTTTCAGAAGAATACCAAGTATTTTTTTTCTCCCACAGAGAATGTCTGTGCACGCTGACGTTGAGGCAGGATTGGTTCATCCGCGCATGGTTTACCGCCAATACACAGTGACATTTCCGCGGGCGTTGTCTGAGGTGGAGATAAGGGTCAATTGTTCGTCCATCACATTTCCCCTCCCTGCCTGCCTTCTGTCGCACTTGGAAAAAAGTACAGCACCGCACTAGTTTCCAGTGCTGGCTAATGGCCTTGTATATTGTCTGACACCTTCTCTTGTCACTTTTGGGGCTTCAGTGGTGATGAGGAACCATGTCTTTCCGGCCTCTTTTGAATTTGGCTTTCGACTAGAAAAAACCTTATACCAGGTTGTTGCCGATCCGGCCGGCGCCAACCGCGCTCTCCCGCAAGCCACTCCCCTCGCCCCCGGACCGGCAAACAGAATGCCCGGTTCTTTCGGCGAAATAGGCGAAGTGTTAGGACTCGCAACTAAAAAGGCCGACGGGACGGGCCCCCCCGGGATGAGAATGCAGGTATCCTTGACGTGGATCTCGAGTTCGAGTGGGGAAAAAATATTGAAGCAAGTGCTTCCCCTCCCCCCGGCGCACTAACGATTGGCTGGCATGGAAGGGGGGGAAGAAGCACTTATAGATGAGACTGGTTGCTGCTCTTTAGCAGGTAAACAGTGCTGTTGGGGAGTGAGGGAGAATCGAATAGATCGCATAGTGATTGTATTCATGCTATCTACTAGTCTTTTATAGACCTGGATGCTGATTGCTGGCTTATCTGCCTGCAATCCACTGGAAGTTTGCCTGCATCCGGCTTGATTTTCAACAGGGAGGGGACGAATTAGCCTGCCATCAGTCATATGACGCTCGTTCATGTCCTCAAGATCTTTTTCAACTCATTCTTTACCCACTTTTGCAATCCCATCTTCTCTCTCTCTCTCTCTCTCTCGTGTGTGTTAGCCTCTACAATATACATCCTCAACCCCCGTCTCCTCCATCGTCGTGCGTGAGAGCCCCGTCGTTCCGGCGTAGGTGTGTGCCATGTCGTCCGTGGAGCCTGGGCCCCAACCAGCACTTGACGCGAGGCGCGCGGCCACGTTGGCTGTTGGCCGACAAGCACATGTACGTACGTATGTACATACATACCGCAGGGGAGGGACAGTCTGAAATTACTAGCTGGCTCGCGCAACTCGTGTGTTTGGAACCACACACACCGAATCGGAAACGAGCAGGAAAGACGGACGGAGCCTCCTCAGTGCCTCCCCGCCAGCGCCTCACCGTTTTTTTTTTCCTTTCTTTCGGTTGCGCGGTGCAGCAGGGCGTGTGCTGGTCGAGAGGCGGGGCGCATACTAGTTGGGACCATGTCCGCGGAGATGGAAACCTCGACTGTGATCAGGTTGTTGAGCGTCCTTGGCCGTAGCCCGAACCAGAGTGTGTAGGTAGGAGATGCCGGCAACCTGGGGGGGGCGGCCCCTTGCTAGCGGCTCGGATGCTCCCTCCCAAGGGGGCCATCGATCATGCAAGTAGCGTTGATTTTGATAATTATCCCGCAAAAGTCTAAATAAATGCGAGACTTGTGCTCTATATGCTCTATACATTACTGATAACACAACTATGGTATCCCTTTTTTTTTTGTTGTGTGCGCGCGCGTCACTAAACCACACAACCAGTCCCGAAAGTTTTCTTAAAAAAAAAAAAAGGAAAACAATCAAAACTCATGCCTAAACCTCTTACTCGTCCTGATCCGCTCGCCATAAAAGTAAAACGCCCACATGGCCGGGGCCAGCAGCAGCGCCAAAAAGCCCAACAGCGTGTTGCCCCAGCCCAGGCCCAGGGCGTCGTACATGTCGAGGCCGCACAGGGGCAGCAGGGCGCCGAGCAGGCTGCGCAGCACGGCGTTGGCGGCGTTGACGCTGGCGGCGTGCAGCGTGAAGGCGTCGACGAGGTACGTCTGCACGCAGATCATGACGGCCATCATGCCCGCGCCCGACACGGCCGTGCCCAGCATCGGCGCGATCCAGTGCACGCCCTTTTCCGCCGTCCAGCCGTACACGAACAGCCCCGCGGGGAGCGCGAGGCCCGCGGGGACGGTGATGGCCAGCGGCAGCCGGTCCTCCGGGCGGATGGAGGCGCCGGCCGCGAGCTTCTTCTGCAGCAGCCGGTCCGTTTGGCTGCCGACGATGGCGAGGCCGAGGATGGAGCCGAGGCCGGAGCCGATGTAGGTGAGGCCGGCGGACGAGGTGGAGAAGTGGTAGACTTCCTCGAAGACGAAGGTGAAGGTGGTGAAGAGGATGTAGAGGATGCCGTAGGCGATGGCGATGTAGAGGCACATGAGGGTGACGATGGGGGAGAAGAGGAGGAGCTTGAGCGGGCGGGCGAGGGCGTGGCGGAAGACGTCGCTCTTGGCGGCCGGGGTGGTGGACGCGAATTTGGAGCGGTAGGCCGGGTTGCCCGTCGACTCCCGGAGACGGGCGGCCTTGCGCTCGAGGAGGACGGGGTGGTAGGTTTCTTTGAGGGTGAACCAGGCGACTACGGTGATGACGCCGGACTGAAGATAAGTCAGTCAGCAGGCTGGAATGCGGATTGGGCTGGGGGGTGGGATGCTTACTATGATGGTGATGATCCAGAATACCCAGCGCCAGCCCTCGGCCTCGGTGAGGTAGCCGCCGGCGATGGGTCCAATTATAGGGCCGAGCAGAGGCCCCATGGACCAGATTGCCATGGCGCCTCCCCTGTGCTCGGCGGGGAGCATGTCCGCAATGGAACCGCTGCCGCAGGTGACCACCGACACTCCAGCGAGCCCGGCCAAGAAGCGGAAGACGATGAGCATGCCCATGTTCTGCGAGACGGCGCAGCAGACGGTGAAGATGGTGAAGAAGACGTTGCAGACGTGGTAGACGGGGTTGCGGCCGTAGACCTCGCTCAGCGGGGCCAGGAACAGAGGCCCCAGGGCGAAGCCGAGAACGTAGACGGAGACGACGAAGGTGGCGAGCACCGTGGAGCCGCTCCCAAACTCCCGCATGACGAGCGGCACGCCGGGCGCGAACATGGACGAGGCGAGCGGGCTGCGGCAGGTTAGAGCGGTCGTGAATCATGAGTAGCGAGGAGGGGATGCCTACGTTAGGAAGGTTATGAAGGAGAGCACGCCGATCTGGGTCCATTTGCGGGAGGCTGGCCACTTTGTGGGGTTGATTTGGTCGTCGGCGGGCTCCCAGTCGACGACGAAAGGATCGGCAGGCGTTTCAACATCCTTTTCCGTGACGCTGTCATGGCCGTTGAGGTGGTGGTCGGACGTCGGACTGTTGGTCCTGGTCTGATCAGGGGCGGCGGCCTCCAGGTCCATTTGCGATTTGAGAGACTGGGGCGTCTCTGGCGGAGTGCAAGAAGAGGAGGTCATCGGGGGTTTGGTGAGCTGCAGCGAGCGTGGTTGGGGTTTCGAGTCGTTGCAGATCAGGAGGCCGGCATGAGGGCACACTACCATGGACTCGGGCTGGGCTGCCGCGGGGCTTTAAAACAAAAGCCATTGCGAGCTGTCAACTGCAACGCGAAGTATTCGCATGCACACGAATCGGATGAGCCTGAGGCCGAGCTGCCACGCGACATATATACATGATTCGTATTCGTACTGCGCGGCTCGGATTGCGTTTTGTGCTTCGGGTTCGGGTCTGCTCGCTCGGATTGCGTGCACTAATCGCATTCCGAATTGATGAATGTATAAATTGCTGAAGTACAAAATTCGCATCTTCTTGTGAAGTCCTGCGAAGGTCACGGAGGTACAGAGGTGCATGGCTCTGGGTTGCAGTAAAGCGACGTGAAATAATGGAAGCAGCCGCGCTCAGAAAGGACAGACGGCTATAAGAAAATATAGGAAGGAAAGGACGACCCCGGCTCTTCACCTTTTCACCACTCTCAGCCTCACCGCCTCTGGCCTCCTCATAAACAGCGTCGCCTTGAGCTCCCCATCCTCGACCACGTCCAACACCCTCTGCCTCGCCTTCTCCTCTCCCTCGCCGCCCTCGGGCACGACCTCGACCCGATGCTCCCTCAGCATCCCCGCCATGACAGCCACGGACTCGACCTGCGAGAACTTCTTGCCGGGACACACGCGCGGCCCGTCGGACCAGGACACGAAGCTGCCCTTGACGGCGGGCTGCCTGAAAGTCTCGGCTTCGGACGCGTCTTGGGCGTCTTGGTTCTCCGAGATCCAGCGCTGGGGCCGCCAGGTCAGGGAGTCGGGGCCCCAGTAGTCCGGGTGCGACTGCAGGGCGACGACGTTGGGGAAGACGTAGGTGTGGGCGGGGAGGGTGGCGGTGAGCTGGCCGGGCGTGTTGGCGTTGACGGTGAGGGTTTGGGCCGAGGGGCCGGTGGTTTTGGGGATGGAGACGACCGGGGGGTAGAGGCGGAGGGTTTCGTACTGTGGCCGTTAACTCGCCTTCTCCCTTGGCTTTTGAGGGGGCCCGTCTCTCTCTTACCATGACAGCCAGCGTGCGCTTCAGCTGCGGAAACAGTTCATCGTACGCCAGATGCTCGAGCGCAGCGTCGGTCCCGAGCACGGCCTGGGCCTCCTCGGCCACCCAGTCCTGCACGTCGGGATACGCGGCCAGCAGGTACATGGCGTAGCAGACGGCGTGGGCGGTGGTCTCGTGGCCGGCAAAACTGTAGATGAAGATGTTGCCATACAGCTCGCTGTCCGAGAGGCCCAGCTGGACGGGGTTTCCAGAAGAAGATGGCTTGGACGCCGTCTGGCGCGCCTCTTCGTTCTTCTGCACCAGGTTGCTGAGAAGACTGGCGTGCTCGGACCCTTCGTAGCGCGTCTTCTCGGCCATGCCGACCATGAAGTGCTTCAAGGCGTTCTTGTGCCTGGCGAAGTCCTGCAGTTTCGTGGGCAGCAGCGCCGGCGGGAGCGACCACACGAAGCCGGGCACCAGCGCCATGTGGAGGAAGCTGTCGAGCACGCCGGCCAGGCTGTCGCGGTAGCTGGTGGCGGCGGCGGTGGCCGTGTCGGCGTCTTTCTCCTCCTCGGCGCCGCGGAAGTCGCAGGAGAAGCCCAGGCCGGCCGAGGTCAGGATGTTCAGGGTGAGCGTCATCGAGTCCTGGGCGAACGAGTCGGTTGACGGGCCGTTGGGGCCGATGCCGCGCTCAAAGTAGGCCAGCATCTGGCCCGTCTGCCGCAGCGCCTCGGCCCAGACGAGCCGGTTGTTGCGCTCGGTGAAGGGCGTGGCCGTGATGCGGCGGTGGCGGGTCCAGTCGGCGCCGTCGGTGGACGCGACGCTGGGGCCGTAGATGTCGATGATTTCTGCAGCTGGTTGGTGGTTCCTTTCTCTTCATGGCGCTTTTCCCTTGACTTAAGGGAGGAGGGGGGCAAACATACGGACCATGCCCATGGGCTTGATGAAATCCCGCTTCCGGGCCAGCAGCTCGTCGGAGGCGGCGGCGTCGGCGACATGGACCTCGATGCCGGCGGGAGTGGCGTGGGCAAAGACCTTGCCGTAGAGGTCGTGCACGCGGTAGCGGTCGTGGAAGTTCCAGTTCCTCTTGGCCAGGCGGAGCAGGTCAACGGTGTCGGCGCCCAGAAACTCCAGCAGGCGCACGACGAGCGGCTCGAAGACGATCCATAGCAGGTTGTGGGTGCTGATGGGGCTGACGTGCACGCGCAGGCCGGTCGCTTTGGCGCGGCGCACGTTGGTGTAGAGCGAGAGCGCGGACCAGAGCAGGTAGAGCGGGATGGCGCTCGCGACGAGGGCTGTTGGTGTGAGCATGGTGCTCGAATAATGCCCTTGTTGTAGCGACCGTACGATCGGAAGAGCTGCTGCTTTAGTAGTACTGCTCGAGTCGCATCAAAGGTGAGTCTGTAGCTTTCAGTGTTGACTCGTTGCCCCCCCTTTCTCGCCTTACGCCGCCGCCATCTTCCAAGACCCGGCAGACCGCTTTCCCGCTTCCCGAAGTCTGCTATGTTTTGCGTTGCGTGGCGAGGTATTAATGTCGTATCAGGCGTCGTATTCGGATCCAGAGAGAACCCCCCCACTGCCGCGCCGCAGAACCATCGGACCTCGGACTGATTGACATGCATGGGCTTGAGGGGTTGGAAATGGGCTTGCATGGCTCTCGCTCGGGTTCAGTCTTGCCATATATATGTGATAGGACTGACGGTCGTTCGGGACGAGTAGCCCGAGAGGTGGTAGTGAAAAGGCAGCCCCATCATGACCTGGAATGCTGAAAGCATGCGTGCGTATAGGCGAAACGCTGATTGGCCAGGCCCGGTACGAAACCCCAAAGATGCCTCGCGCGACCGAAGGATGGACGGGCAGCTTTTGTAGATATGGGGTTCGGAGATAAGATAGCCGGGCATCGAGGCGCTGGCTCGGCTATTACTACGTATAAACATCGACTGCTGCTCGCTGTGGGTCGCGATAATTGGAGCGCTTCCTCGCTAGAGCCAAAAATATCCCGTGGCTGATGCGCTGCTTAAATCGACGACCGTGGCCTGGAGGGCCTTCCCTTCTCTCGTCCCGCCCTCTGTTCCGCATCGGCGCCGGCCCGGGTGAGGCAACCGCCCGTCGATCCCTCACACGAAGCGTGCAGGTTCAAACGAGGACGACAGACGACCGTGAATTACTGATTACGAGCCACCACCCTATATACACTAGATTTTTCCGTCCAACACCTAATCAATATGCAACCTCCACAGCTCCCTCGCAGCCCCCGACGTGTACCCCTCGCGCGTGTGCATCGCCAGCACGTTGTCACTGACCAGCACATCCCCCCTCTCCCACCCCTGATACAGGCACGCGCGCCGGTCGAACAGCGCGCGCTCGACGGCGGTCCGGATCGCCGCGTCCTCGCCCGCGCCCACGCCCTGCACGCGCACCCGCGTCGGCGCGAAGCTCGTCCGCTCCTGCGGCCAGTCCTCGTGGTACCGCAGGCACGCCACGCCCGTCGCCGGGTGGTCCACCACGAGCGGGAGCCCGCCAAACTCGGAGTGGTCGAACGCGTCCGTGGTGACGCTCCACCGCTTCGCCCGCAGCGCGTCGACGTCGCCGAAGCCGTCGCCGGCCGCAGCCAGGCGCTCGAACACGAGCGGGCTCGTCGCGAACAGCGTGCGGCCGCCGGGGCCGCCGGGGGCGCGGTCGCCCTCGGGGCTCGCGGGCGGCGGCGTGCAGGCGGCGACGAACATCTGGAAGCGCGGCGGGGCGCTGACGCCGTTCACCAGCTTGAACAGGCCGTCGTAGTGGAACGGCATGGGCTCGGCCGACAGCACGTTGTTGAGCCCGCCGCCGCCACTCCCGCCGCCGTCGCGCACCTCGAGCAGCTCGCCGAACTTCCACGTCGTGATGGGCCCCATCTCGCGCCCCTTGGCCAGGAACGCCGCGCGCTCCGTCGTGCCCGCCAGCCCGCGCAGCACGACGGGGCTGTTGCGCTCGGCGAGCCCCCGCACCTTGAGCATGTCGGCGCCGGCGGCGAAGGGCGTGCCGGGTGGGTAGCGCACGAGGAGGCCGGTTGGGTACGTGTGCTCGATTGAGGTGGCGGCGGGGAGGGCGTACAGCGGCGATTTCTCGCGGAAGCACCACGGCCGTGGGGCGGCGCCGTCGGGGCCGGTCGTGGGCGTGGTGTGGATGAGCTCGAGCAGGTCGGCGGCGTCGGCGGCCTCGCGCCGGGTGAGCGGGATGAAGGAGCCGTCGAGCCGGCAGGTCATGACGGCGTGCCAGGGCGTGATGGGCCGGTCCTGCACGTTGGGCATGATGGCGATGGGGACCTTGGTCGCCGAGTTGGCGGCGTGGATCGAGAGGCGGACCGAGTCCGGGAAGGCTGCTTGGACGCAGGCGGCGTAGCACTGGCGGACGGACGGTGAGTGTGGGGGGTCTCGTGGGGGTTTGGGGACTTTGTTGCTTACCTTTCCTCGTGCGATCATCTGCTTGGCTACCCTGGACACCTTCCGCTTGAACGCCTTGCGGCTGCCGGTCGAGGCGTTGCTGTCAGAGCTGCCGGTCGAGGTGATGGACACGCCCGACGAGTCCGACTGCTCGCCCGAGGCGTCGCCGTTGCTGCTGCTGCTCTTTCGGAGATCGCGGGAGAGGTACTTCAGGTAGCCCATGTACGTGGCCTTGACGCTCGGGTCGCTGGCGATGTGCTTGTTGACGTCGTAGCCCTTCTCGCCGTACACGGCCATCAGTTGCTCGCGGATCGCCGGCGCCGCCTTTTCGTACCCGGCCGTGTCAGTGTAGTCGAGGAGCTCTTCCCGGAGCCTGCCCTTCAGCGACGGCATCGTGGAAAGACGCGCAAAGTGGATCGCGTCGCAGTCCAGCTCGGCCGCCATCTGGCGGAGACATTCCCCGTACTCCCAGACGGTCGAGTCGGGCACGTCGAGAAGATCTGGAGACATGTGTTAGTGGTTGTAGGTGGTCAAGGGTCGACACGTGCTGCTGACCGCTGTAGACGATTCCATCTGAGACGATGGTGAGTTCGGCACCGGGAGGGTATGTGTCCTTGATGTTCTCGCAGAGGCCTTGGAGGTGCTTCAGCGCGACTTCCTCGGCCTTGTCGGGCAGTGTTCCCAGCACTTTGTCCTCGGTGTTGGGCGACTTGAAGGGAAAGGCGGGAAGTGTGAGGGAGACGGGTGTTCGTTTCTCGACGGCTTTTAGGATTATGGGGAGAAAAGTATCCCGAGCCTGCGGGATGGTCTTGGGGTCGAAAGGCGAGGCTTTTAGCCGGTACGACTCAATGACGGTCAGGATGTCCTCGGAGACCTGGGCGGTGGAGTGCTTGGACGCGGCTACCGTGTGGACAGACATGGTTTCTTTAATGTGAGTAAGTGTTTGGCTACAGGAGGGGAGAGCGAGAGCATCAAACGACATATATATCGTCGTCTGGCCCCTCGAAAGGACAGTGAAGATCTCGTCCCAAGACGCAAACTCTTACCTACATCACTTGCCAACGACAGTCGGCCATCGGAAGTCGCCGTTGGAATCGATCGCTGGGGGTGGCTCACGCGTGTGCCTTCCCATGCCGCGTGAGTATGCCGTAATTGGCAGCTCGAATGATGTAGCGCCCCTCTAATCAGCTATTCCTGTGTACAGGAGTACAGCTAGTCCCGGGCCTGGTGCCTCGGAACGGCCGTGGCAGCCGAGTGTTTACGTCCGCAGCGCGGCAGTGGCTGGAGTCAGGTTGCATTTAGGCCAGCCGTGCTTGGCTGAGCAGCGAAACTCCACACCATCCGGCAAACGGCGCGGGTGCGAAGGGAAACCTTGGAAACCTTCGGCATTCTCGGGGCATCCCGGCATCTATTGGCCTCCTGGCAGCCTTTCGCGAGCCGCATTGCGGATCCCTTCCCCCGGCATCACCTCCAGGGATGGGCACGTACGACGGAGCAGAAAATTTTTTTGAACGAAAGAAATAAAGGCAGCAGGGAGCGGATTTCGATGGAAGTCGGCTTGGCCTCGGCTCCGGGCGACATTTGCGATAATGTGGCAGTGTGGCAATAGGCCCAAAGGAGAAGGTCGGATGGTCCCCCGAAGCGGCAAATCAGCCGTGAGGAGGTTTATGCTTACTGCCGCACCTTATGCTTCAACAAACGTCCCGCAGGAACCGCTGTAGTGCGGGCGATAGGGCTGCTCCACCGCTGCTGCCGCTGCCACGTGGGCTGCACTTCAGCAGAAGGCCGCAGCGAAGAAGACAGCAGGAAGGGAGGCCTGGGCGTCGCCATCTTGATCGGCTGATCGCCCCATCTCCCGAGGAGCGGGGCGTGCCGCAGCCCAGATTGACGTCTGAGTGGCTGAGAAATGCGCCGCGGAGGCATTCCGCTGTGTCGTCAAGCGAACACGAGCACTCCTCTTCACCCACCAAGTGGCTTGGCAGGTTCCGGCCGCAATGCACCCCGGCATCGCTGCCGGTCTTTTGCAACGCTGCCTGCCTTCGGAAAACGGCGTCGGACTTGGGCTGATATGCCCAGCAGAGTCGAGATCCGTCTATCGGACGAGTAGTGATGATCGTGACGTGGTGTGCTTTTACGCCATGTCTGCCTTAGCACGGCCTAAGCAAGCAGTTTCTATCTAATCCCAGCTTTTACTTCATCTTTGAGCCCCGCCTCCACCCACAGGAACAAGCAACAAGACGGAAACCATGGCTGTCAAGGAGATATACACCGATCTGACCATCATTGGAGGTGAGAGGACCAGCTCCGCCTTGCACTCCGAGACTGACGGAAGCATGCAGCCGGCCCTACTGGGCTCACCGTGGCCCTGCTGGCACGCAAGCTGGGGCTCAGTGTATTCATCGCCGGTAAGGCTCCAAAGACGACCAAACCGCGGCACCGACACTCAATTATAGCTCGACTCAGACAAAGCACCCACCTCTCTCCCCGTTGGCCGCGCCGATGCTCTCAATGCGAGAAGCCAGCAGACCCTGGAAGTCGTCGGCGTGCTTGACAAGCTCGAGCCCAAGGGCCTAAAGTGCAACAGTGAGCAAAAAATCCCACCAAACCCAGCCCCCCTGCCCCGCTGACCGTAAATGTAGCTAGCTCGACCTTTGCAAACGGCGAGTTCGTCTCGCGGCAGAACAAATGGTGGGTGTCGCTGCGCAACTGCTTCCGGCCCAACTTCCTGATGATCGGCCAATCCGACGTCGAGGCGGCCATGCACGAGATGCTGGACGTCGAATGCCACCACGACCACGAGGCCCTCAGCATCGAAGAGTGCCCCGGCGTCGACGGCGGCGACGACTTTGTGCGGACCACGTTCAAGGACAAGGTCGTCATCAGCAAGTACGCCGTGGGCGCCGACGGCGCCCGCTCCATGGTGCGCAACCAACTGCAAATCCCCTTCGAGGGCGACAAGCCCAACATGAACTGGCACGTCCTCGACACCTTCATCGACACCGACTTCCCCTGCTGCCCGGAAATCATCACCTTCCAGGTCGACGGCCAAGCCCGCATCTCCTGGATCCCCCGGTAAAAAAACACTTCCCCGTGCCGATATAACACGAACACCGCTCTTACACACACCACCAACAGAGAACGCGGCATGGCCCGCTTCTACACGCTCCTCGAAGACAACTCCCGCGCCACCCAGCCCCGCATCGAAGCCGAGATCCGCAAGTTCCTGGCCCCCCACCGGGTCGACTTCAAGCGCACCGAGTGGTTCTCCATCTTCGAGATCAAAGAGCGCGTGGCCCGCACCTACTTCTCGCCCAGGCAGCGCATCGTGCTCGCCGGCGACGCCGCGCACATCCACGCCGTCAACGGCGGCCAGGGCCTCAACACGGGCCAGGCCGACGCCTTCGCCCTGGCCTGGCGCCTCGCCCTGGCCGTCAAGCTGCAGGGGGGAAGCCACAAGGTGCTGCAGAGCTACGAGGACGAGCGCCTGGCCACGGCGCGCGCCGTCATCGACGTGGCGGCGCAGCTGGTGCGGAGCACGGTCAAGACCGCCGCCGAGTACGTCGACCTGATCGAGCGGAACGCAAACTACATCACCGGCATGGGCGTCGCCTACGCCCGCGACACGCTCGTCGTCCGCGGCGAGCCGGCGGGCATATTCGTCCCCGGGCACCGCACGCCCGACGTCTACTTGCACGCCGCGGCTGGGGACGACGTCGACGGCGAGGGCGAGGGCGAGCGGCTGTATGGGAGCTACTCGTACGGAAAGTTCCTCGTGCTCTCGCTTCGGGGCGCGTCGTGGGACCCGCCTGCTTCGGCGGCGTGGGCGCGGGACTGGGTCGAGACGTGGGATGTGTCGGGCGGCGGCGGCGGCGGCAGCAGCAGCAGCAGCATCGGAGCGGCGCGGCGGTTCGTGAGGATGAGCAACGTGGGCGTCACCAGCGACCAGCCCGTCGACATCGGCGACGGCTCGGCCGGCTTCGTCGTCGTGCGGCCGGACATGTACACGGGCTATGCGGGCAATGACGTGCGTGGCTACTTGGAGGGTGTCTTCGGCCGGTGAGTGAGCCAAGGAGACGCACTCCTAGCCGCAGGTGGATGATTGATACCCCTTGTACGTAAAAAATTGATGTCTCTTGGCCAAAGAACGGCTCCGGTTCTGCAATAAGGCCTATATGCATGCAGCAGTGTATTGCCTGAGACACTCGCAATGCTGACAAGCATCTCTACCAGGAAGGACAAACCCCTAGAGTTGTTTTCCATCTAAAGTTTCGACTAAAAACCACTCTCGTCTGTCCAGAAGCTCAACCTCCAGGGAGAAGGAAACTCAGGGAGCAACTGCACAATCATGTCAGGACGAGGTTTTGGTACACGAACGAAAATCGGATTGCGGGAAAGGCCTCATTTGCTTCACCAAGGGAAGGAGAAAACAAAATGCTTCAACGGAAAAGATGCTTTTATTGCGTCCGTGCTTTCGGCCACAGGGTCTCACCCAACCGCGACGCAACCACGGTTCTGGTCATGCCGAGATTCTATCCTTTGGTGCGCCATCCAGGGCTCTGGTAGCGTGAATGTATTTTGAGCCTGTTTCATTGGTCTCAACAGGAAAGCATGCGCAGTGCACATACAACCAACGCCAGCCCTCAGGACTGACTTGTTGAGAAAGGTTGGCCAGAGCACATATGGCCGCGAAAGTCTCCCTTGTTGATGCAGACAGAGCCCACCCAACAAGTATATAATATTGGACCCGCCGTCCCATATATTCTCTGCATCTGGACCCTTCCCCCTTCGCCCATCCTCATTGCCTGCCCAGCTCCCAAGTGGATTCGCCGAAATGAGGGCTCGTTCTGCCGTATTCGTCTTGCTTAGCTATTGGGCTATTGGCGCATCGTCTGCGCCGCATTCTGCTCGTGCTGAGGTGGGCTCCAGACCGGAACCGTGTACGGCATCGTTCGACCTCTCGCCGTCGTAAGTGATTCGGCATGATTCTACACGGAGCTCGAGCCTGACAAGCAGCAGTTGTCTTTCGGCATGGCGGAACAGGCCTCATTCCAAGCATTTCGAGCCTGTTGAGAGCTCTCCGTGCCCATACTACAGCAGCAGCAGCACTCCTTGCACGCCGACACCAACAACAACGCCGTGCAGGGTCTGCACCAAGACAGTGATTTCCAGTTCCTTTGCCACGGCCACGGTCAATGCGACTTACACGACAACGAGACCCGGCCCTTTTCGGCTGATGACTCTCACGGCAACGAGACCCGGCCCTTTTCGGCTGACGACTCTCACGGCATACTCGACCGAGACTGTGGTTCGGGCCATCCCGTGGACAAAGACAAGAGTCATCACGTCGGTTCGCGGATCGACCGTCACGGATGTATCCACGGCGTTCCGCACCAAGACGGAAGAGGTGGTCAACGTTGAAACCACCGTGACCGTCACCACCGTCGGAGGCACAACCACGGTCGTGTCTACTCTCGACGTTGCCGACGTCACCGTCACCACGACCAGCAGCACTCAGATTACGGGGACGGCGAATGCCACGACCACGGTAGACCCGCAATCGGCCACGGTGACGGCTACCAACCTCGACACGGCCGATGTGACGACGACGAGCAGTGTCGCTGTAGTCACAAGGACCTTGACCACGTCCGCTCCGGTGAAGACGGTCACAAGTTTTGTCAGCTCTACACCCACGTCTACGGCTCGTAGGCGACTAAAGAAGGTGAAAAGCAAGGGATATAAATGAGGATCGGGATAAGGTTGCGGTCTAACGTGGTTTGGAAACCTGTTGGGATAGCAACATGTGGTAGAAATACAATATTTCATGCTCTGCTGATTCATGTATCGGTTCCACCTGATGCTTGTAGCGCCGGAAGAGTGCGAGTCCCCCCACTTTTGCATCGAGTGCCCATATGTCCACGCAGAGTATGGCTTTTGTACACAATTGGCCCGCTGCAGATAGTGATAGTACACAAGCCCCTATAAAACTCGTCCTCGACTCTGAAATCTCTCTTCCCCCAGTTGTGCCATGGATGAACCCCCGCCTTCTTCCCCGCAACCGCCAAGACCATCCCCCGCAACCACGACCTCGCTTTTCCGTCCAAGACATCGGAAAAGCATGATACGAGCCATCTTGGAGCCGATCTTGGCTAAAAGAAACCGACCAAGCTGCAATGCATCGTCGTCTCGGTAGCGGGATGCCCTGGAGCGGTGTATACATAAAGAGCTCGACAATATCTCTCACTCTCTCTCCCGTTTCTCGAGCCAGCATCGACGACGAACAAGCCTCGCGACCATGAAGTCCATCCTGCTCGCGGCCGCAGCTCTGGCCGGCGCAACGCTGGCTTCGGCAAAGACATCTCTCCCCAGCGGCTGGTTCGCGATCCCGCCTTCGTCCAAGATCCAACACTCCGACTTCCACGGCAAGCCGCGCTACCTGACTTGGATGGCCGACTCCCAGATCAAGCACGGCGTCGAGCCGACCTTTGCCTACACCGTCTCGGCCTACCTCTCGGGCGTGCTGCTCGCCTACACCCGCACCGGCGACCCCAAGTACGCCTCGTACATCACCCGCCACGCCGACCTGGTCCTCTACCCCGCCCGGGACGGCTCCATCCTCCTCTACAACGACAGCAACTCCATCGACGACATCCGCTTCGGCCACACCTTCCTCGACGCCCACAGCCTAGCCGCCGCCGCCGCCGCCAGCAGCAACACCTCCAACTCCAACTCCTCCTCCTCCTCCTCCTCCTCCATTTCCTCCAACTCCTCCTCCATCTACCTGACCGCCGCCCGCACCCTCCGCGCCCAAATCGACCGCACCCGCCGCACCCCCGCCGGCGGCTTCTACCACCGCTACCCCACCTATCCGGACCAAATGTGGCTCGACGGCATCTACATGCTCGACGTCTTCTACGCGCGCTGGACCCACGCCTTGGACCCCCGCAACGCCACCGCCTGGGCCGACATCGCCCTGCAGTTCGACCTCATCAACGCCGGGACAATCACTGCCGCCGATCCCAACGGCACCACAAAGCGCGGCCTCCCCGTCCACGGCTTCGACTACAGCCGCCGCGCCGTGTGGGCGGATCCCGTGACGGGCGCCGCGCCGCACGTGTGGGGCCGCGCCGCGGGGTGGTACCTCATGGCGCTGGTGGACGTGCTGGATTATTTCCCTGAGGGGGAGGCGGACGGCGGCGGCGGTGGTCGCGCGCGGCTGCTCGGGTATCTGCGGGCGCTGGCGGACGCGGTGGTGGCGGCGCGGGACCCGGTGTACGGGGGGTGGTGGAACGTCATGGATCCGGGGATGGAGGGGCGGGAGGGGAATTACGTCGAGAGCTCGGCGTCGGGGATGTTCGTGTACGGGCTGCTGAAGGCGCTGCGGATGGGGTACGTCGAGGGGGAGGAGTATAGGGAGGCGGCGCTGGGGGGGTACGGGTTGATGACGGAGACGTTTGCGGAGGAGAGGGGAGGGGATGGGGCGTTGGATTATCTGTGGACGGTGCAGACGGGGAGTTTGAGCTCGAATGGGACGTTTGAGGTATGTGCTGTTGACTTCTGCGATATTGCGCACGCTGACTGACTTTTTTTTTCTTCTGCAGTATTATGCGAGTATGCCGTTGTTTGAGAACGACTTGAAGGGCGTTGCGCCCTTTCTTTTCGCAAGCTACGAGTATGAGCTCTATATCGAGGGGAAGGAGGGAGTGCAGCAAGAGACGATATGAAAAAGAGCGTAGACGGCGACATAGAAATCACATCTCTTCCAGAAAGTAGGCAGCAATCAACACACATGGAAACAACTCAACTTCTTCCGCACCCCCCCAGCTCCACCCGACCATCGGCATCTGTGTAGCACATCACCACCACTCCCCTCAAACCCGCTCTCCCACCCCATCCGCCCCACCTGATTAATCAATACGGAGAAACATCATTCAAAACATTCCGCCCCAAAGGATACTTATCCGGCACGAACCCCACCGCATTCGGCAGCAGCCGCACTCCGTCCTCCTCCTCCCCCTCGTCCCCACCCGGCCCTCCGATCCCATCCGCGCCGGGCGGCCTCCCATCCCCGGCGGCATCAGGAAACTGCCCGCCCACATCCTCACACCCCGCGCACACCTCCTCCCACAGCTCCTCCAGCCCGACCCTCCCCGCCGGCATCGGCGCCAAGCACCGAAACGCCAGCTCGACCAGCCTGCCCGAATACGCCGGTCGCAGCGCGTGCAGCAAGTGGCCGCCACCGCTCTCCACGCCGCCATCGCCACCGCCGCCGCGCGCGGGCCGGTCGCGCTCCGGCCCGGAAAAGTCGACGGCGACGTCGTGCGGGAAGAGGAGGCCGGCGCCGTTGTTTCCGACGCCGATGCCGCCGATGCCGCCGACGGGCATGGTGGCGAGGAGGCACCAGACGGTCGTGCCGATCTGCCATACCATCGTCCAGGAGTGCGCGCCCGAGGTGTCGGGTGCGGGGATGTCGGCGGGCCATGGGTTGGGCCATGGGAGCGGCGTCGAGGGGAGGAGGGCGTCGAGGCGGTCGACGGTGTGTTGGGCGCGGGTGGGGTTGTGGCGGTAGTTTTTGGTGAGCTTGGCGGCGTTGCGGTGGAGGAGTTCCTGTGGAGGCGGTGGTTGGCCGGCATGTTAGCGCTGGGGATTGTGATGTATGTTGGTCGAGAAGTGATTGGAGGGGAGGGGAGGAGGAGGGAAGTCTTCTTACGGGCGGCATGTGCCCCGTGGTGCCGAAGCCCCGGAAGTCTGGAGGGTTCGCCCGCCGTCTGTGGCGGCGTGCGTGATTCCGGTCGTCCAGGCCGTGGTGGGTTTTGTACGACATGCCGAAGTCGCCGACTTTGGGCTTGGGGTAGCGGCGAGCCCACGCCATGGGCTCGAGCGGGTCCGGCGCGCAGAGCCAGACGTTGTCCGGCTTGATGTCCGTGTTGACAATGTGCTCCCAGCCTTCCTTCACCCCTCGTCCCGCATGCCCGTTCCAGCAGACGAGCGCCACCTCGACCAGCACCTTGAAGCAGTACCTGTGCAGCGCCATGTGAGAAGCTCGTACTTTCCGAGAAGCGCCATCTCATCGTGCTCTTACCAGATGAAAGGTTCTGGTATCAGATGTCCGCTGGTCAGGTAGGTGGAAATGAAGTCAAATAGAGTGCCGTGCGGGATCCACTCGGTCAGGAGCCGCTTGAAGGTTTTTTGGACGGGTTTCCTCTGTTTTGGGTGTAGGTTTGCCGGGTTCAGGATGTCATCCTCCTTCTCAAAGGACTGATTGAACAGGGTCACCACGTATCGAGGACAGGCCGCATAAAGCTGAGTGTGGATTTGCCCTTCTTCGTTAGAAGGTCCTTGTTTGCCGGGATTGCAGGCTATGTTCGATACCCCCTGCTCTTTCTTGAGCACCATCGTCTGTTCGCATTGTTCGGGTTAGTAGAAATGGTATGTACATCGTGGGGTGAATTGACCTACACTCAGGGTACGATCGGCGTCATCAGTCAGGCGGTACATAATGACCTGTATGCGGAGATAATTGCCCTGGTTTACACGTCTGCGATAGATGTGTCTGTGATATTTCCAAGTTCCAGGCGCTGGTCCAAGCCTAGATGGCTCTTCTTGCTTTGCTATATCTGTCGCCCCCGCCATGTTCAGATTGCCGAGGCCTCCAGACCCATTGTCCGGGATTTCGATTGGACCCGGTGCACTGGGCTGACACAGGCCCCGCGATCTCCTGATTTTCTGTCGGAAGTCTTCGACCCTCTGCTTCGTTTGGCTATCGAGAGCGCGTTCTTTGGCGAGGAAGCGATTCCGACCTGGATCGTATCTCTTGTCTTTTTGGAAGTGATCAAATTCGAATTCAACGACGCGCTCGGGGCCCGGGAAGAAGTGATCCAGTTCGACCTCGGCATTGCAGCGTTCGAACCACAGCGGCCATTTCTTTTCTGCAATGTACTGATAGCGTCGCTTCTCGTCCGGATCAAGTGCTGCGAACTGGCGGGAAAGGTAGTTTTCCACGAGTTTGCCTTGGCTTCAAGTCAGCTACCGTGCATGAGGGGCCCCTTCACAGTCGAAGCCTACGTTTGGCGTTTTTCTTCGGCTTTTGCAGAAGAGCGTTGCCGTCGAGCTTCCTTCGTTGGGCCTCTGCTACGAACTTCTCCGCGATATATGCGGTACGAGCATTTTCTCCCTGTGGCTTGCGTGGCATTTCAAAGGCTAGTTTCAGCGAGTGGAAGAGGATGTTGGTCAGTGGCTCAACGACAACGAGACAATCGCGGAGAATGATAAGGGACCAGTTTTGAAAGAGCCGAGCCACAACAAAGAGAGAGCAGAGCAACACTTGGCTCCCTACTCCCAAAAACCGCAAACAGAAGCTGCTGAGACAAAGAAAGCCGACCAACACAAGTTTCCTTCCAGGGATCAAACATCACAGGGACCTTTCAAGCGCTTCGGTAAAAACACCACTTGCTTCATTGTTCCGTTCCCTTCCAGCAGTACAGTCCCAGCTTTAGCCAATGAGACTCGGATAGACAGTAGCTTATCGAACGACTTTATCGACGGCCCTCGCCAATCTCTCCACGTTGGTCTCGGTCAAGCCAGCGACGTTGATGCGTCCCGTAATGGGGAAGTGGATGTGATCCTCCTCCGCGATCCGTAGCACCTGTGACTCATCAAGGCCGAGCAGGCTGTCGTTGTTAATACCCCAAGTCCAGTCAAAAAAGATCAGCTCCACTTACGAGAAAAGTCCGGCTTCCTCCAGAATGTGATCCCAGCTTCCCGGCGTCTGCAAACAGTCTCGTCAGCTCCATCGAGCGGCATCACGCGGTGCATCATCAATCAAACCGACCTTCAACTGCTCCGTGAGCCACCAATGCAGATTCTTCCTATTCTTCTGCAGCCGCTCCCTCATTTCCCTCAAGTTCTCGAGCCTGCAAGATTCAAGCCACATCAGCAACTCCCCACGTCTACCACCACCCCAGCACGAAAAGGGGGGGAGGGGAGGAAACAAGGAATACATACCACTCGTCCCAAAACTCGCCCAACACCACATCCCCGACCTTCGCATACCCCCTCGGCGGGCTCGCCCACGTCCAGCGCGCGAAACCCCTCAACCGCTCGCCCACCCTCACCGCCGTCTGCTCATCGCCAACGACGACGTGCACGACGCCGACGCGCTCGCCGTACAGGCCCAAGTTCTTGGAAAAGCTCTGCGCGACGACGACCTCGAGCCCGGCGGCGACGAACTCGCGCACGGGCCACGCGTCGTCGTCGAGGCCGGCGCCGAACCCTTGGTAGGCGATGTCGAAGAAGGGGAGGTGCCCCCGGGCGCGCAGCGCTTGGGCGGCGGCGCGCCACTGCTCGCGCGAGAGGTCCAGCCCCGTCGGGTTGTGGCACACGGCCTGCAGGACGAAGACGGAGCGGGGCGGCGCGGCGGCGATGGCCGAGAGCAGCGCGTCGAAGGCGATGCGGTGCGTGGACGGGTCGTGGTAGGGGTAGAAGACGGGGGTGAGGCCGGCGTGGGTGAGGAGCGGGCCGTAGTTGGGCCAGGCGGGGTCGCCGATGTAGGCGTGGAGGGGCGTGGGGGGGGAGGAGGGGGAAGAAGGCGCGGCGGGGCGGAAGAAGTGCGAGGTGAAGACGGCGCCGAGGTGGCAGGCGCCGGTGCCGCCGATGGTTTGGATGCTGGAGACCCTGCCGGTTTGCAGGATGGGGTTGTCTTTGCCGAAGATGACTTGGGCTGCTTTGTGGAGGAAGGCGGGGTCGCCGGTGTTGAAGCCGTACTTGGTGGTTGTTAGTGCGCTGGATGCCGCCGGGGTGGAAGATGTGTATGTATACTGACCCCGTGATCGACCGGCTGAGCAGCAAGGATCTTCTTTGCCTGGGGTGGAGTGAAGCGTCGGTCAGCATGTCGGGCGTTGGCTTCATCCGTTCTCTTTCCATTTACCTTGCGCACGACGGGCAATTCGTAGTACTTGCTCTCTTCGTCTCGGTAGACGCCGGCGCCCAAGTCGACCTTGTCCGGAGTCTTGTCCGCACTCAGGCGCAGCTTCAGATCCCACATGATATCCCTGGCATCGTCCGGGGGGATGCTGGGGAAAGCCTCGGAGGTCTCGCTGATGGAACCCATCTTCAATGCTCAAACAATGGTCAATTCAGAGGATGGGATCAAGTGCGGGGGAAAGGAGGAACGGTAACGTTTTAAGTAGCACAGCGTGGCGTCTATTCTCGTGCATAACGCGTGCTTTTTCGTCTTGACTCGGCGGGCGATAGCGAGAGTGGTGGAGGAGGAGGGGATGCTCGGTTGCGTGCTCTCTGCGCCGGATGAGCACTCCACTCGGCAACACACTGCACCTGCCGAGCCCAAGTCGTGCACACTAACCCGAAGCGGTAAGAGGGCGGTCATTTGCGACTTGAGGCCTCGATGTTGCAAAGTTGCACAGCGCATTGTGCATGACGGCCCACAACTTGGGAGAGACGGGGGTTGACTACCCATGGCATAAGTGAAACGACAACGAACTGAGCCAAGATAATCATAGAATAGGTTCAGGCTGGACCGTGTACCGTCGTCGCTCGCTATACAAGCCGTCGACATTTCCTGCTAACTGACAAGTAAGCTTGGCTAACCCAGAACACGAGCCCAGACGGCTACTTACCTCGTTCATCATGAGTCCAAAACTGAAGCGGAGTGGAAAAGAGACGCTTTGGAAAAGAAAGACAGATGAAGCTTGTGACACCACGCAAAGATGCAGGCCCGAGGCAACAAAAAAAAAAGAAGGGATTTAATATACAACCCGACATTGAACGCATTAAAAAAAAAAAGGGAAAAAGGTATAAAACTTTACAATAATCCATCACTTCCTCTGGGCGCCCCCGTCCAGCTCCGAGATGGACGCCGGATGCAGCTCATGCCTCGCATTCGCCGCCGACAGCTCCTGCACGGGCGTCATCTCCTGCGCCACACCTCCCCGCCGCTTCTCATAATCCGCCGCGACGCGTTTCCTGTCCGCCCTCTTGCCCACCATGAAGCCGCCCACGCACGCCGCCGCGATCAGCAGCACGCCCACCGCGACGCCCACGCCGATCCCAGCCTTCGCGCCGCCGCTCAGCCCCCCGCCGTCCGACGACGACGACCCGCCCGCGCCCGCCGTCGCGGCCGCCGTGCCCGCGTCGGCGCTGCTGCCGGCCGACGCGGCGCTCGTGGTGCTCGTGGGTATGACGTTGGACCAGCTGGGGTCGTCGGAGGCGCGGCGCACGATGGGCCCGTACGCGCGCACCGTCTCGCCCTGGGTGACGGTGACGGTGGTGGTGCCCGTGTCGGCGGTGCCCGACGCCGGGAACGAGATGCTGTCGACCGTGTAGGTGCCGCCGGTGGGGAAGGCCGAGACGCAGTTGAAGATCTGCGACGTCTCGATGTTGCCCATGCAGAAGTAGCCGCTGTTGTCGTCGTTAGTTCGTTGTGAGCTTTTTTGTTTTTTCTTTTCTTTTCTTTTTCTTTTTTTTTTACTGTTGATGGCGGGTGGATGATGGTGGTGTGTGCTTACGATGGGCAACATGTTGCTACTGTTATCTCGTTCGTCGAGCTGGTCGAGGCTTTGGTGCATGCGTACGTGTACCCGGACGGGCAGATGCCGGGCGAGTAGAAGTATGAGACGTCGCGGTTGAAGTTAGGCGGCAGGCATGAGGATGTCGCCGTGGTTCCGAGCTGGAGCCATGGCCCGATCGAGTTGCTTCCGAAGAAGAAGGACGTCAGGCAGTCGGATGCCGACGGGGTCCAGGTTGTCGTGAGGGGCCCGAGATACGCAGTCATGGCCGCCCGTCTCCGTCAGGTAGCAGGCCTGGATTTCGCAGCTCGCTCGATCGGCGTGGAAGTGGATGTCGAGGACGGTCAGACGTTCGAGAGGGTTGAATCCTGCCGGCCGCTGTGTGGAGCATTGCCTGCTTATACCTGCATCATCGTCACCCGGGCGAAAAGTGGGACGTTGATATATTGGTGCACATGTGCGCGAAGCTCGTGTGGAGCAATAATGGGGGCTTTGCTCTTTCTACCTCATCGCCCAGTTTCCCGTCACGGCTGCGGCCTGTGCGGTCGCGGCTAAATAAATCCACGCATTCGCCCAGCACGGACAAGCCTCATGCCACACAACACTTGGGTGTGTTGGGCCAGCCAGGCGATTGGACGGGCCTTGGCCCCCACGACGAGGGCCGACGCATCTCCCAGGTACCAGCAATCGAATCGGACATGGATGTGGATAATCGGGAGCTCCGAGCGCACCGTGCCGACTCATCACTGCGCTTTTTGGCCAACCCCGGAGACACAGACGCAGAGCTGTACCCCGGTCATCGCAGCATCGCAACCTGATGCTACGTATGACATTGGGGGCGGAATCCTCGCTTTCGGTAAGCCGGCGTCCGCCGAGCGCTGGCCCCTGCAAACATGTGGAGACCTCCGGAGGCTGAACATCTTCTATTAAGCTTTGAGAGACGTTGTCGTGATGCCCTAACGCCTGCTTGTTGGTTTGGCACCGACCAAGGATTTAACCGGTCCTTCGGACGCTCCCGCTGCGCAAATCCTGTTGTTCTGGCCAGGAGAATGACCTCAAGTCATGGAGCCAGTCTGAACAGGCCCCCCATGCTGCATCCGAGCCCTAAGCATCCGGCTTAGACATTTGGTCGACACTTCGCAGTAACCCGACGAACAGATCAGCAACATTATCTTTGGGTTGCGCTTATCAACCAGAAGAAGGGTGCTTATGGTTGATCTCACTTACAGCTTTATTTTGTCCGCTTGGAAATTATATGTCGGGGTCGTGCAACTTCTCCAAAAGAGCACGACCTGCGCGTGTGTTGCTCAAACCTACTTCTCGCTGTCCCTACGAGCTGGCTGGCTCACCATTTACCCAGGATCGCGGATCAGCAGCCCTCAAAGATGGAGAAACCCTCCTGCGCGGCACCATGGGCGCTCCGTTACGATGCGGCATTGGACTTCAGCTTGCTCCGACCTTCGTCCGCAGTGCTCTCAATCAACCGGTTCCTCTCAAAGCGCCTCTGACATCTGCAGCTCTTCACTGCACCATTCGTATGTATGTACATCTTCCTCGATCTACCTTGGTTTTCCTTTGTACAGCCACGTGCCCAAAACACCTCGCGACAGACATACACACACACAACAAACCTACACCCCTATCTCCGCCTCCCCTACCGCCCTGACCTACCCCTCTCCACCCCACCACCATCTCTCCGCATTTTCCTTTCGCACCCCTCAAGCCTTGGCGAACTTGACCCTAATCTCGTCCTCGCTAAACGCCCTCGTCTTCCGCCTCAGCATGGCGGCGCGCTCGTCGAGCGACATGGCGATCTGGTCGCCCATGGGGACGAGGCACTTGGCAAGGTGGTCGTAGTCCTTCATGGCGAGGCGGATGGAGATCATGATGTAGTCGATGTTCTTGAACGTGAGGGCGTGCTCGCGCGCGTAGGTGCGCTTCTGCTTGAGGAAGGCGACGGGGTGCTGGCGCCAGTGCCGCAGCGGGTTGAGGTGGTGCGAGGTGTGGTAGCCGTCGTTGAAGCAGAAGCGGTTGCTCTGTGGGGAGTTTGAGTTAAGATCATGTCATCAAGATCTGATCGAGGAGGAAGGGGTGAAAGGAAAAAAAAAAAAAAGAAACTCACAGCAACATCGATCAGCGTGATGCTCGACCGAAAGTCGGAATCCGGATCCTCGTCGTCTACGAACGCGTGCTGGCCCCAGTTGCCCACCATCAAGCCGAAGCGCAGCACCATGAACGGCAGTAGGTAAACGCAGAAGGTGGCGCGGCCGTCGATAAGGGAGGACAGGTACCACAGGCCGAAGGTGCCGAACTCGGACGCGGCGCAGCGCAGGCCCGTCTTCACCTGGCCCTTTCTGATGAAGTAGCGCGGAAGGTCGAACCAGACGAGGAGGACGAAACGGCCGACGTAGCGCAGCAGGTCGCGCACGTCGTCGCGCTGGTAGCGGATCGTGGAGGAGAGGTCGTCTGGGCCGTTACCTTCGACGTGGTGGTGGCGGACTAAGTGAAGAGCGGTCAGCGAGAGGGCTGGGGAAAGGGTGGCGAGGAGCTTACCGTGATGGTAGAAGTAGGTGTTCCAGGTGTGGCCGAAGAGCGGGTCAGTGATGAAAGGGAAGACGTGGTCGAGGATGCGCCAGGGGTTGCGTTTGGCGAGAATGCCGCGCATGTGGATGTGCTGGTGCATCATCAGATTGTATGTTCCAACAAAGTAGATCTGCATGATCCAATGCAGGATTCCATGGACCCAGTGGAAGTTGTAGAACAGATACAATGCGCTCGGGAGCGAAGTACAGGCGTAGAGAATGAGATGGGTAAACATGACAACATCCGTCTCGACTCGCACAACGGTGCGGGCCCAGCGGAGATAGGGCTGGAAAATGTATTGGTCCAAGACCTGCGGCAATTTGATGGTGGGGGTATCCCAGAGAACGAACACGGTAGGGTCAAAGTCGGCGTGTTTGGGGTCGTTCATGGCGTTGAGAGCGTCAATGGTCGACTGATCGGCGTGGTCAATGTCCTGGTCGTCCTCGTTGGCCGAGTCCTTCCTCTGGCGGAGCTGGTCTCGGGCTTGTTCCTTGGCATCAGGAAGGCGTGCGGATGGCTCTTTGGCGGTGGCATCGCGTTCCAAACATTTCAAAACCAAGTGGTCGGAGCGCGTCAAATACGGGTCGACAAAGGATTCAGGATCCATGATGGCGAGGAGTGCGAGAGCAGGGTCGACAAGTACAAACGGAAGGCGGCCGGGGAAAGAAAAAAAAAGAGACAAGTAGGCGCTGCAGCGATCGTACGAGGTCCGAAAGGTCGGCGATCTCAGGGGTGAACGGGGGCGGACAGGGGTATGGTACAAGTATATACAAGCACAGTACAAGAGGCCGGGCGATGCGGCGCGGAATTGGGCAGAACAGTCCAGCGTCAAGCCAGGACGAAGAGGGATGAAGTAGCAGGAGCTGCATCTCCTCTGATTCTGCGTGGGCTAGTGTGCACTTGCTGAGCCGGGAGCAGCTAGCGCCCGCGGATCTACGCCTTGGCAGCCTGGACCCTGTGTATCGCCTCACGGCAGTGGAAGACACGAAGACTCCTCCTCCAACCTGTACACCCGTGCTGCCGCGCACCTGCACCACAGCGCCACCCGGCGAGAACCTCCCGTATCCGGCGAGTCGACCGCATTTTCCGGGCCGGTGGATCTGGAATGGGCACGCGAGAGAGCCGTGTGGTCGGGGACGTGGACGGCGGTTGGTGGCGAAAGGCGTCTCTGGCCAGATATCCGGATGGATACAGTGGAGCTGGAACGCTGGAACCCCGGGCTCACCGCTCTCCGTACGCTGCAGTAGGTAGTCCCGAGCCGTGGCCGCGCCGCATGCAATTGGACGGGCCAGCAACGCGTTTGTTTCCTCAAGGCGCCTCGCCACGCCTGACGCTTGTGACGAGGAAAAGGAGATGTTTGAAACGTGTGCGACCAAAGCCGCGGCTCAAGACAGCAAGACAGCGTCACATGCCCGGGATGCGGGGCTGAAGAGAATTGTGGCGCAGCTGCACCGCCACCGCCACACTCCTCATGGCCTCTGACGTCGTCGCTCTTGCCCCTCGTCGTCCATAAAAGCTCCCATCCGTTCCACCACCAAGCACCATCTGCACTCCAACATCACGGCACTTCCGAACCTACGCCCTCAGCTCACCAACATCAGCATCCAGCCATCATGCCTGTCATCACCTCCATCGAGCAGCCGTCCAACTCCGGCAACAACGCCTCCGACCAAGCCACCCAGACCGCGACTTCCACATCCTCGTCGGCGCCTGCCCAGCCGCAGCAGCAACCCAAGTCTGACGCAGAGCTGGCCGCCGAAAAGCTTTACGAGGAGCGTATCGAGGAAGAGTACGCCAAGCGGGAGGGCGGCGCGTAAGACGAGGCACATCATATAATTTAATCAACCCACATTTTTCCCCATCCAAGTATTGTGATCCAGTGACATGTGCTCTAGGCCAATCACTGGCAGACTTGCACGATGGCATCCAACGTCCTCAACGGTGATTGAAATGGTACCAAGGCAGAATCACATTGCCAGATAGCCATGGTAGCTTGTCCCGCCCTTGCCGCCGCGGTCGGTGCGCTCATGCTGGGCAAACTAATCTATTACCTCTTTTCTGTCCCTCCCGTTCTCGGTACCCCAGTCCCGCCTACTTTCCGCCTCTTCTCGCTCCTTTCCGCCTCTTTTTGTTCTTCTTTGGCTTTTCTCGCTGCTTTCCGTATCCTCTTGCTTCATCTTCCGCTCCTTCCCGTCCCTTCCTATAATTCATAATCCAAACACGCCCACAATTCTGCCGTCTTAATCTATAACCCGTGGTCAATATCATTTCTTTTTTTTTTAACTTTATTTCCGGCGACGTGGAAGACTAAAGGTCTCGTAAACCAAAACGCCGGAACGTAGCTAGAAATAAAACATACATCTAAAGTAATAATTCGGAGGACAGTTTAAGATGCTATTAGCGTGTTTTAGTACTTTTATTTTTATTTTTAGTTCTCTGCCTAGTCCGCGTTACTTACCGTCTACAAAGCAGAAGCTATGCGAGGCCTTATTATTCCGTCCTCGTCAGACTTCAGCTCTAAGCTGGTTGACACGTCTGCCGTCTTAAACGGGAGGTTCGTGGTGCTAATGGTGTGATCTCAGATCGATATGGAAGCAGGCAGCAGCGATGACGTTTTCCCTTGCACCCCACCACGTGCAGCGCAGCAGCTTACATAGCTACTTAACAAACTCGGAGAGCTCCATTCCCACATCAGCATGAACAAACGAACCTGTTAGCCCCAACAACAGCCACCACAACAAACCTCCACCAGCCATGGCTCCCACAACCGAAAACGCCATCCTCCAACTCAAGCCCGACGTGGACATCACCACCGGCGACGCCGCCGCCACCTGGCGCGCCACGCTGGCCACCATCTCCGCGCAACCGGGCCTGCAGCGCATCGCCTGGGGCCAATCGCTCGAGAACCCCCACATCGTGCAAATGTTGATCGGTAAAGTTTTTTGCTTACCCACCCCCTCCCCCACCTACACCGCCAAACTCCACCATCCCCCAGAGTCCACACCAACAAAAATTTACTAACACCAACCAGACTGGGACGACCCGAGCTCCCACCGCGCCTTCCAGCAAACCCCCGCCTACACCACCTTCCTCGCCAACATCAGCGCCCTCCTCGCCTCGGCCCCGCGCCTCACCCACCACGCCTTTTCCCCAACCACCAGCGACTCTTCCCCTTCCTCCCCTTCCCCCCTCCCGGCCATCACGACCGCCTCCCCCATCACCGAGGTCATCTCCGCCTACGCGCCGCTCTCGCAGCCGCCGGACGCCCTCGCCGCCGCGTGGGCCGAGTTCGCGAAAGTGGCGGCGGCGCACGCCGCGGGCTTGCGGGGCAGCGCGGGGGCGTGGGCGGACGATGAGGACGAGTTCGAGCACGCGAGCCTGCGGGAGGCGGGCGGCAAGGGGAGGCTGTTCGTGGCCGTGGTCGGGTGGGACGGCGTGGAGGCGCACATGGCGTATCGGGAGACGGCCGCGTTTAGGGAGAGCATCGGAAAGGTGCGGGCGGCGGTGAGCGGGATCGAGATGCATCATGTTGATTTTAGGGAGGCTTGAAGGAGGGGTGGGGGGGTGGGGGTTGGGGGTTGTTCCATCGTGTATGTGTGTGTTGAGGTAGGTGGTTTGGGATGGAGGTCTGCTCGTAGTGAATGGAGAGAGAGAGAGAGAGAGAGAGAGAGAGAGAGAGAGAGAGAGAGAGAGAGAGAGCGGCTGGGCCCGTTCACCGATCAATGTGAGGCTTGCTCAAATGAAGACATTATTTGTCCGTTGCCTTTGGACTTCGCACACCCACTCGCTATTAGCGCAGTCGGAGCCGGCAACCCGCGCATTCGCCCATCAGGCTCATCTATTGGCAAAAGAACAATAAAAATCGACCGAATCTTTGGTGAAAGAAAACAGACAGTTGTCCCAACGCCGTGCTATCGCCTTTACCTTTGCTCACGGCAAAGAAAATCAACCCATCTATAACGTGACGAACGCACCAAGTCATGTACTAAAACGAGAATGCATCAAGAAGAAGACCAGAGACGAGAAGCCAAGCAGGATCAGCAGTCGCCGTCAGTTCAGAGCCTTCGCCGCCACACCACCGCGTTGTTCGACCCAGTCGCGCCACTCCTTCCACTCGGCGTAAGCCAGAGTCGCCTTGCTGCCCTCGTAGGTGATGACGTTGAGGTCAACCTTGCGCCAGTCGTCCCGGCGGCCGCTCCATCCGGCCTTGCGCATCAGACTGACGATGGTCTCTTCCTTCGTCCAACCCTGCTCCTTGGCCACGTCCGGTAGGTACGTGGCGCCGTAGCGGCGGCCGTGATAGGTGAAGGAGATGCGCAACCCGTGCTTGCCCAGCTCCCACGCCATGGTGTCGGCCGCCGGCTGGAAGTTGGTCAGAAGCGTCACGCCGCACTCGAGGCTGGGCAGCTCGCGTGAAGAGATCTGGTTGAAGCGCGTGTCGTCGAAGGCTCTGCGGGAGTTGCGTCGAGACTTGCATTTAGCGTATGGGAGTACAGGTTGGAAAAACGCTTTACAGATGTCGGTGTGGAGGTGGGAGAGGAACAGGAAATACATGATACTCACGAGGTTAGAGCATAGCTCCGCAGCCCATCCGACAGCTCTTGCGCTTCAAAGGTACCAATACAGCCACGCAGGTTTTTGCTCCCACTCCTACTTAATGTGTTCCATGTCACGAATAGCGGATAAGCGTCCTCGGCGGAAGCACCGGCGGCGGGGGGCGCAGAGCCTGAGGGATGATCACCGCGCACACGGCGGCCGAGATTGGAGAAGAACGAGGTACGCGACGAGGACGACTTGGAGGTAGCAGACGAGGCAGTGGTGGGGGCGGAGCTGCGCGACGAAGTGGCCGACTGCACCGACGATGTGCTCGCGTTGGTGGAGCCCGAGGAAGGACTGCCGGCAGCCAGGCGGCTGATGGCCGGGGACGGCTTGAGAGTGGTGGTGGTAGTCTGCATGTCCTCGGCATCCGTCATCTCCTCATCCTCCTCGTCATCCACGCTCTCATCATCGTCGTCGACCTCATCTTCAGCGTCCACATCATCGGCGTTGTACTCGTTCCACAACTCCTCGAGCTCGGGCAAACTCAGCGGATGGCGCTTCTCCAAACTGGCGCTCAGGCTCTCGAAGCAGTAGGCGCAATGGGCGGCAGTAGCCATGACGTCGCGGTGCAATGGGGATATGTAACGGCGACACGGCGAACAAGTTTGGGCGGAACTCAGCAAGCAGGGGCGGGAGACGGGGAGAGAATGCAGGTGGGCAGGCGAGCGGAGAGGTTGGAGGGAGCTTAGTAGGAGCAGAGGGGAAGGCGATGATTAATGACGCCCAGCAGGCCACCCAGCTTCTGGCACTCTAGCCCGATGTGTCGATGTTGGCTGCTGAAGCTTCGCTGGCACGGTTGGAGGCTGGTGGAGCGAGGAGTGGCTGAGGCGTGCGCAAGAGGCGGCAAAGCAAGAGCGACAGCGGGCAGGGCAGAGCCAGACGCGCAGGCGGACTGCGGGCGTTGTTGAGTACTGAGGAGCGATGGCCGGCCGACGGGCGACGATGACGGTGTAACGCCCCACGCTCACGCACGCTGGGGCCAAGAATTCGCGCTTCTCCGAAACGGAGGCGCCCGGCTCTTCAGGCACCGCACGTGACTCCAGTTCTGGTCTGATTTCCATCACATTCCTTGTCCTCTTTGTGCTGCTATCATGGAATGAGAGCTGGTTCAGCTCACCTTGAATACCGGTGTGGTTGTGCTTTTTGTCGGGGATTTTTTCTTTTTTAAAAGGTCCCTCGCCAGCTTCCCTTTCCATAGCCAGTGATCATCAACCATAGCAGGACGTGAACCATCAATACTGGATTGCGCTTTGTTCATCGAAGCCTGTTGAGCGCACAGTATAAGTACTCTCGGAGCGTACGCATCGCAAGTCAAACGACGATCTGCGTCCATACACCATCAGCCAGTACGCAAGACCTGCATTGTCTTGACCGTCAGCGTATATCACGCGCACGTTGGAAGATGATTAGTGGTAGAGGTCCATGGCTACCTCAATGGTTGGATGTGGTGGCCGCCAATAGTCGCACCTGCCGATAGATAGCGAATTCGAGTGACACATTGCGTCATCGCTGTTGACATCACCAAGACCTCACAAAGGTTCAACCCGCCTCATCTCCCGTCACTCTCAACACTTCCACGTAACTTCGCTGAAAGCATTGTCATCGACTACCCGCGGAACTAAGAACGGCGCTATTAGCACCATTAGCATCAGCATGTCGTCAAGTCATCCCCATGGACACGAAAGTCCTCAAAGGGTCCTCGTCGTTGGAGCTTCCCGTGGTCTCGGCGCATCTCTGCTCAAACAGTACACGGAAGGGCCCTCGAGCACCATCGTCTTCGGCACCGCGAGACAGGGATCTCCGCCAACGTCTGGTCCGCAGGATGTTACCTGGCTCCCAAACATCGACGTCTCAGGTCCAGAAGCCGGTACTTCCATAGTAGACGGCTACAAGTCTCACAGCAATTCGCCTATCGACATCCTCATCATCACTGCCGGCTACTTTGGAAAGGAAAGCTTCGGTGAGTGCATGTAGTCCTCTGCTTGTGATACTTACTTACCATTCCCACAGACGCCCCGTCCTACGACGCGCAGGTTTCAATGTACAAAATCTCAGCCATAGCACCCACACTCATCGTCTCTGCTCTTACCGCTGCAAATCTTCTCCGCACTGGCAGCAAGGTAATCCTTGTCTCGAGTGAGAGCGGCAGCATCACCCTACGGCACGAAAGTGAGGGAGGTGGCAACTTCGGCCACCATGCCAGCAAGGCCGCGCTGAACATGGTCGGCAAGCTTCTGAGCATCGATCTAAAAGACAAGGGGGTCGCCGTCGGCCTCGTGCATCCTGGTTTCATGAGAACCGAAATGACGAAGAGCGTGGGGTTTGACAAGTTTTGGGATGACGGTGGTGGTGCGTTATCCTTGCTCCCTCGTCGTTCACATGACAGCCCGTTGCAAATGCTAATGAAATCCCTCACAGCTGTCACGCCAGATGAGGCGGCCCAATCGTTGGCAGAGTGGATCGACACGTTTGACATCTCGAAGACGGGAGAGTATTGGGCACCCCGGGGCCCTGGGTAGGTTTCCTTCCACACATGCCACTGCCTGTCTCCATATACTGACTGGTGAACAGTGATATTGGGACGGCGGAGCCAGTGCTGGGATCTAAGGACAAGCTTTCCACACCCCTACAGTTACCGTGGTGAATATTTGACTCATTCCACCATTGAAACTCCTCGAGCCCCTACGCATGGTGCACCTTCCGGAGGGGTGCAGTAATGACCAGATATCAAATTGATGATTACCGTTAAAAATTGAGCAGAGTATTAGTAGTGTGGCCATTCAGCTCCGGAGAAGATGGCACGAACGAAAAAATAAAAGGAAAAGTACTAATTACAAGAGGGCATTACAAACGCTTCGCTCAGTGAAAGGGGAAATCTTCGACATGTCCAGGCAGAAGTTGCTGCCGAACGCCACGAAAATGCAAGATCAGGCGCTTACGCGCATCGCAATCAGCCTGAAGAACAACATAACGCTCACGAAACACCGAATCGCTGTTGGGTATCAGAGTCTCCATCTATTATTGCACCATCCTGGCTCAGAAACCCTTGGTCCAATTGATGTTGTAGCTGGGAACTAAAGTGGCCCTCGCTATCTTGGATTTGCTGATATGGCGAGAGATATTGTTGATAGTGGGCTTGCTGGTGCGTCACATGGTGCTGATTATGATTATGATGCTTCTGCAGGTTTGCAGGATCTATTGATATGGCCAGGCTATCCGGGTGGACCTGATGATGATGATGATGATGATGATGATGGAGGTGGTACGGGTCACTGAAGCTGTTGTCACCGAAGGATGATTGATGCGCCGCCGATGGGGGAGACTGGAACGGTTGATGATGAGAGGCGGCGGTCGATGCAGAACAATCACCACCACCACCACCTCCTCCTCCGCGAACACCGATGGTGCCGCCTACAGAACTTGGCAGATTTTGCACGCCAGAGCTCAGCATCGCGATGTCGTGCGAATCAAGCGCCATGTCGTCATCGTCACCGGCCACCGCATCGTAGTGTTGCTGCATTTCAGCCACGGATGGAGAAGCGCGGGGAGTGGCTGCAGCGCTGCCGCCGGTGGAGGACTCGTCTACTACAGCAAACTCATGTTGGAATACGAACTCGGGCGGAGGAGGCACAGCCGGCGTGTCGGGCGTGGGTAGTGCACTTGAAGAAGAGGCGGAGGCCAGCGGGTTTTCTGAAGCCAACGACTGGGACGACGAAGCAGTTGTTGCAACGATGCCGGTGGTGGTGGTGGAGTTTTCACCGCCGCTGACTTTGCGGCTGCCGCCATTGCCGCCGTTTCCGCCGCCGTTGTTATTATTGCCGCCGGCGGTGGTGGTGGTGGCTGCGGCTGCTGCGGCCGCGGCTTTCAGCGACTTCTTCTTCAGCTTCTCATTGCACTCGGCGCAGTTATCAATCACTTCGGTGACAGTCGTCTTGATCCGGTTCCAATGGTATTTCTCGGACACGGTGGCGGTGGTCTTGTTGATGCCCGCGTGCGTGTCCTTATTCTGGCGATGGTACTGCCGCGCGATTTCGTACTGCATGCGCGGCTCGGAGATGACCTCTTTGTCGCCCAGCATCAGCTTGTCCCCACCGTCGCTCCCAGTAATACCAGCGACTTCTCCTCCACTACTGCCACCATCAGCCCCATCAGCACCGGAAGTAGTACCATTCTTGCCGCCGCTGCTACCACACTCGACGAGCGTGTAATTCCTCACTGCGGCGCGGAGTCTGTTCTTTTCCGCGGAATCAGCGTCGCCTGGATACTTGCCGGTCTTGAGGTAATACTTTATCCTCTCGAAGCGCCGCTCGTCGTCGGCGTCCTCCTTCTTGTAGCCGAGGTGGCGGCCGTAGATGATGGCGTCGACGTAGTGGCCCTGGGGCTGGGTGGCGAGGTTGCCGCAGCCGGGCACGCGGCCGATGCGCTTGAACCCCAGCGCGTCCCAGATGCGGCACGAGGCGACGTTGGTCTCGTAGACGAGGTTGAAGACGGAGTAGGTGTAGCCCTGTTTCGAAATTTTCTTCGCCCCCTCCCGTGTCGCCCCGCAAGAGGGGGGCGGGAGAACAGGCGCAATGATCAGACCATGGTCTATTTGCAATCAAGGGAGCATCGAGGCGGGGTTGTTTCGGAAGGTGGATTGATTCTCCATGCATTTCTCGAATGCTTCAACCCCGGAAAAAAGAGACGGACGAAAAGGAGACTTACCAGCAGCGGCGCCCATTCCAAATAGCACTCGCCCATCAGCCTTCCCACACCACGATTCCGAGCACCGTCGGTGACGAGGAAGCCGCCGTTGCACACGTGGCTCGAGCGGCCGGGGTAGTTTGGCTTGATGTAGAAGCTGCCCAGGCACTGCTTCTCCCAGTTGATGCCGCCGCCGCTGCTGCCACCCTCGTCCTCCATGCGGCGCACGCCGGCGGCGCCGTCGGCGACGTCGCCGAGCAGCATGACGGCGCCGAAGTTCTGGAACCAGTAGGGGCCGAAGGCCTCGAGCGTGAAGGCGTCGGTCATGGGGTACGTGTCGCCCTTTGCGATCTCGCGGTTGAGCTGCTGGCGCAGGTAGTCGAGCAGCGACAGCGGCACCTGCTGCGGCGAGGAGAAGGGCACGAGCGTCGCCTTGGTCGTGCGGTCGCGCAGGATGAGCGAGCGCGGCTGGATCGACGAGGGCAGCGCGTCGCCCGGCTGCGGGTAGGGAGCCGCGCCCGAGCGCCGGTACAGGGCGGGCGAGGCGGGGTCTTCGAGCATTGCGGGCATCTTGCCTTGATCGTTTTGTCTATATGTCTCTCTCTTTCTTTCTTTCTTCCTTTCTTTTCTGGTCCCGCCTTTCCGGATGGGGAAGTGAGAGATGGTGGCTTGGGCCAATCAGAAATTGGGAATGGGAATGAGTGGGCTGTACGTGATGGCAGAAAGACGTCAGTGTGAAAGACGAGTACTTGGGTAGAACCACGTGGGCTGATCGGCAAAGGAAAGGAACATCGGAAATGCACCCGCGCCCGTGGCTGCAGGCTGTCTGAATGACGGTACCGCACTTCCTGCAATTGGGTGGAGATGGGGGTGGTTGGCAAGGTGCGGAGGGAGGGACCACTAACCAGGGTGTATATGTGGGAATGCTGCAGCGCAGTATGAGGAACAGTCGAATGTTTGGGATTTTGGCGCGCGCTTCACGTGCTTTTAACCGACCGACACCGGTCATTCCTCGGCGACTGATGACTGGGTCACGCCCTATCCGTGACATGGAGCGACACCGACGTCTTATGAGATAGAGCTAGAGTCTGACGGTGGGGAAGGCCGGAAGCAGCGGAGCGGGTTCGAGTATCTTCTGTCTTAGTTTCTCCTATCTGAGCTACTGTTTACGGAAGCCGTTGCCATTGCTAATTAGAAATAAGCATGATTCGGCTACATTTCCCCTTTGGGAAAGACGGCATGGTATCGCTCTATCAAATACTCCGGCACAACCGGATCAACGGCGAGCATGATACGCGCAAGAGCAGTGCTTTAATCGAGGTTTGAGTAGGACATGAATCAAGCTGTGTCGAGAAGCGGTATGTCTGCATCGCAATCATCTATAGTCTATTCATCAAACAGCAATACATCTATTTTCAAAGCGCATCATATCCCGATCATTCACATGAAGCCTCCTATTTTGCAATCGCTTCACCAGCTAAACACCTCATCGAAATAATCCACCCAACAATCAAACTCCTCCGCCACCCCCCTCACCGCCGCCTCCACGCCCTTCGCCATAGCCGGCGGTCCGCACAGTAAAACGGCCACCTTCCCCCTCCCCCTCTTTCCCTCCCTCGCTCTCGCCTCACACACGCCATGCGCCGCCTCAGCAATGATGCTTCGGACATCCGGCCGCCCGGGGTGCACTTCCAACTCCTGCCCCTCGCCGTCTCGCGCTTGAGTCGATCCCCGCCGCGGCGTCGCCGCCGCCGCCGCCGTCGACGTGCAGAACAGCTTCGCCGCGAAATCGCCGCGCGCCAGTCCCTTGCGGAGCTCACGCTCTGCGACGTCGCGGACGAACGCCTCCTCGCGCGCCGCCCAGACGAGCTGGACGACGGCAGCGGAGGGCTTCTGCGTTCGAATGTCTTCGACATCCGCCTCTTCCTCCCCCTCTGCTGCTGCCGCCGCCGCCGCCTCTTGGCCACTTGCTTGCGAAGAGGCGAGAGAAGAAAGACGGCGCGAGTGCTCCCGCAAGTACGGCACCGCGGCGCTGATTCCCGAGCCGCCGGCGACGAAGATGGTGGCGTCGTATGAGCCGGGCAGGGCGTGCATCGCGCCGTACGGCCCCTCGAGGAGGATGAGCGGGTGGCAAGCAGCTGTCGTGGTGCTGGGGTTTTCGCCATTGCTGCTCATGCTACTCTGGCGCGCAGCAGCAGCACCAGCACCACCGGCATCCGAGTCTGATGAAGACTGGCGGCCGCGGACTTTGCGGTCGTGCGCGATGCACTGGTCGCGCAGCCGCCGCGTCCAGCCGTCGTATGGTCGGATCCAGAAAGTCAAAGTTGTGGGCGATTTGTTGGCTGAGCTTGCTGATGGGGTTGGCTGGGAAGCGAGATGCGTGGAAGAAGTGGATGGGGAGGAGTTTCCGGAGGAGAGCAGGGGTTGAGAGCTCGTGCATTGGTAGAGGGGTCCTGCATCTTCATCGTCGTGGGGAGCTGGTAGCGAAGGTGTCATGGTTGGAGTGAGGGTGTAGCCTTCTCCGCCGGCGTCTTGCACATTGGCTCCGTACCGTCGCCACGTCCCGAGCGTCATGGGGTGGTTCTCGTAGCCGCGGAGGGAAAATGGTTGGTAGAGAAAATAGTACTGGCCCGGCCGGGGCGGTGCAATGCTGGGCCCCGGAATGATCTCGAGTGTGATGATGTTGGAAGTGTGGTCGTATGTCGCGGTTGTTCTAGTACAGGAGATGCGGCCACGTTTGAAGCCGATGTTGAAGTAAATAATACGGAAGAGGCGGAGGCAGCGGTCAAGCATCCATAGTGCTGCGGGAAGCCAAAGATACCAGTCGTATTCATGGTCGAAAACGCTGGTATGGCTGGAGGTGGATACCATGTCAGCGGGTATTCCAGAGTAGCCTCCCAACTGTGACTTACATGAAGAGACCGACTAGTACGGCAAGAGAGGACACAATATGGCTGTCAATGAAAAGCTCATAGTATCTCTCTCTAAGCCAAACCGGAGTGGATATTACAAGAAGAAGGGTCATCACGAAAGTTGCCTAGAGGAGGAATCAATCGCGGTCAGTGTGCAGCATTACGGGAAAGGGGCTCTACTTACAATAACGCCCACGAAAAACCAATCAACTTTCAGCCAAACCCAAAAGATGCCGTCTATAACGTAAATCAGTAAGCTTTACTCTAGCTCAATCCTCTGTCATGATATATACCGTTGAAAGTAAGGATTGTATACAGAACTGAGTGAGCGATAGCTTCCAAGGTAGCTATCCAAGCGATATGCAGGTGGAAGCGGATGAAGGTGGGGAACTTCCAACCCGTTGCCCACATGAAGATGTTGTTTCTGCCTGAAAATAACCACAGAATCGGTAGGTTTGCATACGACAGGATACCGGTGCGGTCGGCTGAATATCTCAAGACTTGTTCCGGCATCTCAGGGAAACTATACGAAAGTCAGCCTCAAAGACATTGCGGTGACAAAGCAGCAGACTCACTAAATACTCTCGTTGTAAAACCGATAGTTGGCAAAGTTGAGAGTGATACTCAACACCCAGTATGTCCAAATTGCTATCGTCTCTCCCACAGGAAACAACTTGAAGTTGAAGCAAGACCTAGAGTCTTTCTCTGTTGCAACAATGTTGGGAATGCGTTCATAAGTGAGACTCTCAGGAGTCCAGCGTTCCACGCATTCTAGGACTGATTGAAAGATAGAGAACGAGAAGGCTTTGCGAGCGCCGTGGAGAACTCGAGACATCCGATCCCTGAGGAAGCGACGGTAGACTTGGCCGGCCGCGGCGATGAGGCACACAATTCCCCAGAACTCGTACATGGTAGTCCTTTGAATAGGATTCAGCAAGCAAAAACAAAGCGGAACAAAGAGATGGACCTACCCTCCCTTCTTATGCGCCCACATGGTATACCGCCACGAAAACTGCATTTCAGTCAGCATCACCAACTTCACACCTGCAAACATATCCAGCAAGAACCAATGCAGCAGAAGAAGCATCGACTCACAATCGTTTCAAAACATCTCTTATAAAACGCATCCGACAACAGCACCACCTCATCCACCACCTCTCCCCTCGGCACCTCCTCAAACCCCACCGGCCTCAGCCCCTCCCTCAACTCCCTCACCGTCCTCGCCTTCACCAACTCCGGCACAGGCATCAGCTCGCCCTCCCCACCGGCCCCCCATTTCCGGCAAAATTCCCGCAGCAGCTCGACGACGGGCGCGAAGTCCTCTTCCGCATCGGAAGCGGCGCAGTGCACCTTCCCGGCGGCGAAGACGGACGTCTGCTTCAGCGAGTTGCGGCAGAAGTCCGCGCCGCCCTGTGCGTCGACAGAGCCGTCGTCGCTGCTGCTGCCGTCGCCACTGCTGGAGTGGTTGCCGGACGGCGGCGGCGGCGGCGGCTGCGGGGCCGACAGCTCGGCGAAGGTGAGCGAGTTGTAGCCCATGAAGACGGCCTGCACGCACATCTGATCGGGCGGCATGAGGTCTTCTGCCCGGACGACGCGCGGGGCTATGCATGACAGCAGCAGGAAGAGCGGCAGTGCGGAAACCATGTTGCCACGGCTGATCATCAAGGATGACGCCGGTGCGGTCGTGACGCAGCGCCGCCGGAGAGCCTCGTCGTCGTTCTGGTGATGGCGCGTTCTGGTGTTGTTTCACAGGGAGCGGATCCGGGCCAGTTGCACGGCCATGAGTCGTGCCAGGCGAAAGTGGTAGCGCCCGAATAGGTATGTTGATGTGTTCTGTGATGCGGTTGATTGATAAGATACAGAGGTTTCGAGTGAGATGCAAAAGTGGGGCCAGAGCTCGTGTCTCGGCCGTTTATTTGTCCTGCGCCCGGCCCAATCAGATATTCTCGCGGCAAGGCGTGACCAGCAAAGGATTGTCCCGCATCGACGCCTGGGACTTTCATTCTGGCTTGGCCGGCTTCGCTGTAGAACAGAGACAAAATCTGTTTTTGGGTACAGACCGTTGTGTAGCCTGCTTATCCGAACGTTTGGATACGAGCCTCAACTGCGAACCTGCCGCCCACTAGCTACCCGGCGCTTCAGCGTCGCTCTCCCACCCACAGATATCCAGAAAGCATCACTGTGATCTCAAGTCTCAGGACATTTCTCTTTCCAAATATGTAACGCATTGCATCTGCACAAAGACTCGCCGTCTATCTGATCTAGGCGTCTATCTGTACGACACCCGGTATGAGTGACCCAAAAACGCTGCAAGCATAGCCGCCCATATCCAAGTGAACATATGCCATCTCGAACCACGTTCCTCGAAAACAAAACAAAAAAAATATTTACCACGGACATCTCCAGCCCCTTCACACCCTACTCCTCTGCGACAACCTCCGCACCGACCTCCTCAATCGCCTTCACCAGCCCCTCGACCGTCCCCACCCTCGTCTCGCCATTCACCACGACCCTGAAGAACTTGCCCTTCTCGCCAGGCGCAAAGTCCACCATCCAGCCCCTCCGGACGAGCCTCCGCGCCATCTCCTCCGTGCGCCTGCTGTTCGCCGCGGCTTCCGGCGCGAGCTCGCCGGCGGGGCCGTAGTAGAAGCAGACCTGCAAGCACGGCAGCGGCGTCTTGCTGACGAGGACGACGTTGGGCGAGCGCGCCAGCGCGGCGAGCAGCAGCTCCGCGCGGTCGAACGCGGTGGCGACGCGGTCCGAGAAGCCGGCGGAGCCGGCGCTCAGCCACGCGAGGAACAGCTTCAGCGCCTCGCCCTTGCGGCCGCACTGGGGCGTGAGGTCGGCGAGGTCGTACAGCGCGTTGGTGTCGACGTCGAGCAGCGCGGCGTCGTCGTTGTGGAACAGGTAGCCGGCGGGCAGCGTCATGGCGGCGCGGACCTGGCGCAGGTCCCGGGCCAGCAGGAAGCTGCACGTCACGGGCACGCCGAGCATCTTGTGCGGCGTGAAGGCGACGCTGTCGGCGCGCTCGACGCCGCGCAGCCGCTCCCTGCGCGCGCCCGCGTTGAAGACGACCGGCCCGCCCCACGAGCCGTCGACGTGCAGCCACAGGCCGTGCGCCGCGCACACGTCGGCGAGCGCGTCGATGGGGTCGAACGAGCCCATGACCGTCGTGCCCGCCGTCGCGTTGACGTAGAAGGGCGTCTCGCCCGCCGCCTTGGACGCGGCGACCAGCTGCTCCAGCGCCGCCGCGTCCATCCGCCCGTCCGCGTCCACCGGCACCGCCCGCACCGCCTCGCTGCCGAATCCGAACATCTGCGCCGCCTTCTCCAGGCTGTAGTGGCCGTGCGCCGACGTGAAGAGGACGAAGCGTCGCGGCGAGCCGTGGATGCCGCCGCGCTTGGTCTCCGGGTAGAGGGTATTGCGCGCGACGACGACCGAGGTAGCGTTGGACGCCGAACCGCCCGGCTGCGAAATGCCGCCGGCGTACGGCCCGTTGAAGCCGAAGAGGCGGGCGAGCTGGGTGGTCGTGTGCTTCTCGATGAGGGTGAGGGCCGGGGAGACTTGGTAAACATGGACCTGGGCGTGTTCTTTAGCGGAGAAGACTGGGGCGTTGGTTCATCGGTGATTCATTACATTGGTGTTGAGGACTGCGAGAATCAGTTCAGACGCGACACCGACCTGGGGCACACATTTGTATCAGCAAATGCTTTCATTCCTTTCTGACTGCTGGCTTCCCCTGCAGCATCTACTCTACGTACAGCATTCGTGGAAGCGTAGAGTTTGTCCATGAAGCCCTGGTCCCAAGTGTTGACCGAATACTGAAGGATGCGCTGCACAACCTCAAGCAACCCCTCCTTCCCAACGCCATTCTCCGGCAATTGCAAGTCAAGGAGCGACTCGAGCTTCTTCGGCGGGTGCGATTCGACCAGCGCAGTGCGCGGCTCGCTGCCATCAATTGCCAGGCCACGGCCGGTGGGCTTGGCGGCAGCATCTTCGTCGGCGGCGCGGATGAACGGGATCAGCAATTTCTGCACGGCATCAAGCAGCTGCACGATGGAGACTAGTCAGTGTCTTTGTACGACAAAAGCAACATCATGCATGGAAAATTGACGGGGGAGAGCGCGGACCTCGGCAACTTCGTCAGCCCTCGAGGGCAAGGCGTCGACTGCGGCAGGGTGCGCCGCGCCGTTGGTGGCGCCGTTGGTGGCCATGATGTAAACTTCGAACCCGGAATATGTGCAGATTAGATTAATGAGAGTGCAGGAGGCGCAGAGCGTGCGCAGGTGGAGAGTTTGTCGGCAGGCGCAATAAGCAAAAAAAGCTGGAGATGACGGAATTGCTAGGTACGGACTTGCTGACTTTTCCGCTCGGCACGGGTCGACTGATGGCGCCATGCTGCTCCGCTCCCGCCGACCGAGTGTCGGACCCCAGCAACGACCAGGGCCGTCTGGTGCACCAAAGTTGACCCGCCGATCTGGCTCCCCGATCTCACCCCGCCTTCGGTCTAGGCTGGCCTCTAGCTGGCAGCCACCCCGACGCAAGACGCGAGACACGAGACATGCCATTACCACTTGTTCGTCCGCCGCCGCGTGTTGCTCGTACGATGTGCTCGTCCTCTACGCCCTCCCGTTCGCCCTGTGCGACCCTCGTTCCCTGCCCTTCTTCTTGTCTCCTTCCCGGTCCTTGTTTTGGCCCTGCCTCGCCGCAAGCTTCCGTGCCCGAGCCGCCTCAATTCCCCCCGGCTTGGGGCCTCTGCCCTTCTTTTTGTCCGCCCCATTCTCCGGAAACGGAACAAACGCCCCATCACCGGCGTTGTTGCGCGACTGAGACACCCACTCGGACCGGTGTCGCTTGTAGAGATCCATCTTCCAATTCCTCCACACCTTTCGACCCACAAAGGACTCGCGCAACGCCGCCTCGTTCTCGGCCAGCTCTTCCGCGATGCGCTCCCGGATGAAAGCTAGGCCGTGGGTACCCTGCCAAATGGCATCGATTACGTGCGAGGCCGAAGGATCCAGCGCCATCTCCCCAATGTGGCCATAGAATTGCTGGATCATCTTGCGGCGGAAGATGATCGTGGCGATCGGTGAGGTTAGCGCCCCCTGCAGCGCTCGGCTCGCTGACGCAGATCTTGCCACGTTCAAGGCCAAAGGCGTTCCCAATCTGGCGAGAGAGTCGAAAACGAGCGCACTGAGCGGACCATCAACGGCGAGCATTGCCTGAGCGAGAAGCGATCCATGCAGGCTGTCGGACCCAGATTGGTTGGTGGCGGCCTGCCCGTTGGACGTGGCTTTGCCTCCGTCGGCTGTCACCGCTTCGCCCAGCCGGAGCAAACGTGTAATGTCAAATCCGTTGGGGCTGGAGAGGGCTGTCTCAAGTTTCGCCGCAATTGGCGCTGTATCGACCGATCGTGCCGCGCATCGTTCGATGAGAGTCTTGATCACCACCGTCCTGTTCCGCTCCACCATGTTTGGGATTTGAGGCAGAATCTTCTCCATGGCGTCTTGTAGGTCCTCCTTGCTCAAACGGGCGAGGACCTTGGTGACGACGTAACCGGCAATTTCGTTGCGTGCGATGGAGCCGATGCGCTCCTTGAAGAGCTCCCTGTACAGTGCCTTGAACATCTTGCCAGGTGCGAACTCGACGATGGTTTCCACCAGCCGTGATCCGATGGGGTCGTAAATTTGGCCATTGAGGAATTTGTAGCTGTCCGTGCCTTCTGTGATGGGATCGTCAGGCAGTAGAGTGCGAATGATCGAAGTCTCGTCCTTTGCACGTTGTTTCCCGAACTGGCCGAGTTCTAGTCTGACGAGGAGTTGTAATGCCGGATTTCCAGTCTGGTGGGTGGCAAGAGCACGGAGGTACGTCGAATCCAACCCGGCGACGCTGCTCTTGATCATCTGTTCCATGGCCTCGATGAACGATTCGGGAACTGACCGACTTTCCAGAATGTTTCCGTTCTTGTCAGCCTGGACAACAGTGACCTTTTCCTTTTTTTTGCTGTGTAGTAGCGACCTGTGAGCGGTGCGCTCGAGCGGCTCGCCGGCCAGTACAACCAGGAGCACGCGCAGGGCGTGAGATGCAAATTTGTCCGTCATGAGGTACCCAAGATTTCCTTTCAGCTCGTTTATGGCAAATAGGAACAAGTTCTCCATGGAAACTTGGACGTCTTGCGGATCGATATAGGCGTCGTCGGGCGGATGTATGAGTTCTTCTGAGACAACGGGTGCGGACTGAATGAAAAGCGCTTCGCAGCAGTGGGAGGCGAATCGGTGCTGAATTAGGTTGAGGAAGCTACAAAGTCAGCAAAACAGTCTGTTTGCTGTGCAGTTGCCACTTACTGTCCGCTGAACTTTTGGAAGAGCGTTTTTAACTGCTTGGTGTCTGACAACTGGATAAGGCGCTCCATCAGCCTGGAGCAAGACTGGCTGTTGGCCAGCTTCAGCTCCTTGCCGTCGGCCTCACGGTAGACGTTGGCCAGGAACAGGGAGCGCGCCTCTGGATCCTCGAACTGGTTGAGCTCCAGCAGATCGTCTGCACGCTTGAAGTATTCCTGCTCCTCCTCATCCAGCATGCCGTAGAAGACCATGTCGCCATCAGGACCCGCCTGCGCTTGTTGCTCTTCGCCATTTTTGTCTGCACCGTCCGCAGCGAACGCGACAAAGTCTTGCTGGTCCTCGATGCGGGAGCGCTTGTGCTGAACCTTCTCCTCCTCGGCAGGGTGCTCGTGCTCGTGCTCGTGCTTGCGCTTCTTGCGCTCGTCGCGGCGGCCGCGCTTCTTGTTTTCCTTGGGCATGATTTTTTTTTTTTCTCTGGCGGCGGGACGGACTGCGGGTCGGCGGCGGGGCGGTGGAAGCGGACTCGCGGACGAGAGAGTCGACTGAGGCAGGCCGGGCGCACGATCAGCAGACACCGGGCGAGGCAGCGGGCAAACTAAAATATGGGTGGTGATGACAGCGGCAAGGATGGCGGCTGCAGGATTTCTCGGTGGATGCGGCTAGCGAACGATTGCCGCGAACCCTTGAGCACAGCAAAGATCGCGGCGCTGAGATCTGGGAACTTGGGTCCGTGCTGCAAGCCAGCCAGAACGCCCTCGCGCCCTCGCGCCCTCGCGCCCCCGGCCAGCCAACGGCGACGGTGCCACACAACAGTCCTGCCCGCCCGCCAGCGACACGTCCACGTCACCACCCACCATGGCCGACGTCCACGAGCGCGTCGCCGCATATCTCGACGACCAGCTGCAGACGCACGCCGACCTGCACCAGCTGGACGAGCTGCTGTCCAACGTCCGCACCCAGCACGGCCTGCTCCAACAGCAGGTGAGCCCGCCCCGCCCCGCCCCCATGTCCGCACACGTCCGTGTTGACGCCCCAGTAGCTCGAGCAGGCCGAGAAGGACGCCCATGACGCACGCAAGGATGCGGGCGAGCACCAGCGCCAGCTGCGCCACCAGCATGCTCAATTCGAGCGCGACCAGCAGGACATCGACCGCCGCCTGCACATCATCACCGCCTCTGACGCCAGCGACGATGCCGCCGCCCGCTTTGAGCAGAGCATGGCCAAGCTGCACACCCTCGAGATCGCTACCCGGTACACACAGCGCTTGAAGGAGGTTGGGGAGCTCAGGTATGCCGCCCTGATCCTACTTGCAGGCCGTGGCACGGCATGATGCTGAGATTCATGCACAGCAACGATTCCGATCACGCCCTCGAGACGTCCGGTGAAGCTGCGCTTGCCTCCTACCGCCAGCTGAAGGCCCTTGATGCCAGTCTGCAGCCTCTACACGAGTCGGCCGAGGGAGCTGCGCCGCACCTCATCGACCATGTTGCCAAGACCACCCAGCATGTCCGCGGACAGCTTCGGGATGCCTTTTCCAAAGAGCTGGAAGCTGCACTGAAGAAGATAGACTGGCCCAAACGCCCTGAGACCACTTTCCTTGGTTCGCTCCAGGAGCAGTGGGCTGCTGCCGTGGGTAAGCTGCTTGACCTGCAGAAGCCTGAGCTGGAGGCAGCAGAGAAGAGCGTGCCCAATGCGAAGGGTAGCAAGGCTGCGCTCGTTCTGTTGCCGCTCGAGGTAATGGTACAACCGCTGGAAATGCGTTTCAGGTACCATTTCGAAGGTGACAAGCCGACCAACCGCCTGGACAAGCCCGAGTACTTCCTGTCCCATATCATTGACTTGCTGAACAATTTCAATCCTTTCATCGTCGACAATCTTCAACCCATCCTGCTCAGCCATTTTAGAGGGACGGATCTGGGTTTGAACGCTGCTTATATTGATGCTACGTCTGCATTCATAACCGCTCTTCTCCCAATGCTGCGTTCCAAAATCTTCGCGACCTTGCCCAAGGTTGCCAGCCAGCCGCAGTTGCTCAGTCATCTCATGCATGAAATTATGAGCTTCGACACCAACTTAAAGGAAGATTGGGGATATGACGGTGGCAATGGGTCCGAGGGCTGGAAGGGCCTTGCATGGGAAGTACTCGGCACGCAAGACTGGTTTGGCAGGTGGCTCCAGGTCGAGAAAGACTGTAAGTTTGCGCTCATTCAGTTGGCTAGTATACCAAAATTTCATGTCAACGACTTGGAGATGCTACCCCGGCCTGTGATGGGAAGGCTCTGTGATTTCCCGAACAACTTCATGTCCACTATTCTGACTATAGTGCAGTTGCTCTTGCGAGATACCAGGCTATCGTCGAGTCTCCGGAAAGCGGGGAACTTGACTACGACAGCGTAGACTCACATTCGACGAAACCCTCCAAATCCGCCATTCGCGTCAACGATCTGCTTGAGGCCATCACAGGTACGTCTAGCGTAGGGTGAATTGGTTTTGTGACTCTAACCTCTCATGCAGATCGATACAGGCCGTTATCCTCGTTCTCTCAGAAGCTGTCTTTCCTTATTGACGTACAGATATCTATCTTCGATCGGTTTCACGAGCGCTTGCACTCCAGTTTGGAGGCTTATCTCACCATGACATCCTCCGTCGGCCGCGCCGTACAAGGCATAAGCCGCGAGGAGCAGGCCAATCTCCAAGGCATCGCCGGACTCGACCGCCTCTGCCGCGTCTTCGGCAGCGCCGACTACCTCGAGCGCGCCATGCGCGACTGGAGCGATGACGTCTTCTTCCTCGAGCTCTGGGACGAGCTTCAGGACCGGGCACGGCGGCGGCGTTCTACCAACCTGGCCGGGCCGCTATCAATAGCGGCCGTGGCCGAGCGCACGTCGAGCGCCGTCGGCTCCGACGACGCGGACGTGACGGGAGCCCTCTTCGACGAGACGGCCGGGGCATACAACCGGCTGCGCGTGCGCTCCGAGGCCATCATCGCCGACCAGCTCGCGTACAACGTGCGCGAAGCGCTGCGCGCCTACCGCGCCATCAACCCCTGGACCACGCTCTCCTCGACCATCACCAGCGGCAGCGCCAGCATCAGCACCACCCAGACCCACTCCCACTCCTCCTCCTCCTCCGCCGTCACGGCAGAGCTCGAGCCGCTCCTCACATATCTCGCGTCCTCACTCGCCTTCCTCAACCGCGCCCTCGCCCGCGCCCCGCTCCGCCGCATCGCGCGCGCCGCCTGCCGCGCCGTCGAGCAGGGCGTGTGGGACGGCATCCTCACGCGCCATTCGTTCAGCACCGCCGGCGCCGCGCAGCTCGCGGCGGACCTGGCGGCGGTGGCGGACGTTGTCGATCGGTGGGCGGGCGAGGGGTGCGCGGCGACGGGGCTGCGGAAGGTGAGGGAAGGCGTGGCGTTGTTGGGGCTGCCGGTGAAAGGTGGCCCGGGCAACGGCGGTGTCGATGGCGGTGGTGATGAGGAGGAGGAGGAAGAAGAAGGGGATGGCGGGGCTGGTGGGTTGGGGCTGTGGGAGGTGGAGAAGAGGGTTTTTGCGGATAACGAGCAGGCGAGGGAGGTGTTGGAGGAGTTGGGGTTCGAGTGCTTGACGGAGGCGGAGGCGAGGGGGGTGTTGGAGAAGAGGGTGGAGTTGGGGAGTTAAGAGGGTAGGGTGGTGGATTGGCGATGTGGTGGTGAACGTGGAACGGGAGCTTGTGCGTTGCACAACGGAGCATTCAGTGACATCGATGCTCTGCGTCTCCCTACGCAGCGTTGGGTTACAGCGGTCGTGGCCATGGTTCCCGAGCTGTCATTATCGAGAGTCAAGCCACAGTTAGCGACGAAAGAGACCGACTTACGGCGATCCTTTGTGTGGGCAGTTGAAGCATGTCAGCCGACGTAAGATGTAGGTGGCTCAACGTATTTCGTCACCCACTGCGAAGCTAGAAACTGGACGAACGGAACGTACAGGCTCGCTTTCGGAGGATCTTCATGGGCTAGAACGAATCGTTACAGACAGTATGTATTACTTCTTTGGGAATGTCCTCCCAAGAATAACACTAGCGAATGGCCACCGGGGGCGGTATATGGCTTGTTCTTCTAAGCTATCATCGTTATGTGCCGAGAATGGTCGGATTAATGGAGGTCTTTGATGCTCCTTCATAAGTTCCCTTCGTCCGGTCCGTTTGATCAAGGGAGCTAGGTAGATATGCTCTTTGACTTCGTTGGAGACCCAGTCTTTACCATAACACAATCAGCAATTTTGATATTCATGGCTTTTCCATGGCATCCCAGGCATCCCGGTGGGTGTAGCGACTAGCGTACTATTCTAAGCTACGGTGAGGAAGGCTTAGGTGATGCATTGATGTTTATGCTTGTAATTTACGGTCATTGAGCTGATACAGCATAGCTACAGCGGTAGTTCATGAGGTGCTGACGCGTATCAAGCAGCGTTTTGATTCATACTGGCCGGGCACCTATAAAACCTCCCCCAACCATGCCTTTGTCAAAAAGCTTGGAGCGAGAGTTTGAAGTAGTCCCGTAATTCAGATCCTGGCTCATTTCCTATCTAGTTCTGCTGCAAATAAACGTTTGTTAACAAGTATCATCCCGGTATTTCCTGTCGAATCGTGCAACCGAGGAGATCAATGGAGTCATCACTTTCCTGTCATCACTTTCCCTTAATCCCGCAGCTCTGCCGGGGCTCAGTTATCCGCCTCTAATTATCCTGCCCGTTGCTTTTGCTAACCGTCAGCCCGGTCGAGATGCAGAATATTGCTTGCCCGCTCGCTCCGGCTCCTACCCCTGCCCAGCTGCCATGCATGTTTCCTTTCATTTCAAGCCACCATCTCCTGATCTCCAGACGGGCGGCCGGGGAGCGCCTCAGCCTCAGCCTCAGCTTTTCAGTTTCCTATTTCGCTCATCTACCCCGCACCACATCACTGCAGATATCAGTCAGGCCCCCCACACGATTGATAGACCCGCATGAATGGTACATCTGATCTCGCATATGGCGCAAACCCTGATGTGCATACATGCAGAGATCGATCGCGAACAAAGGAAAAAGCAACGACAAAAAAAGCTAAGATCAAGGAAACCTATATGACTACAGTATATATATATATACATATATACATACATGCGTCTCGCCGCCCGACCCATCCCTGCATGTAAGCCCTCCTCCACGTACGTACACGCACCTCTCCCACCCAAACACAAAGGGAAAAACTGCAGGGATGCGTGCATTTTCTCGTGCAGACTGCAGCGCACCGTGCATACACAGCCTAGACCCTTGGACGGCCGCTGCCGCTGCCGCTGCCGTCGATCGCACAGTGAAAAGTGAAGCCTGCCACCCTGCATTGCTGCCGTGTCCTGCCCACGCGGCCAGCCCCCGCCCCCCTCCCCGGTCGTGGAACCACGAAACATGGCGTGTAGATGCACCGGCCGCACGCACGCGCACACGCACACACACACACATGCCAAGCCCATGTGCGTCTTTTCTCTCCCCTTGAGTAACAGCGAGAAGAGAGGAGGCACGTACATACGTTAGGAGGGCGGGCAACTCGGCTTCGTGTGGGATGGTTGCAGGCGCTACTATCATACGGCACTGGAGCAGGGAGCGGGAGGATGGACGGACGGGGTGGGTGACAGGGGAAAAATGAATCAATGGATGCATCGCAGTGGAGAGAATGAGAGAGAAAGAGGGAGTCGGCTGCTGTGTCTGTCTCTATAGTGCAGTGTGTCGTATTCGAAGGGCGATGAGCTGGGCGGAGTGTACGTGATCTTGCTGCCACTCCTTGCGGCGGGGAGGCGGAGCGCAGCACTGGCAATGTGCGACTAGGGCTGCGACCGTAGCTACTGTCGGGAAGGCGTGTAGAGAGTACCGTAAGATTATGGAGGTAGGTGAGATCTTAGATTAGTGCACTTCCTAGGCTGTTCCTTGTAAACACGTTCGATGGTTCACAGGATGATGGACCCTCTTCCTGACTTTTGGCTCATCGTCTCCCCTCTCCCTCGTACAGCAGGATAGTCCATTGTTGAGCAGTATAGTCAGCTCTTGCACGGCATTGAGAGGATGCAGAACGCGAATATACTAAGCACAACTCTGCATCTGGCCGACCACACAAGAAGAATTTCTTCTTTGAACTCACGACTGGCCTCTTTCATGTCCATTAACGATGTGCAAGATTTAATCTTGTCTAGACATTGAAATCTACACTGCGGGTTGCCCCGCAGAATACGCCGTCTAAAATGGAGTACCATTACCGTCGCAGTGACTTCGGAGTAAATACGACATTACACAATACCAGCTTGCAACCTTGTACGTCACTGTCTCTCGAGGAACGTAGCATTCTCGAGAATAGAGTCTTCTATGCCAAACAATAAGAGGAGTTGACCTTCGACAGAGACGGGGGATGAGAGTAGTGTACGTAGTAGCCGCGAAGGCTTTCACATCACTATGAGCCCATTCTCAAGCCACCCAGAGTACTACACAAGAAGTCTTTCAGTCAGAAGCACACTTACAATGATGGTCCGGTCTACCTCTTGCGCTCTTCTGGAACCGTCACTAACTTCTTATGGCAACGGCTTCCAAGCTGCGCACCAACGTTGCAGTCTCCTCTGTCTCCGGCCAGAAGAGAGGAGGGCTCGGTCACGTACATGCCGCATATCCCCCATGCGTTCGGACAAGTAGAGGAGTCAATTGCAAAGGGGGGAACGGCAATGCCATCACTCTGTTGATACGATGTTGCGCAGCATGGAACTTGCTGACATGTTGTGTGACATTCGGCTGACCGGTGAGGTGGCAGGAAAGAGAAAAGACGAGCAAGATGGTAGATACTACAGCTCACACTATTTTCCATTTCTCGACGGGGAAAATCAAAAAAGGAGGATGGAGGGGCAAAGGGTGGGGGGAGGGAAAAAGACCGGCTTCTCGACGGCAGAGTGGAGCATCTAGCTCGAGGAAAAATTCAGGGTCCAACGTGACTGACCGACGATCCTCACACGTTTTCTTCGCTGCAGTGGAGAAATGCAATGCATGCGCATGCGAAGATGGGCGCCTCCACTCCGTTGGCGGGGGCGGCGGGGGGCGCTTGCAGCGCTTCTCGCGGTCGGCGGGGTGGTGGCCGGGGCGTTTTGATTGGGAACTCCCCTCCCTTACCCACCGAGCACGATGATTTGTTTAGTATTCTCTTTCCTGTAGAAGGTCGGAGCGGTCTCCGAATGGGAAATTTGGTTCCTGGACGGACCACGGATGCATTTCTGGTATGGTGAAGTTTTTGTGGGTATTGCCGGGTCCACAGGGAACAGCAAAGGACCGAGAACTAAAAAATGCGACGCTGGTGGCCTAGGGGCGCTCGCGAGATACGATGGTAGCGCAGTCGGGTGGACAATGATGAAAGATGAGGTTGACGATAATGGTGACGGGCGGCGGAGCCGGAGGCCCAGGCCGCGGGTTACGTAGGCGGTCTCTCTCCGATCAGCACGGGTGGCTTGCTTGGTGACAGGTTTTGAACGATGACCACCAACGGATGGCGGGAGGGAGGATGGGAGCGTGGGCCCGCTTTGCGTCATGTCGGGGTGGGGAGCGAGAGATGATGGCAGCTAGTTAGCGCGAATCGATCAGGGTCCTGAGGATCTCCGCAGCACCAGCGTCGCCTTGTGGCCTGTCTGCCTGCCTGCCTGCCTGCTTGGTACGCCTTCCGTTCCGCTTCGCTTCCGGTTAATGTGTTCCTTCCGTGCTGAACCACTACAGCACCCGGAAGGAGCGCACGAGGAGATCTGCAGTACCGCGCGGACAAGCCATCTCGAAAACTGCTTGTCCCGGTAGCGGCTGGACGAGCGACGGAAGCAAGGTGATATGCGAGGAGGGTGAGCGGGCGCGGTGTTGGTTGCACAGCGTCGCGTGCCGCGTGTTGCACAGCAGCAATAGAGCAGCGGCACAGCGCGTCCGCACCTCCGGCCTGCCGCGGGGAGGGCAGATGGACGATAGCTTAACGGTCGTGCGTCTGACAGAAGATTGCGTGGCGTGGCCGTTGACAGTGCTGTACCACGTACTACGTGCTGAGTCGAAGGCGCTGCTGCTGCGAGTCAACTCGACGCTGGCTGCCCCGCAGTTCGATCTCCCCATCTTGATCTCCTACTTATCTCTTATCTTCCCACCGCTCCTTCTTCTCCAACACTCCAACACGGGAGCCAAAGTCAATTTGCAAGCAGATGATTGGGGCGACCTGTCTTGGCAACGCCGAACAACGTCTAATCGATCCTTCGCCGCCCTGCTCCAGACACTACTCCACGGGGAAGCGCAGCTGGAGGCCCGCGGACCGCGATCCGGAACCTTGAAAGGCGACCGAACCATCGTCATCTGATTCATGGGCTGCGGGGGGCCATGACGTCCTGACGTGTTGGCCAGGCAATCACATCCACACAGCTATGATGACGGTCGAGGGCGGATGACGGGCATGGCAGGAAGTTGAGAGTGGGTGGTTGATCTGCGCTTGGCCTCCACGTGCCTCCGTTAGCGGAGGCGGCGGAAAAAGCAAACAGCCATGCACGAAAGGCGGCTCTTTCATCTTCCCCTTGCGACAGACCGCCTGTTGTGCATCCCGCGCCTAAACCAAGATCAAACCCAACCATGCATGCGTGCTTCTGTCATCTTCCCTG